AACTTTTAGTTTTTGCAGTTCTATGTGGGTAAGGTAGTTAGGGTAAAACTGTTCAGTTTGCTTGCACGTAGATAAAACTATCAGATGTGTGTAGTTTTGGAGTTTTCTGTTGTATTGATTGCCCACTTACATCTGGTTGCCCGTGTCTAAAGCTATTTCTCAACTTTGTGATCTGGAAAAAACTTTTTCTTTTTTTTCTTTTTTAATGTAATTACAAACATCTACTTCAGTCTAACACTTTTTAATTTTCACAGTGAAGTGTTTTATCTAACTCAAATCTTAATGTAGTCAAATTTAGCAGTTTTTAAACTGTTAGTCTTTGTTCTTATGAGGCCTTGATAAAAGAAAATTTTCCCTGCCCTAATTTTATAAAGACAGGATATTAAGTGACATTTTCTTTTATTAACTTTGTACATTTATTTTTCACATTAAATATCTTTTATTTATTAGGATTTCACACATGCAAACACATGTAATTGATGTGAGGTAAGGCTACAACTTTATCTCTATATACTGAACCAATTTTCCTTAACATCAATTAAAACAATTCAACTGTCTCTGATGGTTTGTCAAGCCACCACTGGCAAATGACTAATTCTTGTGAGTACATAGCTCCAGTCTATGCCTTCCATTTCTATTCTTTGTGTTTTTTATTTCTTTTAATTATTTATACAATCCAGAGGGACAGTTTTTGTTCTTTGACATTTTCCAATTAATTTTATTCACAAAATTATGTAATAAATACAATTTCCTCATATGTCATCCTTCAAATGACTTCATGGGCATGTGTTGGCTTATAACACTGCTAAACATTGATATGTTTGTGTCACCCTTTAGATTTTCCTGTCCACCTTTGAACGCCAGCCACTGCTGTGGCAATCACAGGCACACAGGGAAACCGGAGAGCACCTCAGCCTGCACCTACAGGTGTAGGTGCACCTGCACCGTTTATCCTTAGCTGTGTCCCAAAGTATCTGCTGCTGCAGCGCAAGGACCCAGCCTCAAGTCCACTCGGCTATTTAACGCAGGAACAAGCCTCCCAGTGCTAGGGAGTTAATGCATCGTGATGGGTCAATATCAATGAAGAAAGGCACAACCCAAAGATACGCCTAACTCATCTCACAAGTCAACTGTTAAAAAAATTATTTTTTGGGGTATTTGATGTTGTCTATTAATTTAAACTTTTTTTAAATTAGGAGAATCCAATAAATAATAACTTACAAGAGCCAACATGTTCAGATCAGCTAATTAGTTCAATATCCTTGGTTCTGGCTAATATAAAATTAACTCGCAAGGCACAAGTTAGATGGTTCAATGCCTGTAGAGTTAGGCCATCAATGTTATTATTGTCCTTGGACTCTATTTCAGCAGTACTACTAGATTAATTTAAACAATATCATCTTTTTCACTTATTTTGAAATAAATCACATTTATAGAAAAGTTGCAATAGCTCACAAAACATCTACATATATTTCATCAGTATTCAACAAGTAACATGTTGCCATATTTGCCTTATTTTCTATTATATGTGTGTATTTTCTCTGATCTATTTACAAGGAAGTTTTAGACATCATGCTTTTTGACTGCCAAATATGTTAGTGGGAATTGCTCAGAACAAACGTATTAGCCACGCTTGGTGGTACCCTCTTGCAGTTCCAGGTCTTAGGAGGCTAAGGTAGAAGGATCACTGTCAATTTAAAGCCAGCCTGGGCTACATAGCAAGATCCTGTCTCATTTCCCTCCAGAACACTTTTCCATATCTTTATAAAAACCATGGCACAGTTACATCAGATTTAACATGGTTAAAAATTCTAATTTCTAACAGCTATAGTCCATAGCTAAAGTTTTGCAGTCTTAAAATATCTTGGAAGCAAAACATAAATTTTTAAAATATTTTTTGATCTAGAATATAGTTAGGTCAGGAGAATGCATTGTGCTGAATTGTCATGCCTCTTTAGTTTCTCTAATCTGTAACATGAACAGTCTTTTCAAAAAATTGTGAAAACTACATTACTGAAATATCCATAGGCAGAAAAATTCCTATTAAGCATTAGATATTAGCTGCTTAGCCACTGTGTTGAAATCTCCCCAATATACATCTTTGCTTCCTTGTCAAGGTAAGAATGCATTATTTGCTTTCTTGTCCCATAGTGCTCTATAAAGATTTAAGATTAGGTCTGAACAGAAGATGAAATAAAAGGAAACTGGTTGCAAAGGAGAGCTTCCCCTTCCTCCCTGGTTTCTTGGCCAGCAGGTTTGCCCTTTGCTCACGTACTCTCTTTCTTTAAGAAAACCCATCTGCTCCAGCAAGCCCTCTCCTCCAGTGACCCCAGGATTTGACTTTCCTTGGCATAAAAACTTCTTCAACCAAAAAAGAGAGAATAATGTGTTTACTTTTATCTTACAACTTAAGTGCTATTATATTATTCATATAGATTAAAGCATTTTCTTCTACCAAATTGTTTCTCTTTTGACTGGAAGTGAAGTTATTAAAACATTTTCGTGGGCCCCTAGAAAAGATTGTAGGTCCTCTGAACTGTGCCACTTATGCTCATTGGACAAGCTGGTCCTGTACTCAGTGCTATTTGTATTTCCCCAAATCGTGTGATGTGATGTGTAAACATACTCATGAGTGACAGCAAGAAAGTCAGGGAGGGCCACTGACTCCCAGTGCCCATGGAAGGGTGCAGAATTTGGAGAGCAAGAGAATACTGGCCCTCTAATATCAATAGCAAAACGGACACAGAGTCTGGACTATAAGGCCCTTCTGTGTGTACTGTGGGCACAACCACTTATGTTATTTAATTCTGGAACCTGTTAGAAGAGTTCATGTACCTTTCCTAAGGACAGGCCGAACTGAGGGTGGAGAGTGGAGTCAAGGAGTGGAGAGTATTACCTAAACTCACACTGGGAAGGAAAATATCTCATTAATGAATAAGGTTCCTCCACCTCTGCAAGCCAGTATGTCCCCATTATTGCACAGTTTGCTTTAATATCCTTTTTCAGCCTCTGCTAGGGCTTTCCAGAATATTTTTTAAAAAAAAGTACTCTGTCAATATTGGCTCTCATTTTGTTCCTCCAAGGAGTGCTCCAAACTTATGACTGTACTAAGGACTCCATGGGGTTGTTTGATTGTCTCAATTCTAGTGCTTGGGATGGAAGAGTGTAGTTCATTGGCCACCCAATAACATAAAGGAGCGTTACCAAGGTCAGGAACAAACTGGCTTAAGATCTAGAGTTCAGGGCAGTTAACTTTAGGAAAACAGTAAGCCCCTCCATGTGTCTTACTCTCTTACTAAATTCATGCTTCAAATAACCCATGCTCCCAAAATGCCCCAATGTCAGATTTGATGGTCAAGGTTGACCTTCTCAAATGCAGCTCATAGCAGAAATTTCTCAAATTTGAGTGGATCCAAAGAATCACCGCTGCACTTATTTTCACCTATATTCATTGAACTAAGAGATAGATGTGTGGATGAAATGAGGTTTAGTTCCTGCAGGGTCAAGTGCTTAGAGAGTACACAAAGAGAGTCAGGGACCCTAAAAAGAGCCCCCAGTTCTCACAGGAATTTATTGTTCTAATTCACTTTATATATTAAGGTTCCACATGAAATTTTTTGTGAAAATTAGATTATGTTGCTGAAGAATTTTAAAAAAGAGAGAGATTTGAAAACCACTAAAATGGCCTATCTCCTTACTTTTAGGCCAAAAACTGCCTAAAGAATCCTATACAGAAGTTTAAAGATTTATAATAATGATATTTTACCTACTTGAGTTCAGAGCAGTGTACAGGAGAAATAAGTAGCCTTAGAGTCCAAGAGACATGGGGTCAACCCTTAGCTCTGCAGTGATGAGCTGCGTGACCTTAAGCAAGAAACTAGACCTCTCAATTTAGTTTAGAGTGGGGATCATAGCATTTCACTCACAGGAGATGCTGTGTGAAGTGGGATCACACGAGTAGGAAATTCCTTGGCTTGGGAGGCCACAGAGCATGTTCAACAGGATTCACCTTCTCTGAGCTTTCCCTGACAACCCCTCCCCCCTGCCTCCAGGTACTCTCCTGGTAAAAAGATCTTTTCTACCCCACAGTGAAAATCCTTGTGCTCTTATTTGAGCAAAGATAAAGGACACTGGATGTCAGAGTGAAAAGTCCTTATAGAAAATTCTTTGGCTAGTAGTTTATTTTCCCTTCCTTCCATATGGCTGTACCATAAAGACTTGAGCTTTGTCTGCATATTTACTGCTATATCCCCCAGTGACCTTCAGAACAGTGGTTAGTACCTGACAAAATATTTGTTGAATGACAGGAAATTCTTGAAGACTGTGAGCAAATTCCTTTCAGCTTTTCGCTTCTGGTTTACAGTGTCCTATCGCTTCACTCTTTTCCATAAAGAATTTTTATTCCAGTATTTATTCTAATTTTAATCTTGTTTTTATGATTTGACAATTTTGGTAGTTAGAAAGCAGAATACTTAAAGTGAAGCAAAATTGTTTTCTCTCCTGAATGGTGATACACAAAAATAAACTTGAATCTTGGGTCTTTAGTTTGGCTTGTTCACGGCTTAAAACTTATGCCCTAGTGGGGTGTGGTGGTAACCCCAAGCATTCCAGAGGCTGAGGCAGGAGGATCATGGCACATTGAAGCCTAGCCTACAAAGTAAGCTCAAATCCAGCCTGAGCTGCATAGTAAGACCCTATTTCAAAAACAAAACAAAACTATGCCCTAGATGTTATACTTAGTACAAGAAGTGTGATGGTACATTTATAACTCAAAAAAGGTATGAATGAAATTTTAAGCAGGATGGCAAGGTTGGCAAGTTGATATGTAAATAATGTGGTCAATAGCATATATCATACATGCTTATAGAATTACTATAAAATAAAGGATTTTAATAACATTTTAAAAAGGAATCAAAAAGAATATCACTAATTTCCAAAAGTGCTCTAAAATACTTTAAATTATTTTTATGAAATTGCAACAGCAAGCAGAAACACTGAAATGACACCCAGAATTTAGAGATTTATTTTACATAGATGGGTACTGATCAGGAGAATTCCCAAAATATCAGGCCCTTATCACTGGTAGTATAGGGCTCATATTGGATAAGCAAGGAGAAAGTACAGAAGAAGAATGGCTTGTCAGTTGAGGATTATTTTATACAATGCGTATCACAGTGACCAGCTATGCATCACAGTGTCTAGGGATCAGAAGCAACCAGACCTGGAACAGAAACTATTACCTGGGCAACTAAGAAACTGAAGTATACTGGCTGGGGTGGGAGCACATTATCTGTTACAAAATAAGTATAGAATTCTATTAGTCATACTACAGGAAAGATAGCAAAATAAAATGCTTGCAAGTAAAGCAAGGAATATATGTAAATCAAGACACTAATTTTGGCATGGGGAGGAAAGTATCTGTTAAGATTCATGAAAAGGATAAATACATAAAAACATAAGAAGAAACAAAATATTTTTTATTAGAAATTTGTTCAATGGTATCCAAAGTACTGAGGGTTTTCTGTTTGCATATAGCCTATAATAAATAGATGCTCGTTTAAAAGTGAAACCTGGAAAATATTTCAAGCAAAGTGTTTCTAGAGCCCTGCAAACTCAAATAGTTATATGCCCAAGTGGAAATAAAGAGAAATCCTAAAGTTAATCTCATTGGTTTGCTTCACTAATTGAAAATCAAAATGCAAAGCTGGCTATGTTACTATGAAGGAGTGATGTTAATACTACACCCAACCTCCTCTTTCAGTAGATGAACGGCATTATTTCACTCAAAGAGATTTGCCTGCTTATTTGTGTTGGACAGTGAATGCTAAACTTCCAGTGTACTGACACACACAAAAAATAGCAGTACTGACTTGAAATCTAGGAGGGTGCCGCTCAAAGCTTTTGACACGTTGGCCTTTCAGTTTCCTGCTTACGGGTATCCTGAACCAGAGTATCTTTTCTTCTTGGTACGTCCAGTAAGAGGACAACACTTTCAGATTTTTGAAAAACAAAAAAGAATGTGGAGAGTAGCAGCTAAAAGCAGAGATAAAGCTTCTTTCTTAGAGCATCAAAAAGCTGAGGTAATAAGGTCAAGTGGCACAGTCCAAGAGATAAGTTTAAATAAACGAACTTTCCGCAAGGATCCAATTTCTCATACAGCTGTCCTTAAACTCAGAGTTAGAAGGAAAGTTGGTTAATATCACTTTTAAGAACCACTAACATACAGACTCTTTATGCTATGTTCCAGAAAGGAAAAAAGGAAAGTGATGGAAGAGGAGGAAACAAAAAAGAGAAACAAGAGGGCACAGGAAAAAAAAAAAAAAAGAACAGAAAAGGCAACCTTTGTATAATCTAATCTCAAAAGTTTCTGCCTGTACTCTGCATATTTTTAGCCATTAGAAATGTGTCACCAACTGCAGACCAAACTCCAGGCAGGCAGATTACCTGATAGCATGGATAAAAAGAGGCAGGGATCAAGGGAGTGAACCATACCACTTTTAACTGAAGAATGAGAAACAGGAAAATATAGATTATAAAGTATCCATATATAATAGGAGCTTCATAAAAAAGCAATTATTAGTGAACTACAGCTTTGATAAGAATCTTATTTAAAAGCCATAGACTTGTACCTTCCAAAGAACACTCAATAAACCTTAACGTACCGAACAACTAAAAGCATAAACTGTGTGATCATCAAGATAGCTGTGGGTGGACATTTCTGCTAATGGGATAGAGCCTTCTAAAATGTTTACTTAACCTTATGAGAACAAGAAAAATCACAGGGTAACAGCAGGTGTTCTTGGTTGCTAGGAGAGCAAAATCCCTATAGAGATTAGTCATTTTGAAGGTGATCCTTAATAATGACATTTATTTTTAACTGTAGGATTGGTGAAAACCATCAGGTAGGCAGTGCTGAGACCAGAGGCTGCATGCATTCCTTGTATTTTTCTGAAATAATGTAAAAGAAAGCTTCATGGTGATGAAGGAAAATCATTCCTGACTTGTAATTCTCTGATGGCTCTAAGCTTTTACTATGAGTTTGCCCAAAGTCTGTGATTCTACATATGAACCAATACTTATTCCTGTGATTCCTGTATTATGACAACACTTCTCATATGTTGATAACACCTATCATATGTTATTGGCCTACACATCAGTTTCCTTGACTAAAAGACCAACTTTTTGAGTGCAGAGTTCTTACCTTAGTTTATTTAGATCCCCTAATCTTAGCACAGTGCCTGTAAATAGGACACACTCAACAAATATTTGTTGAATAGTCTGTTGCTTTTCTTCTGAAAGATAATTCGGAACAAAATGTTTAGCATTCATGATCTAACAGGGCATTATCTTTTTCAGTATATTAGGTGTGATTCAGTAATTTTTTCAGTAATTTTTAAAAATGATAATTCAATGACCTCAAAAATGGATTTTTAAATCCTTAATTGAAGTAGTTTTATAAGATTTTACAGGAAATAAATAATTATACATTAAATGAACACAGTTCTTACATATTTTCCCCTTTTTCCCGAAAAATAATTTGTAATTACGGATATATCAATATCGACTTCTTCAAATGCAGATATTACAGTATGCTGATAAGGAATTACACAGGCAATGAGTATGATTTTTTCCTAAAATGAAATAGGAAGTACTTACAATAGTTCAACAATCTATTGCAATGAACCACAGTACAGTTTCATGTTTCTTCTAGAACATCGGTCTACTCCTTGTTGAGTTCTGGTCCCCCCCTGTCAAAGAGCTCAGACTCCTGATTCACCCTCCACTGGCAGGCAGGTGCTGTGCTCTAAACTGGAGCAAAGATTTCTTCTCAGCAAAGTGGCACAGAATGGTGCGTTTTACACTGCTTCCTCGTTAGTTGTGGGTATGTCCCTCCTTTATCCTACCTCTTCTGTTGCCCTGTGATCTTATCGCCCCCCTATTTTCATGTCTCCTCCTTTCTTCCTTTAACTAATCTTCTCAAATTCTCCTCAGAGATGTGCTTGTTGGCTCCCTATCTCCTTTTCCCTTTCTCCTCACTCCCCATCCTAACTCACCACCTGCTCCATTTTAAAATGCACTTTTTAAATTCAAAGAATCTTCTTTTCTTGCCCATCCTACTCTTATTCTCAGCTGGCCATGCTAATTTTTGGAAGTCTGTACTTATATGAGCATATAGCAGAGGGGAATGCAAGAGGAGGGCAGATCAGAAGAAGAATGTCTTTAGTGTTTATTCCAATTTTTATTCCAATCCCAAACCCATATTTTTTTTTTCATACCGTCTTACTATGTAGCCCAGGCTGGCCACAAACTCATGATACTATTGCTTCAGCCTCGTGAGCGTTGGGATTACAGTTGCCACCAAATATGACTCTATTTTTCCCTTTCAACAATTCCAGCATCTGCTGTAAAGAAATCTTGCCTCCTTTGCTCTCTGTCTCATATGATGTTCTTAGTTTTTATTCCACCCCTTTCCTAAACAGCATTTTTTACTTTGGTGGAGCCAAAGACAGTACATAGTGGGCATCACAGCACTTAGCAAAATAAACCAAACTGAGAGAAATGGCTATAATACTTATGCCCTTGGAGATAAATCACCAGGTTAGAGTAAAAAAGCCAGGCAAAAAAACAAGAAGGGGAACTCAATTGGACCTGGTGCAACTCACAAGAGGCAAGGCCATCACATTTCAATTTGGTAACTAGAACCAATATAGTTCAGAGACAGCCTCCACCAAGACAGGTCCCATGGGATATAGAACGTATCAGTACATGGGGTATACACTGGAGCCATACTTGGAGTATAAACAAGGAGCCATTTTCTGTCTCATTATTTTAATCACTTTGTCAAAATAATCTGAGCCTGTGTACATAAAGACTTTGTTTTGTTAAGAGTATTAGCATAAAGGAGTCCCCGAAACACATCAAGATTGACTTGAAATTTATGCCATACAATTATTCACCAAATTACCAAAGATTTAGCTTTCTTCCTTGATATCTAGGGTATGTGATATGTGTGAATAATATATACATAGTCAGATTCTTACTCTATGATGTCTACTTTTCTGTCAGTTACTGCTCTTGTGTATGAACTCCAGACTGTAAGGGTTGCACAGTGGGAAGCAAATTAGCTCAGTAAGTCCTAGGGTGCCAATTACGAGACAGCTAGTGGAACTAGAATGTCCCTAGAGTTTATTTCCTCCAACTCCTTCATTTTGCACTTACAGTGACAGAAACTCAAAGGGGTTGTGATTTGCACAGCACAGCTGGTTCAGCCACTACCACTGTAACCTCAGGCAAATCCTTCAGTGGTATGGACCTCGGCTGCTCCCTCTATAAAAGGCACTGGGAAAATCACAGCACTACTTACTGTAGTGTTCCCATATGCCAGGCGTCACACTAAGTAATTTAAGTGTCTTATCTCATCCTTTCAATATCTCATAAATTATATATGTGTACCTTCAATTGAAAATGAGACTATGGGGCTGGGGATTTAGCTCAGTGGCATAAACACCTGCTTTGCAAGCAGGCAGTCATGAGTTTGATCCCCGGTACCAATAAAAAAGGACAAAGAAAATGAGACTATCAAAATACAGAAAGCTCAAATAATTTCTCCAAGATCAAACAACTAGGAAGTGATGCAAAGCTGATCTAGGACCTGGGAGTATTTGCCTCCAAAATTTTTAAATTTCAATCCTTAAATCCCTTCTAAGAAATGTACATCAGGATACATTTTTAAAAAAATGTAAAGCTAGTTTCCCAAATTCCTTACATCGCCAAGAGTCTACAGTAGAGTTAGCAAACTATGGGTCAAATTCAGTCACTCATTTGTTTATGTATCATCTGTGGTTGCTTTTTCACTCCAACAGCAGAGTTGAACAGTGAAACTGACATATTTATTTTCTGACCCTGCACAGAAAATGTTTCTGAAGCTCCGGTCTAGAGCCATGGCAATTTAGAGCATCTTGTAATGGCTTTACATTACAAAGCACCTTGGTATACACCACCACATTTGATCTTGATTTTGTAGGGACATTCATGCATTATAAAGAAGGAAGCTAAAACTCAAGAGAGTTTATAAACAATTTGCGTGATTAAGGCCACAGGAGCATAAAGTGGCAAAGCCACATACTCAGGTTATGACTCCAGACTATACTCATATGCATTGTATCTTGCACTACACAGTTAATAAATACATGGCTAGATTTAAGTGGACTAAACACTAGAAGAACATTGGCAATAGATATTCATCTTACAATTTACAACAAAATTTTCTTTAAAGGGCCCTTCTTTCCACTCTGAAAATTCAAGTTTAATCTAAATAGTAATTATGATTATTGAAATATGGCTTTAAGGACTTACTTGAAATACACAATACAAGGCACCTTCCTTTTTATTTCAGATTTATTCTGGCACCGTTTAGATTTCATTTCAGACATAAAATTGGATGATGGCACCCTGAAATCACTGCAAGAAGGAATATTGCATTTGTAGTAAACATAATGTTTGATGATATATATCACACATAAAAAGTATGATATATCATAGAGGTAAAATGACATTATTTAATGTGATAAAATATATTATATGCAGATGTAGGGATATATAAATATTCAGCTGGGAACCCACAGTTAGACATATTCACTTATTTCCTAAACTGAGAGAATTGAAGCACCTAGTTTTAAGTGAGCTTTTCAAGTATGTACACAACAAATGTGCATGGAGGTAAAATTTGCTTTCTATGACTCAACTAATTATACTAATCAAATTCAAAATTACTTTTTATTTCACTCTATATAAAACTAATTAATCTTGGACCCTGATTGGTCACGAGGTCTTTATGATTAATACTAGTCACTGAGGGCCCTTACTTTGACAGAGGGGAGAACTCTGATCATTTCAGGCTTTTCATCAAATGGCTTTTCAATCACTGATTTATGGTCTATATCACTGAAAATGCCACTTTCATCAAATTGGTTGTGCCAACTATTTTATCAAAGTCACCATTCACTTTTGGCAGTGGTGGTTTGTTAAAGAGAGAGACGTTGTGTTACACATTTTTATATCTTGCTCAGGGCCCTAAGCCTAATGTTCAGGAGTGTGTAATCAGTCATCCGCTGTTGAACATGCTAGTCACTCAACAACCTATAAAGACAATGCATATCATTTCCAAGCTTGATTCTGCAGCACAGTCTCAAGGACATGAGGAATGTGAGGATCTGCTCTCCAGCTCACCACTAGCAGGGGAAACTCCTGGAACCAAATGAGCCCTGCAGAGTTAGCCTTTAATAAAGGACAGAGTAAGCTAATTGTAGGCACTAGTTTTAGTTTCATTCCTTAGGATCTAAACATTTCAAAACTGACAGAAACAAAAACTACCCCTCGCTGACACCATCAAACTTTTTTCCTTTTGCATGACTCCATGACGCAGTACCATCTCCTGCACTGTTCTGCACAGGTAAAGCCAACACTGCTGAAGAGCTGACATTCCAGTTGAAGTTCTGGGTCCAGTAAGACATGAAATAAATAATTTTGTAGAAAGTGACACTGTAGCTTGCTCCTCTCCTTTTTGTAAACATACTGCTCTGCTGGGAAGAGGGGGAGAAGAAGGTTGCTTGTGCTTTATTTTCACATTTGTACTTTTAATGTTTTTTAAATCCAGGCTATAGGTAAATATAAAGACAGAAGAAATAAATTAGGAGATGATTATTCACATTAAAAAGGGATTGTCCATAGGGTTCCATTAAACACTGAACTCCCTTAGGACTCTGAGTTTGGAATGTGATTTAGATGCAGCTTTTCAAGAATATATTTCTTGTATAAAGAGAGGTGCACCCATATATTCATCTTAATTCTCTTCTTCAGCACTTGTTTCCATTCATAGGGTGCAAAACAAACAGTTCTTGTTAAGAAAGTCTGTGGCTTCATAAATTGCACTCCTCACCTTTCCCAGGGCAGGAGGCTTTAAGGAATCTGACCAGCAAAGAAAAAGACCCTCTTGGGGATGCAGTCCTTCCACTATCTCAAACCAGCACTCTTTCTAAACACCAGGGGTTCACTTCAGCTTGGTCCAGGCAAATGTGCTGGGAGCAGGGTGTATGAGATTTGGACCCTGTGTAGGCTACAAATATGGCCCGTGGCAGAGGAGGAAATTCAATAGAATTGAATTTCTTCTTATAGATAAGCTTCACATCTGTACCAGGTAAAGAAGGGCCCTTTCTTCACCCAGATGCCCATCTACAACTGATGGAGCATAGCTGCTAGTCATGAGAACCAAGGACCTTTTCTATCCCATCCTTCTGCTAATTAATATTAATTGACAAACCACCTTAATCCCAGAGAGCAAAAATAAGGCGACTGGGGAACTCAATCCCAAGAATTGGTGGCAGTCAAGGAGATGCCCAATAGAGAATCAAAATGGTCACATTGGTGGCTTCACCGCTCAAACCAGTTGGCCAAATTGCGAATACTCTTGGGTTGATCCCCAGCAGTCTGCACTGCCTGGCAGGCCCGACACCAGGGCTCGTCCCAGAAGGAGGTGATGTGCACCGCATACCTCCGGCGCCAGTGGAAGTAACGGCGGTAGACAGCCGGGTTGCGATCTAGGAAAAGCAGGTAGGCGGCCAGGGAGGAGGCACTAGGGAAGTCATCCACGTGGATGAAGGAGTTACGGGGCACAAAACGTTCATAGTTGGCACGGTCTGGGCCCAAAACCACCGGCACTGCTCCGGCCAGCAATGCATTGCGCCAGAGCTTTTCAGTAATGTAATCCAGGTGTTGCGAGTTCTCGAAAGCTAGGTAGAACTTGTAGCGGGCCACTGTGTGCAGGAGCCCGCTATTAGGTACCGGCCGCCCAGGCCCGCTCCGGCCAAACACATCGACCGGCAGGTGCTGGCTCAGCTGATGGTAATAGTGGACCCTGGCCTGGCGCTCATCCCAGTGGCTCACCACCCAGGCCACCAGTCCCCTTTTCCGGGCTAGAGGTGGGACTAGGCCCCTCGGCTGATCACCAGGGTGTCTCCTGGGATAAAGGTAACCGTAAGGCACGAAGATATCAGAATCAGCGCGGTACGACAGCGTCCAGTTGAAGAGGTTCCCTGCTAAGGCCCGCAGCCCCGGAGAGTGGGTGGGCGACTCGAAGTTCATCCACACCCAGCGCTGGCCAGGGGGCCGCGGTCCAGAGATCGCCGCCTCCTCCGGATCGTCCAACATGCGCAGCTGCAGGTCCTCCGCCGAGCTCACCTGGGCGCCCCAGGGCGGAGGCCAGTCAGGGGGTCCCCACACGAGGTCGCGGTGGTGGAAAAGCACAGCTTGCGCCTCTCCGTAGGCCGTGCGGTCGGTGAGGAGCCGGCAGCCGCTGATGTTGAAGCGCAGCCAGCAGTCGGGGGGCGGTCTCGAGGCCCTGCCGCGCCCCCCGAAGGGCTCCCACCACAGCAGCACGCCCACCGACCGGCCTGCTGGGGTCGGGGACGACCAAGGCAGTGACGGCAACTGTCCCCAGCAGGCGTAGGCGGCCAGCGCCGTGCACATCAGCCCAGCGGCAGCCAGCGTGGACGCGTTCCGGGGCAGCCCTCGGCCTCTGCGCCGCCCGCCGGCCACCAGTCTCCACTGCGCCTCCATGGAGCGCATGGGCACAGCAGCCGCCGCCGCTCGCCGAGCGTCCGCTGGCGGGGAAGGCCCGCATCGGTTCTCATGCTGCTGCGGGGGCTCCGGCCGTCTTAGCCGGTCGCAGCTGGCCTGGGTGCAGGAGGGGGCGGTCCCGGAATCCACTGGCCGGCCGGCCCGGCTCCCCCCCTCCCGGACCGCAGGCGGAGCCCGCTGCCAGGGCGAGGTGAGAGGGCCGGGCAGCCCGACCGGGCGCCGCCCTGACCCTCCTCTCCACGGTGCTTCCTGCCCGGCGGGCCTGGCCCCGAGAGTTTCCTGCTGCGCCGCCGCCCATTCTCCACCCCAGCCAGTGCTCCGAGGCTCCCCGACTGCGCCCCACGGACGCCTCATCCGCAGCTCGGGATCCTGCCTCGGTGGGTCCTGATCGTTTCCGCGCGCCCACCGTCCCGGCCTTGCGCCTGGACCTGCCTCCCCGCGGCGGTCCGGCTCTCGCTCACAGCAGCCTGAACACTTGGATTCCAGAGTTAGGACCCGGTCGGTTTCTGGGCACGAGCGGGGGCTTGAGACCCTCCAAAAGCTGGGACCACGCAGGCAAGGACAGAAAGGCTCTCGGGGACGGTCCGAGCGGCTCAGCGGGACGGAGATCGGAATTCGCTTCCTTCCGCGAGGCCACCTACCGGTAGGCGACGCCCGCCGGAGGCAAGGAGGAAGCGCGGGGAGAAAGAAAGTGAGACAGAGACAGACCGCCTGAGACCGAGACCCAGAGAGCGAGAAAGAGACCGAGAGAGAGATCCAGCGGTCCAGCTGAAGTCCGGTAGTCATGACCTCATGGTCTGCGGAAAGCTGCCAGCCGTGGAGTCAGCCCTCGCACCTGGGCCCACAGAGGCTGTGCATTGTGTGAAACTTACTTTTCAGTGCGATGAGACCAATCAATCTCTTTACCTGTGTTGGACCTCCAACTGAGGAGGCCAACGGAATGAGAGTAACCAGAAACTAAGCAACCCAACACGTTCCTTCCTCACTCTGCACCCAGCATTTGTGACTGCTGATAACGGTCTTGATTTTAAGCCTGAGAATTCACAAACATGCTGGGTGCAGAGTGAAACTGAGAACTCACAAACTAAAGTTTCAAATGGCCCCCAGGCCCTTACCTTCAAGGAACTTACTGCCTGTTTAAGAAGATGAGTGAATGAACGTCCCTATTAATTTTAGGCCCTTTTCAGGTTTATCAGTGAGGCTGCAATTAGATGACTACATCTAAAGTCACATGTTACTCACTTTCCATTCTAAATAGGCTGGGGCAGGGCTACAGATCCAAGGAGAGGAGTGTTGAGAAAAATCTGAGTTCAGGGCTGTGCTTCCTGGAATCCCTGCCTAGAGTATGATACAAATGACAGAAGGTGGGGGAGAAATAGAGCTGGGAAGGGAACCATCCCAAATGTTTTTGACCTGATACAGAAAATAAATTTAGGTTTATCATTTCAGTTTATTTTTTATTTACTTATATTTATTTTTAAATTTCTAACAGATCATAAAAATTGTACATATTTTGGTGCCCTGTGGTGTTTTTATATGTATAGGTTATGTATATATCATGTATAGATTATGTAATGCTCAAATCAGGGTAAACTCAAACATTTATCACTTCTTTATGGTGAAAATTTCAGAATATTTTGTCTATCTTTATATATATACACACACACACACACACACACACACACACACACACACACACACATATATACTTCTATATGTATTCAAGTGTAGGGGCCAGGGATATAGCTCAGTGGCACAGCACCTGCCTGGCAAACAAAAGATCATGATTCCCAGTACCGAACAACAACAACAAAAAATAACAGAGTATAAACACTTCTTTAAAAGTTTTGGTAGCTCTACCTAGTAGTGCACAGAAGCAAATTAAGTTTTCTGACTGTGCCCATCAAGTAGTAACTTTTTCTACACATAAAACCCTTTATAATGTCTCTTGTTTGTTTTGTTTTGATTTGACAAGTAGAAATTCAGATTTTAAATTAAAAACTAGATATTTCAGAGAATTTCAACTCTATTTTTAATTTTTTATAAAAGCAAAAACATGTATTGGCTTTCCTTTTTTATGCAATACAAAAACCCTGCACATTTATTCCTCTCCTACTCCAATTAAGTAAGTCATCAGAGCTAAAGCCAAAGATTGTCTGGACATGGTAGGTAGGCATTTGATATAAGTTGACCTGCTGTTTTGCCTGCTTTCCTCTGTACTCCTAATTTTCCTTTAAATCCTCCAGATGTTCCAATGAAATCAACTTTTTACTTGGAAAATGCCTTAGCTCTCATGAATATCAATGCCTATTAGACTGCTTATGTCTTGTTATGATTCAGGACCACAGACTGCCCCTACTTAAGTCCCATGTTGGTGTCAGGACGGGGAAACTGGGAAGAAGAATGTGCCTGAATTGATGGAATCCAGTCCCAGTTTCCCTACCAGGTACTAACTGAAGATCCTACATAGTGATTTAGTCTCTATACAGTGAGTCTTTCTGAAAAAGAGTCAGCATGGGGAAAAAGAGAAGGAAAGGAGTTCTGGCAGGGTAAAAATTTCAGATGTTCTCCTTTATTCACTGAATAAATTGGGGAACAAATGAAAATTATTTTGACATTCAAAAATCTATAAAGGGAGAAAAAGACAGAAGAGAAGGGATCATGAAAGACGAGGAAGGTAGCCTCTGAAATGATTAGGAATAATTAAAATGGGAGAGGAAGTAGACTAAGTTGCTCATCTTAACAGAAGGAACAGTGCTACAAAAGCCAGGACGGTAAATTAGGAATTACTAGGGTATAGGTTGGCTAAGGAAATGGAATTTTATCCTGAAAGTCGTACAGTGTCTTTGGAAGGTTTAATAAGGCAAGAGGGCAATATGATGAGATTCATATCTTTAAATAAAATTTAATTTTTATCATGTGTGAAATGGTGTTATGCTGGGGACAGGAGGAGGGCTTCTGACATGCTGATCATGTTTATTATGGTAGGTGCTGGTTAATGGGTGTGATTTGTTAAGAAAATTCATTAAACTATATGCTTATATGTGTATTTTTCTGTGTGTATACTATACAACTGCAGTAAAAAATTTCTAAGAAAAAAAATCTGTCATCAGTTGAAGGTAAGTTGGGTAAAACCAAAATAAGAGTGGGGGTATATTGTTCAGTTGGGAAACAACAATAATTCAGATGTAAAATGAAAAGAAGCTGAAGCCTTGAGGATGAGGAAGTACATTAAAGAATAAATCCAGGGGTATGTAGCAGACTAGTAACATTCTCTAGGGAGCCTTACTGGACACTCACATGCTCACATCTAGTGTAGTTTACATGGCCCTCCTGAGTGCTTTCAAACATATACATGTTTCAGACTATTAGAGGTCAGGGATTGTAGCTCTTTTATTCATGACTCCATCCATAGCCCTGAATAAAGCATCTAATAGCAGTATGCAACACCTTAATGAATACTCATTGGATAAATGAATGCTTTTAATGTATTACTGAAACTGTCAATATCTGTTCCCCTAAAGAAAGTGGCTAGGTATAAAGAGATCTTGGCTGTATAAATGACTTACTGTGAATTTAGGATTCCCTGTAACTTCCAAGCATGGTGTGGCACATCTGTAATCTTAGTGCTTGTGAGGGAGAGCTAGGAAGATTGTAAATTCAAGGGGAGGCTAGTCCACATAGGGAATATGAAACCAGCCTGTACTACATAGTGAGACTCTGTCTCCAAAAGAGGAAAAAAATCACAATAGAACTCTTATGGTATCAAGCTCTTCATCAAAGTTGTTCTTTTGGGCCCACCCTGCACCAGGAGCTCATTCTTCAAGCAATCGATATGGTCTAGAGATGTGACCTCTTTTCAGATGTTCCTCTGGAGCCAAAGGTAACATCGGCCCCATCTAATCCTCATGGGACAAAAATGGACGGAAGGTAGACCTGCAAAGGAAAAAGTGAGGTGTTGGTGTTTAAAGAATAGGCAGAGGATGTGGGGCAGGCAACAATATATCTATTACCCACACAAAAGGAATTGTCACGATTTTTGAGATGAAGAGGTTGGATTAAATGAATTCTGAATCACTTAGAAATATAGACATTCCATGATTCATTCTAATTTAATATCAATAAATGATTGATTTGTGCATTTGAAGTCTCCTCGGTTTCTGAAAAACGTTGCACAGACTTTTTGCTTTCAGTTTAAGAATAAAGCAAGGGCAGGTGTAAAGAAAGGTTTTTGTATTCTGAGGGCTGCTCCAGCAGTACAAAATCTCCGTAACACAGGGCTCAATTTGTCAAGGAGAATAAACAATCAGTTCGCAATGTGCCAGGGTGATCCACACGGTTTGAAACCCTGACATAAGGCAGAATTTTGTGAGCACAAGAACCCAGCCAACTCTGGTACCGAAAATTCAAATTTACTCTTTGTTTTTCCCCAGGGAAATGGTTCACTTGCTAGCATACTGGGGTCATCTTAAGCTTACACTACACTGCTCATCAGACAGTGAGTTGGTTTGTTCTGATTATCTCGATTTCCAGCCAGAACAAATCTCTGTCAGCTTGAATTTTGTGAGAGCCAGGCTACCTCCAAGGAGGCTTCATTATTAGTTGGACTTGAGATTTCTGTGACTGAACCCTGACCTGTTAAGTATATACTTTTCATTTTTTTTCCCTCGAGAAGAGATAAAGGTGGTTCAAAGTCCCTCTTATTGTGTATTTAGTGAGAAATGGTGAGAAGCCAGTGAACAGATATGGTTTGAAAAGCAAGGAGGTAATGATTGTTTCCTTTGTCAGGCACAATTTTTTAACTGTATAATTGGGCAAATAAGTATGGTAAGAATAGTTTAAAAATTATTAGAAATTGTACGAGATAACAGCAATGTATAATTTATTGTCCAAGTCACTACTAAATCCTTAAAGTAAAAACAAAACAAAAACTCTAACACAAATCTATAAGCTCTTTTTGTACTCAAATGAAATAATTTACTGACCCTGAAAGAAACTGTCACAGTCAGTCAGTCTGATACTACACTTGATCTTAGCCAAAAGGCTAAGAAGCAACAGTTAGTCAGAGAACTCATTATATTTTCTTTAGGGTTTTACACTTTGTGTGCTCATGTTCTTCCTGTACATTTACTTGAAGAAACAAGCAATCAATGAAGTTTGGATGATCAAGAAAATGTACATGGTGAGATTTGGTTAAAGTCAGAGATATTTGCATGATATTTTAAATATTTCAAGGGTTTAACTCTTCTTTTTTAAAAAAATAAACTGACTTTTTCTAAAATGGATTATTCTCAGTCACATGAAAAAGTTATGGAATGTGAGATTTAAAAGAAAATTATTCTGAGATTGAGATAAATATCCACATATCACAGTAAGCACCTGGCACATGCCTAGAGAATGTTTATAAAATAGATTAAAAGATAAATGACAGAATATTCCTATTAATTTTATATTTCATAGGGCACTGGTGAAGTAATTTAATTTCTGCACTCAGGGTGGTAATAAGGACTTTGAGCTATAAAAGATGACTAAGATTAATACTATACCCAGATATAGGGTAAAAATGACAAGTGTCACCTTGGCCTCTCCATATTTAAGTCAGGTTTATCAGCATCACCCCATTCCTGCATCCCAGTTTACTCATCTTTAGTCAAATGAGTGAGCCGAAGTTCTGTACCATCTCAGAAACTCACACAAACCCAGACACATGCCCCGCATCAGAGTTTGGCTATACCTAAATTCAAAGCCACCAGCAGAAAGGCAGGCATCTCTGTGTCTGAAAGATCAGTTCTTGATTTTCTTCTCTCTCCCTCTGTTGGACCCTGTTTCTCACATGAACCCAGGGCATACTTCAAAAAAAAAAAAAAAAAAAAAAAGGAAAGAAGATATGCTTTCCCTACAAGTCAGGTAATTCAGCCTTAACCAATAAATCTCTCCCAAGCAGCCAATCAGACTAGAACAGCAAATCTGACTAGGTTCTATCACACCCCTTCCTGTAGATCCTTCCTCTAGAAAGGGACTGGGGGACTTGCAAGTACTAAGAAATACTTTTTGGAGCAAAGTGAACAAAATTAGGGACATGTAAATGATTGTTGGTAAAACAGAGATCGTTGGTAAAATTGTTGGAAAATAGAGATAAAAAAAATTCAAAGGAGTGGGACAGCCAAATATTGCAGTTCCAAGTTCAGTTTTCCGTGGCCAAGTAAACACAGCCCAGAAGTCTTGAACAATCTATAAGGGTGAAATCACATTAGTAATGATGAATAATATTATTTTCAACCACACCCAAAATGACCTTTGGTGTGTATGTGATCTTTGTTGCTTAGTGGAATTTTACACACTGCTGGTTTTTCTAAGAGGGGGAGAGAAAAAGAGAGGGGAAAAAAGAGAGCATGAGAAGGAAAGGCAAAGAAAAGAAAAGAGAGGAAGAAGGCAAGAGAGTAAAATGGAGAGGGAGAGGGAAAAGAGGAAGAGAGAGAGGAAGAGAGAGGACGTAGACCTTGACTCATTATCCTGGCTGTCTAACTGCATTGTAAGACCTGCCTCTGTCCTGGTAGCACCATTGAGCATACATTAAAAGAAAGCTTCTTTCTTGATTGAGCTCACTGTTCAGACTGGATTTCTTAGATCATCCAAAGTGGCAGGGAAATAGCAATAATTCTTCCTTGAAGAATGTAGAAATAGCCTGTGCACTCATTGGAAAACCCACCATTGCTCTCTTCTACAGCATCCTTCCCCTATGGAGAAAGCTCTCCTGGCTTCCATTTTCCAATTTGTAGTTTGGGAAATACTGATGGATAGCTAAGATTTGACATAATGGTCCTAAAATTTGTTGTGCTCCTTTAAAAGATAAAATTCTTTAGCATTTCTTTACTTTTACATATTACAGCCTGACCCCTTTGTTGTTATCAGGCTTGCAGAGCTATTTCTAAAGTATTTCCTAGCCAAGCAGCACTGAGACTTTTCTTTATTAATATTTGCAGAGTTATGCTAGGGTTAGCTATTGTTTGGTTTTACAACCTACAAAAGCTATAAATTTTGCTAGTTAAATACTAGGCGCACGGAGTATGTAACTAAGCAAACAGATGAATAACCCTGCCCTCTAGGACTTGTCAGCTAGCATACTCACCACATGAAATTAAATTATATTGTAAAACAATTGCAGGCCCGAGTTCAAAGGTTGTCATCCAGTTACTGCGAGCCTGTTTACCCTTCAATAACCTGGCCCACCTGCCTGTTGGTGTGACATTTCCTGGATTGCCTTACCACTGTATCCTTTGTTACTCTGTATTGATCAAGGGTCACTGTCAGAGCAAGTGTCTTTTAGCGCCTATCTTTGCAACCTTCTCATTTTCCTTTACCATTTATTCGGCAAGGTTTTGCAGACTGTCAGGAAAAAAATGTGACGTTAAAGGGCAGTATGTTTCGCTTGTGGAAGGAAGATAGATATGAATTGTACACCCAATAGTTTCTACTTTCTCTGCTTTACTTATGGAGGAGAAGTGTGGAATTACAACTAGAAGAAAGCTCTTCAGCCTATGCACATGCTCCAAGCAAGAACTATAATTGAGCCAGAAAAAAACAAAGGAGCCTCTCCATTGTGAAACATACCACTAATATGGGAAACCACAGTTAATAAAATCTGTTCGTGGACACAGAAGTTTAATCAGCATTTCAATCTCTTGCTTTAACATTTTATTTTATTATAGTAAGAACTTTAACATGAGATTTACCCTTGAAACAGATTTTTTAGTGTGCAATACAATATTGCTATTTATAGGCACAAAGCTCACCAGGTATGCAGAACATATAAATCCTATATCCCCAAAATTTTGGTCCTGTTGATTAGAAACTCCCCTTTCCTACTGCTCCCTCAGAGCTCCTGACAGCCACCATCCCTCTCTCTGTTTCTATGTATTTAGTCAGCTATTTTAAATTCTTCATATAAAGGAATCAGGCAGCTTTTGTCTCTCTGTGGCTGGGCTTGTTTCACTTAGCATAATGTCCCTGCAGCATCATCCATGTCACCCTCTAGTTCCCCTCCACCCCTGTGTTTATGTGTGTATGTTTGTCTAGACAGGTATAAATCTGGCTGGAACATTCTGGGAAATCAGGCGGTTGGCATTCTTAAAATGGACAGCATTGACTCTGAATTTGATTACCCTATTTTCATTCAAAGTTCTTGTGGTTTATTCCTTCCAGAATACAAACCTATGAAGAAACTCCAAAAGCTTTCTTTTTATTATATGGATATGGAAAGGTGGAAATATCCATTAAAATTTGACAGTTTAGACAAGCAGATGTTACACAGGCAAAAGGTCATAATGGATGGCTGAGTGAAAAATGTGAGCTATAAAATACGTGAAACATGTATTTTTATTAAAACAAAAGCAAAAACCTCCTCATATAATTTCCATCTTGTAAACATTGCAGTTGTGAGACAAGGGATGTGATAAGATAAATCAGTCTTAAAAATACAACTAAAAAATTGTTTTAAAAAAGTTGCCTCACCTGATATAACTGTAAAGAAACAGTTTCCTCATTTTTTTTCTACTTTTAATCTTCAATCTATGTGGCTCACAGATGCTTTTGTGATGACTATTGGCCAAATTAAGCAAGAGGTATATACCCTGTATTACCAGTAAGTATCTCTAGCAGAAACGGAAGAAAGCCTTAGGATCCGGAGTCAGGAGGTGTACACAATGAAGAATGAAAGCAAATGGTTTGCAGACACCTTTGGAAATAAAATATCTTTGTTTTATTTTTGGTTTCAGAATGCTTTTAGTATATTTCATTACTGTGTATGAAAATGTTGATTTAGGATTGCTATTTTTTGTTATTTTTAAAGAAGTGTCCTTTTAATTCTGGTTTTAGAAGTTTCATCTAAAAAAATGCCTTTTAGAAATTTTAAAAGTTGATTGAATTGAAAGACAAAGCAAAATATTGCACCATAGTATAACTTTTAAACCATCCCTTACACTGGGCATTTAGGTGGGCTTCTAAACTTATTATTATAAATAATGCTGGCCCCCAAAACCCTGCACATATATCCACTTGAGAAAATATGCAACAGGGCATTGCAGTACAGTAATGAGCTGCAAAAAGCCAGAAACCGAGAGTAGAATAAGAAAGAAATACAAGCAAGGGCACAGTGACATGAGCTCGGTCCTTGTTAGTCTTAGAGGCTGGTCAGAAAGGGACGATTCAGAGCTCAGGCAGTAAAGTTCAAAATAAACAGTGAAGAGGGTGGGAGCTTGTTTACTGGCAAAGGTAAAGTGGAAGTGAGAAAGGAAATCCTTGAGCATGTTTACAAAGTCACACTGGGAACCCAGCTAGGAACAGGATATTTCAAATGGGATGGGTGAAAGTCAGTATTCCCCTGCATTGCCCTCTTTGTGTGGCATCTTACTACACATGTAAAAAGCCAATGTTGAGAGTTTTTAGAAGTTAAAGATTTTTAGATTTGTAAGAATACTAAATACTTTGCCATAACTCAAGGTAGTTTTAATGTTTTATGATTAAGTGAAGATGTAACCCCTCAGTTTTAGCCATTGGCAAATATTATTTTGAAACAGCCAATGGTAAAAACAGTTCCATAAACATGGTGGTAGGTGGAGCTGTCTTAGGCATAGAAGCTCATCTAGTGTTCATTAACCAAATGGAAATTTTTATATTAAGCTTGGAAAAGTTTGACTCACGAGATTATTGACTGTTTCACAGGGTAAATATTTTTAAGCAGGGGCAGGACATACCCAGTCAACAAATCCTTGTTGACTATACTTGATTTATTACATCAAAAATAGTAATGAACTTGAGAATGAAGAGGTATTAAGATGAATTTACCCTACAAAGAAAAGTGATCAGAATACTATTCAATACTAGAAGAAATATTATGTGTGTGTGTGTGTGTGTGTGTGTGTGTGTGTGTGTGTGTGTTTGAGCCCTCCACTGAGTTACACTCCAGGCCTTTTCTTCTGACTTTTACACAGGCTCTTAATTGCCAGGTTGGGTTCAAACTTGCAATCCGAAAAGATGGCAGATAACAGCTGGCTACTGAAGCTCCCTGAGATAGTCAACTTACAATTAACATAATACAGTGTGAGGAACCCCAAACAGAAGGGGGTGAATTCTCTCATCCCAAGAAGAAACTAAGGTGAGAAGAACCAATTGAACGTACAGTCCCAGTGTTATTATTGGAACAGCTAAAGGTTCAGTGCTCCTGCTGCAGTGGGAGACTTGCCAAGCCATCCGAGGTCTCACGACTTCAACTCACTGGAGGCACAGTCACACTAAAGTCGAGAGTCAGCCAGCTGAATGGACAGCTGAGCTGGTGGGGAGCCTGCATCAGCCTGTGGTGAGTGACAGGAGTGGAGCCATTCCACAGAAAGGGGGGCTCTGGCAGATGACATTATGGGACTGGGCAGGACTGGCAAGTACAAGGGGCAGCAGTGACTTCAGTCAGTTGTTCCCTTCCCGAACAGGATTGGTAGAGTGAACTAGGCCTGGGTCATGGGACCTGGCTGAGACCCAATAGGTTATCTGAAATCAATTCCCTATGGTGGCAGTGTACCCTAATGCAGAAGGCCTCAGAAGTTTGACTGACCCAGAGGGGAGGCAGCACACAGTAATATAGTGTAGGCCTCGGCAGCTTGACTGATCTGAAGGGAAGGGGCCAACATATGCTGCCCCTGTTTGCAACTCACTAGCACACTGAAGTGGGAAGGGTCACCTAGTCAGCATGCTCAGAAGAATTGTAATCAACAAAGAAAGAAAGTAGGGCCTCCTGAAAGAAACAAAAAAGATGGGAAGAGAAAGCAACAACAAAAAGTCTCCAGGTCCCAACCCTGAGAACATCAACCCAGGACAGGTAAATACAAAGGAGAATGAGAATAGCAAACATGCAATATCAGACACAGCACCAGTGGACATAAAGAGATATCTTCAGGACCTCAAAAGTGAAATATTTAGCCAATTAAAGCAAGATATAAGAAGATGCTAAGCACTCCTCAAGCAGACACAGATGGAAGAAAGGAACTGAAACAAAGGAGAGAACCATTTGATGAAGAATATAAAAAAATATAGAATACATGGAGCAGATTCAAAGAGATCACCAGGAAATTAAAAGCTTTATGGAAAGATGGCAAATCAACTTGAAAGAAACTAAGGATAGATTATCCAAACTGGAGGACAGTTTTGCAATGTGAGAATATGAAAGGAAAAACTTTTTAAAAATCACAAGGAAACAAGCAGTAACAATACAAAGGCTAGAAGATGACAAGAGGATCTTTAACTTGAGAATAAAGAATGTGAATGAAGAAGCAGGGGTACAAACAAAGGAACTACAAAAGCTATTCACAGAAATAATTAAGGAAATTTTTCCAAACATAAGAAAAGGAAATGATATTCTGATATATTAGGCATACAGAACTCCAGCCACCTACAACTAAAACAGAGTTACACCCAGGCATACAATAATCAAGATCCCAGAAATTCAATAAAAACAGAATATTAAAAGCTGTTAGAGACAAGAAACAGATAACCTATAAAGGAAGGCTCATCAGAATCATGGCAGACTTTTCTACACAAACCATCAAGTCAAGAAGAGCCTGGAGTGAAAAATTCCAAGCCCTGAAAGAAAATAACTTCCAACCCAGATTGATATACCCTGCTAAACTGCCTCCAGAAATGAATGGAGAAACAAGATGCTTCCAAGACAAAGAGGAACGTGGGAAATTCGCAACCACCAATCCAACTCTACAGAGAATACTGCAGGTCATTCTAGAGAAAGAGAGAAAATTACTAGGATTCCAGGAACAGTGGCAGAGAAGCCTCAATAAATGGAGCAGAATACAGAATGAAGAAGACAAGCAGACAATTGATGGCAAAAAAAAGCATTACAGAAATGAGGCAGAGAAGGTTGGTTATAATCTCTAATATAGATGGCCTTGATACACTAAATTAAACAAAAAGAACCACACATGGAGTAGATCAGAAGGCAGGGTCCACTGAGATGCTATTTATAGGAAATATAATTAACATGAAAAAGAGTACATGTACTGAAAATCAAATATGAGAAAATAATGCTCTATGTGACAGAAACTAGAGAGTAATAGGGGCAACTAGACCACTATTTGTGGATAGGTTGGAAAGACAAGCTTTACTAGGTGAAGGAATACAATTAGAGATCAAGTCCAAGAGACAGAAGGTTTGGAAACACTTAGATAAAGAGCAGGTTTGCGCCTCCCAATTTAAAATCAAGGGTCTTGGTGAGACCCAAAAATGTACAATGTACCCTGGGGAAGTGAAAGGGGAGGGAGAGTCTTTAAAAAGATGGCAGAAGATATTGTTAATAGTGTATCAGGATTTAAAACCCACATTACTTGCACCACTCTACTTAGATAGATTTTATTCTTTTTTTGATAGATTTTATTCTATCCCAGTTTGTTTACTTGCATTAGATTTGAGGGAACAGACAGCTATCCCAAAAACATCAGGATATAGCACAGTAATCATCTTTAATTTCCTATTAACTTAATCTGGAGTCCTGTATGACTTGTTTTATCATGACTGATCTTTGTTAAATCTGGTTTGTTAGATTGCTGTTTAGTATTGACAGATTTTATTCAAAACTGATATGATTGACAGTATCAAGTCTGAGAGTAAAGGCAACTACACTGAAGATGACAAGACTTTACAATAGACATTCTGGTTTGATAACTGCCTGTTTTTGAACTTTTATACAATATACAAAGTTGTGTTTTTATTAATACTGTTGTGTACTGATATATTCAATTATACTATGTCTGATGATATAGCCAATTCTATTGACGATAACAAGAGACAACACAGGAACTATGGTAGAACTCCTTATATAACAGTCTTATATGTCTTTTTCATTTCATGTGTTTATAGGAATATGTTTTGTTTTGTCTTGCTTTGTTTTGTTTCTCCCTCTAATATAGAAAGGATAGAAATATATGTTAAGACTTAAGCATGTGTAGAATCTATAAACAGTTTATGAGAACTGATCTTATGACACATGATAAAATTAACAGATACTTTGAAGAAAAAGAGACACTAATGTACCCAGTGCTGATCCTGGAGTGTCACAATGTGAAACCCAGCAATAGTATTCTTTGTTCAGAGTGATATTAGCCTGCTTGGGTTTGTTCAATCTCAACATAATTGAACATAGGGATAATTGCATGTATGTTTAAGTAGGATTAATAACCATATTTCTAAGTTTTTGTTGCATAGTTGAACAGAACTGGTTACAATCTCACTGTTTGAATCCCCACTTTATATGCTCCACTTTAGTATCTTGAATAAGTATTTGTAAGAGGACAATCTGTAATCATCAACTACTTATTTCTTACTGTTTATTTTTTTCTTTGAAAGTATGTATTATTTCTACCAATTTTCTATTTTGTTTAGTCTTTCTTTAAATAAAATTTAAAAAGAGAAGACACTACAGTACCCAGTGCTGATCCCGGAATGTCATGATGTGAAATCCAGCAATACTACTATTCTTTGTTCAGAATGACTTTAGCCTGCTTTAGTTTGTTTAATCGCAACATAAATGAAGATGTGGATAACTGCATGTATGTTTAAGTGTATAGGATTGATAGCCATATTACTAAGTTTTTGTTGGGTCGTTGAACAGAATGGTTCGCAGTCTCACTGTTTGAATTCCCACTTTATATGTTACACTTTTGTATCTTGAACAACTATTTGTAAGAGTACAGTATGTAAACATCAACTAGTGATTTCTTACTGTTTATTTTTTCTCTGAATGTATGTATTATTTCTACCCATTTCCTGTTTTGGTCTTTCTTTAAAAAAATTTTTTTAAAAACAAACTTGCAATCCTTCTCCCTCAGTGTCTTAAGTAGCTGTGATTGTACATGTACTATGTATCTTGCTGGGATAAACAAAAGAACTTTTTAAGTGTGTATGTAGGGAGAAGGGGTATGAATGAATCACAAGGGATATATTAAATGAGAAATTGGGAAAACCCAAATATCCAGAAAATATAATAAACATTTAGTACAAATATATAAACAATTTTTGTGCAATTAAAAATGGGAAATTACATATTATATTAAAAGGGATAATAACTATATACATTGTACAGTATGATTTTAAATAGGCAAAGTAAAATCTGCATAGAAAAAATATATTTACATGTTGTCATGGTTGTTTCTAGAAATTAGTTTACAAATAAGGGATGTTTTGCATTTATATTTCTTTATTTTCCAATTTTCTATAATGCATATATATTACTTTGAAAAGCAAGGTTTTTATTTTATACTTTTAAATCTCTTTTTAACCTAAAATTATTATTAAAATGCAATAAACATATCTTTATAAATTTCCTGGCTCCTCTATATTAGTAAACAAACTCTACAGAAAGCATGAGCTGGTATAAAAATGACTTTCTGAGAGTTTTTTCATCTATGTCATTACTAAGCACTATATATACCTGCATTTATTTCTGTTTTTAGATGGATTAGCGCATTATATTGTAGTAAAGGGTTAAGAATTACAATGCCTGAAGAAAAGACGCTTGTCTCTGCTTCACCACCAATTCATTAAAATAGGCTGAACTAGAAGCTCAATTTATTACAATTGTGCATTATTCATGAGCACTTAGAACACTTTACCAATCATCTTTCATTACTTTGGGTTAATTTATAGATTTTTCAGATTAATGTACTTTTTCCCTACACATCTAAAATTTAGAAACAAGCTTGAGTTTCTTCAGTGTTCTTCAAACACTAAGAGAAAGAGGTTCCTTCTCAGTCAGACATTCTATTCATCTTATCCTAGAGTAAAAAAAAAAAAGAATATATAAACAAATGTTTCAATGAAATTATCCTCCTGAGAGTTACTTTATGGGAGAAATCTCTGGAAATATTATAATTCACAGAAAACATCTCAAACTATTAATTCCAAGATGCCAAGATATATATGAAATATATACAACTTTTCATAATGTACACACTGAATATAGTAGGTTCCGCCTCCCCAGTGTTTGTATTCTGTTTAATAGATACAGAAATCTACTTTTGAGAAGAGGAAAGTATGTGTCGGTTAGCAGCAAAAAGATCTTGACCATAAAACTGAATTCAGCAAATATTTTCTAGCTCACTCATTCACTGGTTCTTTTCATAAAAAATGGAATTGAGCATCCACTGTTGCAGGCACCATGCTAAGTGCCAGAAAATGATGAGGAAGAGACATCATCCCTACCTTCATGATGAGGAAGAGACATGCACCTTTTGATAGTGCATGAATTCCTATGAACAATTTTTTAAAATTAGCTATGGATTTTGCTCCTCTAATATATCTTGTGCATAGTATCTTTCTTTTTTCATTGATAATGAGAAGTGTCATAATTTTTAGTCATAGGTCTGATTCATATAAATTGACAAGTTGTGATTATATAGCAAATAGTAGCAGTTGATATTATATGGCAAAAATCTACCTGGTAACCTACAGAAGTGAGGCTACATCAAACACATATATTATAATGTGATCACCATTAAGGTATGGCATGGGGTATGACTCTATTGTATGCTAGCAATTTAGTCTGGATGGGTTAGCCATAATGGGGAGCCAGCAACTAGTCTCTCCTGAACTGTCTGGGTGAAAAAAATGCACTCATAGTCAAAATCAAGCTTATTCATTTAGCATATAATCCCAACTGATGAACTGGATAACTTACTGGATGCTCATATCTTCAATAAAAGTACTTTATGCTTCAGTCAGTCTTATAATATGAATTTAGAAAATGATCCATCTTTAAATAGTTTTGTGAGTTTTCTTGGAATGACGAATATACTCACTGTAAATGAGATCTCACAAAATGTGATGAAAATTCAGGTGAACATCCCCTCAGTAGGAAAGTGGCCCAGATTTGGGTCAAATCAACCATTACTCCAGAAAAATGAGATCTTTGTGGATTATGAGCATGGGTGCCTCCTAGTTCCCAACCCTGATCCCCCAGCCCCAGAGCACTGGCATCTGTGCCTGTTCAACCATACTGCCCAGTTACTATACTGTCTGGCTGCCACATGGTTAAGGTCATAACTTTAGGTCAAAGGGTTTATAGTTTTAACTCCATTACCTGCTAGATACGAGATTTTAGGCAATGTAACATCTCTATTTCTCAGTTCTCTTACTTGAAAAATGAAGATTATAATCCTCATCTCAAATGATCATATGGCTTACATAACTCCATAAAACATTTACTGCCATTCTTGCCTCATGGTAAGTGGACTACTTTATTATTACTTAAGTCTCCATAACTGGTTCCTGTTTGCTACCTAAACTTAGTAATAAGTTTTGGTTTGGTTTTTAACTTTCTCAGTTTCTCAGTGACTATATTTTCCTGCCACTGACCTCACATCCCATAGGTCCATGCCTTATCCTTAGTGACACTTTTTCAGGGTTCTCATTTCTCTTAAGGTCCAACACACACCCCAGATCCCAGGTGCTATTTAGCTCAGGGATGCAGCTATGCCTCACAGTTAAAACTGCAGACTCTGGAAACAGGCTGTCTGGGTTCAAATCCCCATACTCCTCCTACTCACTAGTTCATTGGTGCTGGCTAAATTATTCAGACTTTCTGTACTTTGTTTTCCTTAACTATAAAGTAAGTCATGCTTGTTTCATATTATTGTAAAAATGAAATAGAATATTGAATATTGCTATACATATTAAGAATCTACAATAAGCAGTACTTATTGTTTGCCATTTTAATTTATGTCTTAGTTGAAAGTATACACATTTAGCTTTGACTCCTTTCTTTTCATTTAGAGTTATCACTGCTAGTAGATAGATTTTGGGACCTCATGTACCCAGCTGCATATTTCTACATTATTTGGATACTGTGATTCTATGTCTAGACTTCTTTCCATATATCCTGCTACAAATGACCCTGGAAGACACTTGCTATGACAATAAGAAAAGAGCAATGTTTTGTTCCAAGATATATGTCTGCTGAGGAGCAATATTTTGGAGAAATAAGGGACCCAAGCAAGGCCTTGCCTTATTCTTAACTCCCTCGTATGCTTTTCGTCATTTCGCTGTAAACAAAGATCATCCATCTAGAAGAAAAGGAATGTAAGATCCTCCTGTCTGTACATACACACACAGGCTGGCCATGAGCTAGAAAGTCTTTTGCAGACAAGTAAAGAAAATGTCAGGAGTGCTGGTATTACGTGTGTTCTGGGAACACTTCAGTTAGTTGTTTGACTTCCATAGTGACATAATGTAGTTAAACAAAAAGTCACTTAAGTGAAAGCAGTCTAGGGGAGTTTGCGTTTTGACTGCAACCTTTAAACAAAACTGCAAAATACCCTCAGGAGTGTCTGTAGAACTTAGGGGCATCAGGTTCTTACTTCTCAGTCCTCCGTGCCTCGAATAGTACTTGGCTTGCGGCAGTAAACTGTTTCTGTTCAGTAGTCCTGGCTTTCCACCACCCACAGGGAGATTCTTTTTAATGCTCCAAATTCTTTCCAGGGCCACTGTCAATATTTTCAAAAGCAAGATGATGATTATTAGTGTATTCTCCTTTTTAGCACAAAGTGTTTCTTGAATGTTTATTTGATGAATATATTTTTCAGTTATTGGGGTGGAGTTTTGTTTAATTCATCAAAGCACTCCAAGCAAGATCTTTGTCATTTATTTAATCTTTTATTTCATTTCATACATTTATTTATTCCCCCATACAATTAAGCCTCTAAGGTGTTTTTATATATTTGCAGTTAAACAAATACACAAAAGCCAGTATAGCTACACATTTAACATGACAAAGGATGCAAGATAAATAAAAATTTAATATACAGAATTTATTCAGCCAACCCTATGGATTATGACTTAATTCTTGCAGTAAATGGAAATGTTCCACAGAAAAGAAAATCAAAAATTCTCTATTACTTCATACAACATATTCAAGAATCTTCTAGAAGCGACAAGCCAATTCTACTCAATCCTTCTTGAAATAAGCAAAAACTCACTAAATCCTGCATTTAAAACACATAGCAAATTGCTTGGAAAATGATGTCCACACATTGCTACATAGCAAATTATAGGTTTTTGCATCCTGATACTATTTAAGAAATCTTACTAATGATTTGTACTGGGTTGTGTCTCACACCTTAAAATCACTTACTTATGTTTTGAGACTCAGCAAACATTTTGTAAATTTCTGCACAGAAAATCACAATACAAGTCAAGTAAGTCAGTGAATTCATGTTAATTGCTCTAAGTTACTTTTCTGATTTCTGAACCTGCAGATTTTAATGCTGAAGACTCCGCATGGATCCAGGATTACCTACTATCATTGTCATTGTCACTGACACTTGATCTCTCTTCAAAAGTTAGAACAAGAAGCAAACTCTTTGGGTTCAGAGAGGAGAGGGTTTTTGTCTCACGTCTATGACTTCTAAGTGTGTAACTCTGAGTAAGGTATTTCACGCCAGGATGTCTGTTTACTTATTTTCAAAATGGGGATAATAATATCTACTTTGAAGGATTATTGTAGGACATGGAAGAGATGGATACGAAGTGCTTTGTACTCAATAAATGACTGCTATATATCTTACAGGGGCAATGATTTTACTGTCCAAGCATGAACTCAGTTTCTACTTCTAAAGGTACAGTCATGTGCACCCATGTTTATAGCAGCACAATTTGTAATAGCCAGATCTTGGAGACAACCTAAGTGTCCATCAACTGAAGAATGGATAAAAAAAGTTGTGGTATTTTTATAAAATGGAGTACTACTCAACTATCAAGAACGATCACATTGAGACATTTATAAATAAATGGACGCAACTTGAGACCATACTCATAAGTAAAATAAATCAAACTCACATGTATAAATACAGAATAGTTTTCCTAGTGTAAGAAATGATAAGAATACATAAAAGTATGTTGTAATCATGATTCCCAATCATATTGGTTTGAAGCCATATAATGTTTTCACTCATTAATTGCAATGATTTTAACCTGGGTTGTTCGATTTTAGTATCTGTGATAGTACGAATAGCTATTTTGAAGAAAACAACACAGCATAAAAGCTAGTGCTGATTTAATATCATCTTGTTTTGAAGTCCCATCAAGCTATGGTACAACTGTTTCCACTGGTTTTAACATGTTGTATCTTACTATATTTCACTATATGCAATAGTATAAACAAAATTTTTTATAGGCAAAGAGATAATATAGAAACCGTTGTTCATTTTCTATTAGCTGGTTCTAAATACCCTGTAATTCTTTCATTCTCTTGAATGGCTTCACATTGTCTTGATATGCTTGATGCTGTAGCATACGAAGTTACACTCAAATAATTCAAGGAAAGAGGCACTGTGGCAACTACTATTATGTTAGATTATCTGGTGGTGAAACACAATGATGCTTAAATTGTTCGGTTCTGACCTGTGTTGTTCTGTTACAATGTCCTCTTTTATCTCAACCTCCCCCCCCCTTTTTTAAATTAATCTATTTTCTCTCATTTTTTTAATTAAGGGAAAACTAAATTAAAAATAGCAGGACATATTATAGTAACTTTTTTGTTTTCCTATTAACCTGATTTGAACCCCAGTATTGCTCTCCCCATCTTGTTCTGTCTGATTATTCTATATTCTATTTTGTTTGATAGTGTCAATGTTGAGGGTATAGGCAACACTTTGAAGGCAGTAAGATATACTATGATACCATTTTGGTTTGACTATTATCTTTTTTTTTGAAGTCCTGTAAGGTCTCCAGCGTAGGTTTTATTGGTCTTGTTCTGTAGTATTTTGATTAATTCTATTATACCTGATGATATAGGCAACTCAATTTAAAAATAGCAAGAGGCACAATGGTAACCACTTTTGATCACCTGGTATTCTATTTTTGCATCATGTACTATGCCCACCCTTCTGTTCTAACTGACTCTGTTTTGTTTAGTCACGTTTCGTTTTATTCTCTTCCAAAAAAGTAATAAGAACTGTGGGGGTAATAAAACCCAAAAAGTGTAATTGTTAGTGTAAGAAGAGAGGAAAGGAAGGTGGACTAAGGGATATAACCACAGGTATGTTTGAGTGTGTAGGATGGAAAACCATATTACTGAGCTTTTGTTGGATCATTGAATGGAACTGTCTCTGATATAACTGTATGAATGTCCACATTATATGCTTTAATTTTATAATTTGGACAACTGTTTCTAGGAAGACAATATGTAACCTATTAACTAGTGATTTCTTACTGTATATTTTTTTCTTGAAATTCTGTATTACTTGTACCCTTTTACTGCTTTGTTTTTTATGTCCTTTCTTTTTTCTCTTTAAATAAAAATAAATAAATAAAATAAAGGTACAGTCAATGAGCTCACTCACCAAACTGAAGGTCAGTAGTTGCCTCTCCATCCTCACTTGGGAATGGAGTAGCTGAAGTGATCTATTATGATCAGTTTCTTCCTCTTTCAAGGGCAGCAATTCTCCTGCCTGCCCAGCTCTAAGAATACAGGTGTGTGTCATCATGTCTGCCCCCCAATTCCATTTTCATCTGATGGAATATATGATTTTAAAAAACTCTGTCTCTGTGTCTCCTCTCTCTGTCTCTCTTTGTCTCTGTCTCTCTGTCTCTCTGTCTCCTCTCCTCTCCTCTCCTCTCCTCTCCTCTCCTCTCCTCTCCTCTCCTCTCCTCTCCTCTCCTCTCTTTGTTGATGTTGAGAATCTGAGAATCTTTTCTTGCAGACCAGGTTCTGAATCCTTATCTAATAGAAATGAGTAAACCTCAGAAACCTGTTTTATTTCAGGTTTGAAACTAGAGGCTGTACTGAAGCTGAACCAGAAAAATAGTAGACATAGAGAACCCTATGCTGTTAGCTAATAAAACAATTTCAAATGTTTTCCCCTCAGTAAACACAATAAATTTCCATAAAGATAGCCTGTATTCAAATATCCAGTATTACCTCTCACCCAAGCATTTAATGCACCTGACTGAGCCCACATGTGCAGGCTAGATGCCTCATATTCATAGCCAGAACACAGGAACCAGTAGCCAGAGAAGGTTCCAGTAAACTCTCAGTATTGGTGACCCTGAGCCAGTCACTAGACTTTCTGGATCAGGGTTTATGGTGTCATACCTCACCTTTAAATATCTGATGACAGGTGTGGCTCCTCTTCTAGGAAGATACACTTTCTAATATACACCCTGAATTCTGTATAAAACTTTTAGGGACTTGAGTGGTTCCTACAGCAACTATCTATAGACATTAAGAGTATGTTTGAGGGGCTGGGGATTTAGCTCAGCGGCATAAGCGCCTGCCTTGCAAGCAGGCAGTCGTGAGTTTGATGCCCGGTACTGATAAAAAGGAAAAAAGACAAAAAAAAAAAGAGTATGTTTGATTCATTATCTTTCCCTCTCTATGTATCCTTTTCCAATTAGGTTTTTGTTCCCATGAGTTCAAGGAAACTGTTCTTTTCCTGATTGCAAATAATTTTTCTCTTGAATGTCAAAGCCAACAGCCCATCCATTATACTCATGTCTTTGTACCATCTGATACAACTGTTTACTCTTCCTCTCTGAAAACACTTCCACAACCTGGTCTCTAAGGTGCCATGCTACACTTGTCTGGTTTTGTTCCTACCTCTTTGACCAGTTTCTTCACATCCTCTTTACTGTCTCTCTTTCTGACCTTTAAAAGTTGGAGAACCTGGGCACTTTATTTACATTCTCACCTTAAGTGACCATATCTACTTCTATGGTACTAAAGACTCCCCAAATATATATTTCTAGACTCTATTCTCTCCTTTAAATCCCAAAAGCCTGATTGACTCGACATTTGGATGTCTGTCAGGCCTCTCAAACTTAACATGTCCAGAACTAGCTCTAATTCTGTACCCCAAACTTAAAAAGACCCACTCATAACGTATCTTCTCCATATCAAGAAACAGCACCCCTTTTCACTTAGCCGGTAAACTCAAATCCTCACACTCCATTTGCTGTCCACCACCAAACCCAGTGGAACCTACATTTGGAATACAGCCCAAGTCTCACAGCTGTGTCAGGAGCCCAGCCTGCACCATCTCTCACAGGCCCAGCCCTGGCACCTGTGATAGCTTTTACTGTGCCCCCTTTCTCCGTTCCATCCACAGAAACCACAAACACTGTTTACAAAATAAATCACCAATCTCGCCTCCATGCTCAATATTCTCCAGTGGTTTCTTATAATTCTTAAACTAAATTTTACTTTCATATCACCTAGTCACCTCTCTGCACTCACCTTCTATACTTTTCTGGTCTGGTTTTGTCACGTAGGCTTTCTTGATACTCTGGAACATGCCAAGTCCCACCTCAGGACTTTCGCCTTCACTGAATGTCATTCTCCTCCTCTATTCAGGTTCCATTTCACAGGCCTCATCTCAGAGAGGCCGTCACATGGCACCAGGTTAGAATAGAAGCCACCTCTTTCTTAAGTTACTTTCTCTTCTTTTCTACAACTTGTTTTTTTCTGCTTTTTTTTGACCACTACCTGAAGTGGCACATTTATTTGTACACCCCCTTATTGACTCTCTCACTAGAATGAAAACAACTTGAGGATAGTGACTTTATCTTGCTTATCATAAACCTTTATAAAAGCTATGTAATGTAGGTATTATGGCCACCATTTTAGAATGAGTATCTTGAGATTTTGGAGAAGTTTTTAAATTTGTCCAAGGTTATGCTTTTACAGTAAGTGGCAGAACCAGATTTTAAATTCTGGTCTGACCTCAAATCCCATTGACTTTCTATTTATTTTGGTGTCTAGTGACACAATATGCTGAGACCAGTGGATTTTGTTCTGACCTTTGCTGGCCTGAGATCTGCAACATTTAGTACAATTGACAGCTCTTTCTTAAACTTTGTTCCTGAAAGGATTTTGCCCTGAGTGGGATGCTGCAGCTGTAGGAGGCTGGGAGGCGGAACCAAGGGGCTTTATCTTGAGGTCATCTTTCCTGCCCTAGGCAATTTACCTGTGGCGCAAAATAAGTTCCAATGGGCTACCTGTAATGCCCCTTAGGCACCACTCCAGACCAAAGCTATATGTATGGCCCCCACACCATGTGTCCAGCAGAGAAAGCAGATCCCAGTGGTCATGGAGTTTCTCTCCACATCCTTAAAATAAAAAGCCACTTTTACTTTTTATTTTCTATCTTTTGAGCTGTGCCGAAAAACTTATCAGTTCCTACCTCAGACTGCATGATATAAAACTATACTAGTTCTCATCTTCTTTGTAAATTCTTTCTCATAGTCCTTTGAGGACTCATACTCAAGGCTCCCCTCTCCCCAAATATTTATGTTGCCCTCTGGTGGATGATATAAGAATGCAGTCCAGTCTCTACTTTTTAAAAATTTCCTAGAAAAATAAGTCTTCATTTCCTATTCCCTTAAACTGTCTCATAATCAAACATATCCAGTAAGAACAATGCAACGTACTAGTATATAGTACTGTATTAGTATACACTTATAAAAACAGTTTTAACCCTAGGAAATAGCATATGTAAGCTCGCCTTCTTCCTTCCTTCTTTCCTTCCTTTTTCTTTCTTTCCTTCTTTCTTTTGACAGAGTCTCATTGTGCAGTTCAGGCAGGCTTTGAACTCACTTTGTAGCTCAGTTTGGCTTCAAACTCATGGCAACCCACCCGACTCAGTTCTCCAAGTGCCAGGATTACAGGCGTGCATCTCCATATCTGGCTAGCAGTTCTGTTTTAATTATTTCATTTCTGCTAGCAATTTCTGGTACCTAAGAGCATTTCAATAAAAACCTGTTGAATTAAAGAGTGTGAAATATGCACCTACTAACTACTAGGAAAGAATCATGAAAATAAGCGCATTAGCAGTTTCAAAAATGCATCGGTGGGATTCTGGGACTCCCAGAACATATCTGCTCTCACATGAACCCCTACTGAGAGCAGCCAGTGCCCAAATTATATAACCAATAAAATGTACATACTTTGTGTTTGCGGGATGAAATATCTGAATGATTTGATAATGTTTAAGTAACTTGATTTTTCTAGGTCAGTAGTTGGCAAAGTGTGTTCTCTGAAGCAGCGGCATCAAATTTTACTTGGCAAAAACATAAAACATCTTGAGCCCTACCCTAAACCTACCAAATCAGATGTCTTAGGGATGGGGCCAACAAGCTGCTTTTAATAAGCTCCTGAGTAGTTCTGATACAATCTGAAATTTGGAAACCACTGTTATTAGCCATGCCTATATTGATAAGCTAAGATGTCACTGTGTTCTACAAGCAAATGGGAACATTTTAAACTTGTAATTAAATAGAAATAATGCCATGAAAAATAGGACACACAGCAAAGTACAAACTGATATTTAGTTCACTTTTCTAAATATAAAAGTATATTTGAACATAGGCAAAATAGAGAAATTCAAGAATTTCCCAAGAACCCATTAACTCATTTTTTCTTTTGATAGGCATAGTTTTGTAATAAATGAAATAACCATGCTATCATGGCAAGTCCATATTTATTTCACATATCATGGCTACTAGGCAAGTCCATATTTATTTCACAAATATACTTCATCACTGAGATTACCTGGAGGTGAATTTTTAATGTGGCATTCATCTCTCTTGATATAAAGCTCTTCTTCCAAAACTTCCTTAATTCTCTTATGTGGCTCACAGTATAAAAATTTCTTCCCTGTAAATTAAAAAACTGGTTGCTTATTATAAATCCTGACCAATCTTCTAGCCATTAGACCTACATGAATAACTTGTGGAAGACGCATCATTCCATACACATACACAATCTACCTTGCAGATGCTATCTGGGACAGATATTCCATTGTAAGTTCTGGTTCTTTGGGGGATTTCACACTTTCATGTAGTTCCTGAACTGTTGGGTAAATTTCAGGTACCTCATTTAGGTAGTAATGAAAAAAATATACGGAATTTTCTCACTAGCTTCAAGAGAAAAACACTTTTACTCATTTAGTCATAGTTTATAAATCTTTATTAAAGCCCTACTCTGTTCCAGGCATGTGTCTCAGGGCTGAGGACAAACACTGAGTACGAAAAGTTTGAGCAAAGAGCTTGCAATTCAGTCACAGAATAGAGAATGACTTCGACATTATTATCTGTTATTTTAAAGAAGAAACCCAAATTATAATAGTGAATGACTTATGGACTTCCAACTTCTTCCTAGCCTCTAAATTAGCCCTTATTACTTGTACACGCAAGGACTAAATTATTTGTTTTAAAGATCTTAGCTATGTTTCTTTTCTTTTTAATTTCTTTTTTAAAAATAATTATTGTTTTATATTCCTTCTGCTCATCTTGGAGGACAGAGCTCCAGAGGAGCAAGAGGGCTCTGTGCTCCTTGGCCCTGCCTGCCTGCTCTCACTGTCTCCCTTTCTGTAGCTTTCTGGGTTCTGGCCACAAGGCTCTTTGTCTGTTCCCACCTTTGTACACACCATCTTGTCAGCCTGACTTTCCCCTGATTTTTTTCTTTGCCTGTATAACTTCTACTCAAAATTGGTGCCTTAGCTTTAATGTTAGTTTCTCAGGGAAACTAGCTCCTTGACTCCACAATCAACAAATATCCTTTCCTCATAATGCCCTGCTTTTTTCTTTGCTCTCCTTTACTGTAATTTGCACTCATCTTGGTTTCATTGACATACATTTCTTTGTACCTGTTAATTTAACATCTGTCTTTTTTTACAAGACCATAAGCACTATAAAGAATGGGGAGGTTGTATTTCGATGTATTAGAGCCCTGTAATAGAGCTTGGCATAACAACAGATGTTCAGTGAATGTGTGTTTGGGTGGAGCTAAGCACTGTTAGGTTAGATAAAGCTGTCAGTAAAGATTATTTTGTGCACCTGTCTACCAGTTCAGCCTCGTGAATGTCAGAGAACCAGTGGTTCCAGTCTCAGTATCCAATTCAAGGAATCGTGGAAAAACAAATACTTGAGTTATTTAAACTTTGGTTTCAAACTCACAAGGGACAGCAAGTATCTCATCTTTTCCAGACCAACCAATAAAAAGACACAAGTGAATCCATTAGACCTGAGTGTAGACTCTCTCAAAGGAGTCAAAGAGTTCTAGGGGCTGGGGATTTAACTCAGTGGCATAAGCACTTGCCTTGCAAGCAGGCAGTTATGAGTTCAATCCCCGGTACCAATAAAAAAAAAGAGTCAAGAGTCCTGCTGCCCTTGTCTTAGTTACTTTTTTCATTAGGCAGACAAAATACATGACACCCAAAATTAAAGAGGCAATGGTTTATTTAGCTCACAGTTTGTAGAGGTTTCAGTCCATAAGCAGTTGGCTCCAAGCCAGGATGGCAGGGCAGACAGGCATGACAGAGCAGAAACAGTTCTCCGTGTGTAGAAAGTAGCAAAAGCAATGGGACAGCCACAGCCCTTTCTATTCGTTATAGTCTATCCAGGCTACTTAGGGAGGGTAGCATTCATGCCCTTAGTCCTAGTGCCCTTGAGTCCAGCATTGCACCGAGTCAATTCCAGCATCACATACTCTAGATCCAGCCACCTCTGAAAAAGACCAACCTATGACTGCATGAGGCTTTGAGGGGACTTAACACAAGCAAAGACATGCCCCTAACAGTGGCCCTGGTTCATTCCTGGTCATGAAATACACCTAGTCATGAGGACTCAAACACGTCCTCAGACACAGACAAGTAGAATTAGATACTTTTAGAATCTCACTCTTGTTTTGTAAAAGTCGAGAGTCACATAAAGAGATAAATGTCGGCATTACTTGAACCTAACTCTGCTTTAAACTTTTTCTGTAGAGTCATAATCTTCAGCCAGAATTTCACAAACATGGCTGGTGAGAAGCAAAGTCTATAATGAGACAACAGAGAGGAAAGTTGCCTGCTCTAAGTTCAGGCCTCCAGACATATTTCAGCTGTGCTGCTAAGAAAACAGACCGAGGAACTCACTAAGAGTGATATAAGGAACTATGAAAATTGAGCAAATAGTAAGGGCCTAGTATGGGCAAACATCCTCTACTTGGAATAAGAAGAAAAGAAAGAAGGAGGCAGGGAGGGGAGGAAGAAAATCTATAAACTATCTCAGCTTGATATTGATCTTCACCAACATTTGGAGTACATGGTTAGCAAATGGCTTGTGTATGTAAATAATGGGAGATAGTAATCATTAGGTGTTAAGAGGGACTGGTAAATAATGGTATTCTAGACTTTCTTCTAGAACAACATTATTTCAGGCAGGCTTTCTTTGTTGAGAATAATTGCTATAGTTTATTTAGGGATATCATGCCTTAGGTATCCTTACATGTATTATTCCAATTGTGATACATGTATATCACAATTACCTGTGGGCAAGAATAATTATTCCTATACTATAGTTAAACCTATTTTTGAAACTTTTTTACTTTTGGCATGAAATTCATATATGTTACCTAGAAAAATTCAAGGAACAAAAAGTTGAAGAGAATACATTTTATTATGTTGCACTGCATGGGTGTTCCAAAAACGTAATGCTCAGTATTGTTAAGCAAATGACTTCCTGAAGTCATAAAACTAAGAGGCCACATCCACCCGACTCTCACACCTCACAGTTACTAAACTACTAAATTTGGAGAAGCCACAGTGTATTTACATTTTAACAAGGCATTTGGTAAACTAGATCTTTAGGTGGCCGAACGGCCATGACAAAAATGCTATTCAACAGATGAAGGGCTTCTACAGACTACTTGGTCCTGTAAATCACCACCTAATTTGCTGATTTGAATAAAGGAACTACCAACAAACTCACCAGTTATGAGAATGACATAAACATAGGTGAATAATTAAATTGCAGAATCAGCCCTCAAGTGCTACTTCTATACCTGGAAGAAAGTGCAAACATCCATAGGATGGTACTGGTAGAGATAAATATAATAGTTTATATTTGGGATCAAATACATCAAATATGTAAGGAGTGAAAAAGCCTGAATCAAATCTATTCAGGAGACCAGAGCTCCAGAAAGGGAGAAGACTCAGAATTATCATAAACTGCATTTTTCTGATATGTTAATATAATGTCTGTTAAATAGCAAGTGTTATTGTGGCTCTACTTAATAGAATTACAGTGTTCTGATCAAGAGAATTATAGTTCCACCATGCTACATAATCAGATCAGACCTGGAATACTAGGTTCAGGAGTTTAACTACGGGACAGTGTAGAGGTCAGCCAGAATGGTGAGAGCAAGCACTACAAATGACGTTAAGTTTTGTAATAAATCTGGTGTTCAAATAACCTTTATGTAATACTAGGATACTTATATGTGAAAAGACCTCTATTAGTCAGCTTTTCCTTCTGTGGGACAAAATATACTAGCCTGACTGTGTAAACCAGAGAGTTTGGATACCTGCACTAGCTCACTACTCCTTTCCCTGCAACTTGTCCCAATTTTTTTTTTTTTTTTTTTTGGTACTGGAGATCGAACTCATGACCTCACCACATGCCAGGCAGGCTCTTATGCCGCTGAGCTAAATCCCCAGCTTACAATGTTTGGCATGTAGTACCGACTCAATATGTGTTGAATTAGTGACCGAATGATTAAGTTCATCCTTTACTCCTAGAACCACAAGACCAAAATACCTTTAGATCTGTGTGCTGTTAATAATAAGCACGGTAGGTCACAGTGTGGCTGATGCTGAAGGAAGAGACCCCTTTCTCTGAGAAGTACTGATTCTGTGACTACTTTTTGATGAGATCTCAGGAGAGAAAGCTATGTGATCTGCTGCATCCTAAGTACTAAGGACTTCAGCCCATCACTCTCTCCTGGGGCTGTCCAGAGCCCAGGGAACCTGGAAAACCAACACTTGCTCCCCAGAGATGCAATCAAGGAGGTGCTGTTGGAGAGCTAAAGCTGCTTGCATCCCTTTTTGGTCCTATTATGCTCACCATCATTCCTTAGCCCCTGTTGAAGACCTGTGGCCGGAGACCACCATGAAACACCTGTAAATTCAAAAAACAGTGTGAATGAGTGTGGTAACCTGGCCAAGATTCAAGTTTTAACCATATCTGATATGGTCAATATTTGAATACTGTGTCTATATGCTGAGCAAGGCAAGGAGGAAATGACAGTAAGTTAAAATATGACCCCTAATTGTGAAATCCTAAAAGAATCAGATAATGATCTATGAATGTAAGAATCTAAGAATCCCAGCAGGCAGGAGGCTGAGGTAGGAGGATTGCTGTGAGTTTAAGGCCAACAGGGACAACAAGGCAAGACGTGGTCTCAAAACCAAACCAAACACAACACAACACAGTACCCACAAAACCTAAGAAATAAGAGTTGGAGTGTTTTAAGTATTCTTCTAAGCTCTGGTTGAATGAGTTTGAAAATTATTTCCTTTCTTCTGATCTGTACTTCAATTTCCTGATCTATAAAATGAAGGAATTTGGGCTGGGGATTTAGCTTAGCGGCTGCCTGGCAAGTTCGAGGTGGTATGTTTGATCACGGGTACCCAATACATACATACATACATAAAATGAGGAAATTGGCAAAATGATCTTCATGTTTCCATGTGCATTTGTAGTCATACACATACACACATACATATATATTATATACATGTGAATGTGTGTCATATATGGATATATCTATGTTTATATCTATATTTATATACTATCCAGACTAATGTCACTACCCACCCATTAAATCAAAGTGATGCCGGACTTAGACGCCATCTGTAAAGCAGGGCTCAGGGAGCTTTCTGCCACAGTGCCCTCACCTTCACCTCTCTTTCTCCAAAGCAGCTCCTCCTTTCTCGCTGCCCAAACCTATGCGGCTTTGGCAGTTTCCTCCGAGTCTCTTAGCTTCGGTTAAACCTTTCTCCCCCGCCCACCTCCCACCTTGCAGAGCACGCAACTCACACTGTCCGCGAGGTTCCTGGGGGGCGCTGCCGGGTTCCCCGAGCGCTCTACCCCCAAGCCCGGCTGGCTGCCGAAGCTGCTCCCCGTCGCGGCCAGCCTCTGGCTCCGCAGCCGCCGTTACCACCGGCGCTTCCTGCTGCCACATGCTGCGGAGTCTGGGCGTCTGGAGGCCGCCGAGCCTTCTCAGCTCAGAGCAAGCTGCCCGGCAACGCGAGTCGTCTCTGGTTGTTATGGCGACAGAGGCTGCTGCCGCTCTACTTCCGAAGGCTCTGGTGCGACCTCCCCTCCCGCGTACTAAAGGCGCTTAAATTCTGGAAGTGCAGTTCCGGGTTGACTAAAGCACGGGACCTAGCATTAATTCCTAGTTTTACTCACACCAGCTCTTTAACAGAAGCTTTTCAGATGCCCGATGGGGAAACGAAGTTCAGAAAAGCAAATGCCTAAGGCCACATAATAGGAAGTAATGCAACTGGAGTGTGAGCTACAGTCCCTGCCTCCAACATCTGGGAAGATGAAATATTGTTAGGAAAAAACCAAGGTACAAGCGCAACAGGACAGGTTTATTTCAGAAGAAACCTGAAAGGGACCCCGGCACTTAGGCCAGACCAGTAACTCTGGTACAGGCTATTGAGTCTTTCAGAAAGTCATGATCACAAAGTAGGGAGTGAAAGGAAAAAAATCACAACGAGACTTTAAAGGGGGAGAGTTCAGTGAAAAGGAGCTGTAGCTGCTTGCCAGACATGAGGTTTGAGAAAGCACAGAGAGTGGTGGTTGCCTGTCACTAGCCCGCTGAAGAACGATGGGAGTTTGGGATGTGGCCATGGTAACTGGATCTTTTTAAACCACGGTTATACATTTTTAGCAGATAGAAAAGCATAAAGGTGTGGAAGAGGCTTAAAATGGTATCCGGTCTGCCTAGGATGGCTGTGAGTCAGACTCTTGCACATCAGTAACTGTCTTTACAGGGAAGGGCATCAAATTCAGAAAAGCTGGATTTGAAGAGTTAAGAAAGAGAATCTTTTTTTTTTTATTTGGAGCATGAAACTGCTTTTGTTTTTCCTTGTGCACTCATTAAAAAAGAGTTGTGTCGCTTGGAAGTGAGAGGCCCTAAATTCAATTCCTGGTAACCACTGCCCCACCCCAAAAGAATTATGTAGTGGCGCTACTGTTATGAAAGTCAAATGTGCATGATTTTATAGTATCAAATGGTTCTACAAGACTTTTAACTAAGTGCGGGAGATTCTGTCTGTCTCTTTGCCCACAGACAACTACTACTTATTTGTTAGGCTAATACAGTAATTTAGCATTTACAATAAAGAATCTAGAAACAGCTAGAGGGCTCTGAGACTATCAGCGTTCTCTGGAAACAAAGGCCCTAAAATCTCCAGGTAGCCACCATTTTATTTAGCCTGTGCAGGAGGATGGATGTGGTGCATTTCCTGGAGTTCTTGTCAGACTTCCTGCTCTGTGGACCTCACTGACTAAGAGGATACAGTATATCTAGGCCTCAAGGCACGGCAAGGAGGGCCTTGGACAGATTCCATGTCAATTTATACTTAGTGGTACCCAACAGTAGTTATGTCAGTATACTTACTTTTTAGTCATACTTTCTAAATTTCACTGCATATATAGTATACCTCTACAAAATTATGTATATTTTAGTTAGAAAAAATAAATTGAACACTTTTGCTCATAAAAGTGTGACTTATTTGATCAAGTAACAACCATAAAATTACCGTTTTCACCTTCTCCAATATTAAAAACTTGGAGATAACTTATCAACTGTAGTAATTATATTAATTTAGGTAGTCTATTTCCTTCTAAATGGCTTTTGATGTTTAAATTTCTAACCATTATATGTGCATTTTCAATTAGATACCACTGAAAATTCTCTTGGGAATAAATTATTGATAAAAAATATGAAATATACTATTTGGGCAATGAATTGTAGTTTCTGCTCATTTACCTCCCCCAAACTGAAAAGAAACAATAGAAACCCGATGGTGTTTTACTTTTTAAATTTCAATGAAGTGAAATGAAATAGAATATGTCCACTAGATGGAGCCCAAACTCAAACCTAAATACTTTTTCACAAAGGATTTTAAAATGTATTCAACATAAAATCATGGCATCTGTATTAAAGAACTAAAACGTTAATATGTTATCAAGCTAATATATAAATTTAATATTATTTAGTGGTATTTAAAGAATTTTGGTGGGTTAAGTTTTACATATTGTGTTTAATTCTATGGATTTATAAAAAAATCTCAAACTGATATTCAGTGCTATTGTTTTTTTCTTCAGAGAAGTAAATGATATAATACTTTTAAAAAAATACTTTTGATAGCCTAATCTAGATTCTAACAGTCCCAATCTAAATTATTTTAAAAGCCAACCGAACATGTCTTTTACATATGTCTCTTACATAGTAATGAGACATCTTTTCAAACTTACTGAATACTGTCAAGTGGACTTAATTCAGGGGTGATTATTTTATTTCTTGTTTTGTCAGCTGATGGAGAAACTGCTTCTCCCAAAAGCCTTATTGCCTGGGATTTTAAGTATGATGTTGGCTGTTGATTTGTCATTAATGGTTTTTATCAGATTGAGGTAAAGATCATCTATTTGATTTTCTCCTGGGTCTTTTTTTTTTTTTACCATGAATGTGTATTGGATTTTATCAAAAGTCTTTTTTGCATTTATTGAGATGATCATCTGATTTTTTTCTTTAGCTTTGTTAACATGATGTATTACATTTATTGACATGTATCTGTTGAACCATCCCCACCCACATTCATGGAATGAATTCCACTTGGGCATGGTGTACAATCTTCTTGATGATTTGCTGCATTGTTTGTTATTATTTAATTGAGGATTTTTACATCTATGTTCGTTAGAAAGAATGATCTATATTTCTCTTTTTTGGTTGGGTCTTTCTCCGATTTTGGTGTAAGGGTAATACTTGCCTCTAGGAATGATTTAGGGAGAATTGTTTCCCTTTCAGTTTCGTTAAAGATTTTGAGGAATATTGGTGTTAAATCATCTCTAAACTTCTTGCAGAATTCATCTATGAATCCATCAGGACCTGGGATTGTCTTTGTTGGAAAGTTTTTAATTACATTTTCAATTTCATTAACTGATATTAGGTCATTCAGGATTTTTATATCTTCTTGATCCAGTATTGGTAATTCATACGTTTCCAGGAATCTGTCCATTTCTTCTGTGTTTTCCATCCTATGAGAGTATAGATTTTTAAAGAAAGTGTTGATAATCATCTGAATTTCCACAATATCTGTAGTGATATCACCCTTTTCATTTCTTTCTTTTTTTGGGGGGGGGGTACCTGGGATTGAATTCATGCTTGCTGCAAAGCACTTGTGCCACGGAGCTAAAGCCCCTGCCCTTAGCCTTTTTGTTTCTTATTATGTGAATCTGAGTTTTTCTTTCCTCTCTTTGATAAGTTGGCTAGGGTTTATCAATTTCATTTAATCTTTGAAAGAATCAACTCTTAGATCCATTAATTCTTTCTATTGTTTTCTTAGTCTGAATTACATTAATTTCTGATTTCATCTTTATAATTTCCTCCCCACTTTGAGCTTTGGACTTGATTTGCTCTTCTTTTTCTAGAAGTTTGAGGTGCAGCATTCGGTTGTTTATTTGTGCTTATTGCATTTCCCTGATGTGAGAATTCACCACTATAAATTTCCGTCTTAGGACTGCTTGCATTGGGTCCCACAAGTTTCAGTAAGCCATATTTGCATTTTCATTTGATTGTAGATGTTGTATAATTTCTTCTTTAATTTTTTCCTGAGACCTACTGGTTGCTCAGGGGATTGTTATTTAATTTCCATATGTTTATGCAGATTTTGTAGTTTCATTTGTTATTAGTTTCCAATATTGCACCATGGTCACATAATACAGATGGAATAATTTTAATTTCTTTGCATTTACTTAAGCATATTTTGTGGGCTAGTGTATGGTCTATTTTAGAGAATTACCCATGTGCAGCTGAGAAGAATGTGTATTCTGATGTTGTTGGGTGGAACACTCTGCACACATCTACTAAGTCCATTTGTTCACAAGTTTGATACAGTTCTGTCAGTTCTTTGCTGATTCTTTTTTAGCTGATTTGTCTGTGACAATGGGGTGTTAAATTCCCCCATTATAATTATGTTATTGCTTATTTGATTTTGCATGTCTATTAAGATTCATCTTATATAGTTGGCTCTCCCATATTTGGTGCATATATACTTATGATTGTTTTGTCTTCCTCTTGAAGTTTTCCCCTAACAAGTATGTAGTGAACTTCTTTATCTCTTTTGATCATTCTTGGTTTGAAGTTCACATTGTTTGCAAATAGAATAGCTATACCTGATTTTTTTCTGGGTTTCTGTCACATGGAGTATTGTTTTCCATCCTTTGACTTTCAGTTTATGAATTTCCTTTTGGGTTAGATGGGTTTCTTGTGTACAGCATATGGTTGTATGTTGTTTCTTAATTCACTCTGCTAGTCTGTTTCTTTTGATTGATGAATTGAGACCATTTACATTGATGGGTATAACTGATATATACTGACTTATCTTTGTTATAGTATCATTTTGTTGTTAGTTCTGTACTTTTTCTCTCTAAGGCTTGCCCTGCTTGGTGGTTTTTTTTGTGTTGTTCTTGGAATTGTGATCATCTTTATCCCTTTTTAGGTTGGTGTTCATGAATTTCTTCTGGTGTCCTTTGTCATAGAAGTATCTTATTTCTCCATTGATTTTGAGAGAGAGTTTTGTATGGTACATCAATCTGGGTTGGAAATAGTTTTCTTTCAGAACTTGAAATACTTCACTCCAAGCTCTTCTTGGCTTGATGATTTGTGTTGAGAAGTCTGCCATGATTCCTTCATAGGTGATGTTTCTTTTTCTGTGACAAGTTTTTAGTATTTTGTCCTTATGCTGAATTTCTGAGATCTTAATTATTATGTCTCAGTGAAGATTTATTTTGGTTATGGCTAATTGGATTTCTATATGCCTCACTTGTCTGTATTTCAGGTTCTTTCCCCATGCTTGGAAGATTTTCTGCTGTTATTTCTGTAAATAGTCTTTTTATGTCATGTGTGTTGACTCCTACTTTTTCACTGACATTTATCATCCTTATATTGTTTCTCTTTGTATTATCTTGCAGCTGTTGGATTGTTGTTTCCTGGTCCCTTGTTATTTTTAAGAGATCTTCCCTTTCATGATCATTAGCTTTCATCCTCTCTTCAAGGTCCGAGAATCTATCTTTAGCTTTATTCAAGCAGTTTTGCCAAATTTCAGTGGAATTTTAAACTTCTTGACTATCTCTTTGAATCTGTTTTATGTATTCTAATTCTTTTCTATATTGTTCATTCAAGGTTTTCATCATTTTCTCATATTCCTTTACTTTGTATATACATCTTTAGATATAGTCATTTCTTTCATGTTTGTCATTTCTTTTTTTACCTAAGAGATTACTTCGGATCAGATTTCCCCTATAGCTTCATGGAGCTGTTTCCTTACTTTTCAATGTCTTCCATGTCAGTGTCGTCTGGGCTTGGTTTCAGTGAGCTAAAGGATTGAGACTGCTTTTGCTCTTTCGTTTTGTCATTTTTCTTGGTTCTTCTGAAAAGAAGTTCTTGGGGTGACAGAAAAAATGTCAGGTGGGGCTTCTGGTCTTCCTCAGTACGCTGGTGCTTCCTCCTTAATGATAGAAGGTGTCTTGGCAGAGTTCTTCTAGACCTCTGCTTCTCCCAGGCATGCTCTATGGATGATGCCTGGGTGCTGTGCTTGGCTTGGCAGGGCTGTGCTCCTCTAAGACTTATCAGATTGGCTTGGGCACTCCCCCAGTGGATAGCTCTGGGGCTCTGCTCTGGACTGTGCAAGGCTTGGTTCCTCTGGAACCTGTGAGGCTGGCAGGGTACTCCCCCAATGAATTGTGATGGGATGCTGGGCTGGGTAGAGATTGAATCCTCTGGGACCTGGGTTTTAGCCAAGGCATGCCCCCCAAGTATGGCACCAAGGCTTTGTGCAGGGTTGGGCAGAGCTTGGAACCTCTAGGACCTGCAGTTAGCCAGTGTGCACCCCTAAAGTATGGTGCCAGGGCCTTGTGCAGGTGGCTTATAAATCTGACTACAATGAGAGATATTGGAGGATTTGACCATATCATTAAATTCATAGTGAAGGCTACTGTATGTACCTGAGTTTCAAATGAATACAACAATGAACCAAAAATGAATATTTTATTTTTATTCCTTTTATTATTAATGAGACCACATTTTGAAAAAGGAAAAAATAGGTATGAATGTAGAAAAACTCATTTACTAGGCATCAGAAAGCTCCACATAGAAAGAGCAATAAGTCATTTAAGGCCTTGGATCCACTCTGGAAATAAATTTGTTAGAATCTCATTTCCTTATTATAGTCCAAAATTGTTTTGCATAGTGTTTGAGCTTTCTTTCCTTTTGGAGCTCACAGTTGTGGAGGTTTCAGTCCATAATCAGCTGGCTCCAAAACAGGGTACCATGATAGAGGGGCATCATAAAGGAGAAACAGTTCATGGCAGGAGAAAGCAGCAAGCAGCAAAAGACAAGTAGTGACAATGGCGGCCCTCTTTCTGTCCCCTATATTCTATACAGGCTACCCATCTTGAATCCCAACATTGCATTAGTGAATCAATACCAGCATCAAATCCTTAATCCCAGCATCACACACTGTAGATCCAACCACTGCTGAAAACTTTACCTATGACCACATGAGGCTGTGGAGGTACATCTAGATACAAGCCATATGATACAAGCTATGAGATACAAGTATCTTATGTTGAAATGAATATTTCAGACATACTGAGTTAAACATATCCTTTTAACATACTATTCACCCATTTTGTTTAATGTGGCAACTAAAAGTTCCTTAGTTTCTATTTGATGATTTTAGTTAATTTCTACAGTCTTTCTTATTGTCAAGTTTCATGGCTACCTATAATCTTATAAGAGAATTAGAGCATCCCATGCATGATTAACTACAGCAAAGCATGATGGATTTGATAATCATATTTTAGGCAGCTTCATAAATTTCTAGGGTCATTTCAGGTAGGGTAAAGATGGTATATATGTTAATCAGGAATAGAGTTGATCCAGATTTCATTGTGGTGTGGGACATTTCTTGAGACATTGCCTTGGTGTCTTGTGATCATCAAACAGCAGTTGTGAGTGTCATAACAGATGGGAACACATAGAAATGAATGAATTCCTTATAGCCCTACTGCAAAGACTCTGTGTCCCATCATTATGGTAGGTTGTGGGCCAGCAGGCTGCCTGGAGAAATATATTTGAGATTTACAAAGGCAAAACCAACTGATTTGACTATAAGTCTGTAAGTTATGTTGACCTCCAACAATAACAAGTCACTTCTTCCTCAAGTATGTAAGTAAATAAAAATTAAGCCATTAGTTATTAAAAAATGTAATCTTAAAGTCTTTGAGTAACTTTTCTACTATTTTTTTTTTTTTTTTGTCCTTTTTGAGATGGAGTCTCCCTATGTAGTTCAGGCTGGCTTTGAGCTCACTTTGTAGCCCAGGCTGGTCTCAAATATGCAATGATTCTCCCACCTCAACTATAAGTCTGTAAGTTATGTTGACCTCCAACAATAACAAGTTACTTCTTCCTCAAGTATGTAAGTAAATAAAAATTAAGCCATTAGTTATTAAAAAATGTAATCTTAAAGTCTTTGGGTAACTTTTCTATTATTAATTTTTTTTTTTTTTTGTCCTTTTTGAGATGGGGTCTCCCTATGTAGTTCAGGCTGGCCTTGAGCTCACTTTGTAGTCCAGGCCGGTCTCAAATATGCAATGATTCTCCCGCCTCAGCCTCCCGAGTGCTGGGATTACAGGTGTGAGCTACCATGCCCGGCTTATTAAGAGAAAATTTTATTTGCAAGCTATTAGCTATTTAGATTGCATAAACTGGAAGTTACCAATATGTGAAAAGCACCATTAGTGAATGCCTTCTATGGATACAGGAGTCCTGTAAATATAAATGAAAGTATAAAGGGTACAAACAATACCCATGCTATATATTTTGTTGGCAACTTGGAGGAGGGATTTCTTTATATGCAGTTTTAATTGCACACCGAGTCCTGAAAACAAGACTAGTCAGTCAAACGTCAACTTCTAAGCAAAAGTAAGGAGGCTTCTTTGGTTCTGTTATGATTTATATCTAGATGTCTACCCGAAGCACTTTGTGAGGCTTCTGAAAGGTGACTGAATCACAGAGGTGCTATACTAAATGTGATGTTAGGATATTCAGTCTACTCAAGAGGTGGGTAGGTGGGGGGATGACTTATAAGGGTGCATATCCCTTTTCATGTCCCCACTTTGCTATCTGTTTCCTGGCTGCCATGATGTGAGCAGTTTTTCTCTGGCAATCTTTTCCACCATGTCTTTCAGCCTTGGAGCAGAAATGTGAGCCAAAATTAACCTCTCTACCTTTAAATTGTGGGTGTTCAGTGTTGTATCCCAGTAATGAGAAAGTGATAAAGATAGGCCTCATAATTAAATAGAAACTTTATATAAAAATCATGAGTATGACCTACTCAAATTAAGAATAGAACCACAGGCCCTGTGACTCGCAGAAAACCAATCTGCCACATTCAGCAATCTCCTGGGAAGACAGGGTCCTATTCTATCATCACTTTCAGCTTACCTACCATTTCATATCACTCAGGCCAGATTAAACAGAAAGTAACCTTTCATATTCTGTCAAAACCTGTACATGAGATGTTGGTACTCTTAAAACTGAAGTATATTCTAGTCATAGATTACAAAATAATGTCACAATGATTCAGTTCATTTATTATTTTAAAATTTTCTGGGATGATCGAATTTTGTCTTAACCAAGAAACTGCCATATATATTTGACCAAATAACATTATTATTTAGCCTAAGGTACTTGAATCATATGGGTTGGCTCAAGAGACAAACTTAGGTAGTCATTTAAAAAATACACAGAACAAAATAAAGATATATAATACGATGTAGGGAAATCTTTTACAAAAGGGAGGGGGAATAAGAAATGAAGGCAGGGGAGGTAATAAAAGGATGAAGGATTTATTTTGTTTGAGACAGGGTCTCATTATGCAGTTCAGGCTGGTCTTGAGCTCATAGTACAGCCCAGGCTGGTCTCAAACTTGCAACAATCCTCCTGCCTCAGCCTCCTGAGTGCTGGGATTACAGGTGTGGGCCACCACACCCTGCTAGGATGAAGAATTTAAAAAAAAAAAAAAATCAAAGAAAATATGGAAATACAGCCCTAGTGTAGAGCTTTTTCAAATGGAAATTCTTGTTGGAGGGAACAGGGAAGGATGGGAAGGGTGTAAAAAAGAATTAAGATGTGTTGAAGTGCAATGATTATCTACAGCAAACATGTACTAGTAAAAAATTTAAATATACTAACAGACTGGGTTGGTGGTGGACATGTATAATCCTACCACACTGGGAAGCTGAGGCATAAGGATTACACATCCAGCGTAAGCCTGGATTTAGTAAAACCTTGCCTCAAAATAAAAAAGTACTGGGGATATCACAGTGCAAAGGCCCCGGGCTGAATCTCCAGTAAGGGTGGGGTGGGGAAGCAATGCAAAGAACAATGAACTTTGTCTAGTTTCCGTTCCCTCAGGTGTGAGTTCTAGTTCCAGTGCTAAGACGTTAAAAGAAGACCCCCTGGGAACAGTCACAGAAGGGTTTAATATTCAGTGGAAAACTGTGCTGGAGACACTGAGAGAGTAGATTCTAAAGGCATGCCATTTGAATAAATATGCTAACAAAATTATACACAGATTGAGGCTGAGGATCTAGCTCAGTGGCAAAGTGCCTGCTTTGTAAGCACAAAGTTGTGAGTTCGATCCCTGGTACCAAAAAAAAAAAAAAAAAAAAAAAAAAAAATTATACACAAGAAAAGGATTCATGACTTTTTTTATTGTCAAAACTTGTACTTTATTTTTCTTGAATATTTATTTTTATGATTTTTGTCACTATCCACACCACGGTTTTTAAAGAAAGCTGAGCCACTTGGTAGTTCTAGTCCCTATATAATAATCATCCCTTCAGTCTTAAGAGTTCCTTATCTCTTATCATCTTGCCTTTGAAATGGCTTATTTAACATGAGGACCTTGGAAAATCAACATATTCTGTGAACTCAACAGATTTGAGCAGTGCCCGATCCCGCAGGATAGGCAGAAAAAACTAGTTGGAGGCAAGTAGGTTAAAATCTTCTGGACTAAGGTATAGTTGTGTATATGTCTGAAAGATCATATCGACTCACTGTAAGAGTAGATCATGTAGAATGACCAGTGTGAGGTAGGGTTATTCACAGAATTACGTGATTGTGGAAAGGGAGGCAGTATATAACATTCATAGATTAAACAGCAGCTTTCCTAAAAATTGTATTTTCAAAAATAAAGATCTGAGGTTTTTAAAAAACTTTTTAATGTATAAAGATTCAAGTCACTAATATATTTATTTTTCTGATTTTGAAGGAAAGCAATTGGCTATGATAATGTAGAGAAGACAGCTGAACTGCACCAGTGTATTTAGACCTTGGTTTTTTGTTTGTTTGTTTTGGGGCACTGGGAACTGAACTCAGGGTCTCGTGCTTACCAGGCAGGCACTGTGCTGCTAAGCTACATCCCCAGCCTGAGACTTTTAAATTAAATTGAGTTACCTCACCTTACAAAAATATGTGTCAGTATATTAAATACTCAACAAAGATTCAGGTTTGGGGATATTTAAAAATACATTTCTCTTGGATCAGCACCAAAAATATCTTTAGTTTCTGTATTACCCGTGTTAAGTTTTTAAGTGTAAGTTAAAATTACTTCTGATAAAAAATCACAAACTCCACCAAAATCATTAAAGATACATCCAAGCAACTCTCAAATACATTTTGACATCAAGGTCAGGCAATTCACTTGAAGAACATAATGCGTACCACTGAGTGTCTATAGTAAGACATTTGATGTCGATTTTGTTGTTATGGCAATATTTTATATCACACAAAGGAGGCACTGGTACTTAGAAACTTAAGAAAATTATTAGAACCATTAAGACTGAGGTGAAGAATTTGTACAGCCTTCCACAATTTCAAAGAGGTAGTGATAGATACTTGTCCTCCTGGCAATATCAAATGCAGTTTCTTCCAAGTTGTTCTTCAGATTTGGTTTGATGTAACGGTTCATCAGGAGGAGCTCCAGAGTATCTTTGCTGTCTCTGTTCCCAGCAGCAAGATGCAAAGGGGTTAAGAGGCCTTTTGTTTGAGCATTGATATCTGCATCATGCTGAAGTAAGAAAGAAGCCACTCTGGTATTATTCCACTTACAAGCACTGTGCAAAGGTGTCCAGCCATCCACAGTCACCGCATGAACATCTGCCCCCTGTGCGACCAGCTCCCGGACAATATCTAAGTGTCCACTGTAGGCTGCTCGATGAAGGGGAGTATACTCATCTTCGTCCCTGGTGTTCACATGAGTGGCCTTTTCAGAAAGTAGTCTCCGAACTGTAGTAAGCTGAGAGGAGAAAAAAAAAAAAAAGAAGTCTTATAAAAACCCATCTTAAAAGCAAAACAATAAAGAAACTCAAGCTATCCAACAGGTTTTTTCATTTTTTTTTTTTTTTACTAGTACATGTTTGCAGTACATATTTATAGTGGCAAACTGGTTCATTTATATAATACATCTGAATTCCTTTTTTTCTACCCCATTTCCCAGTAGCTTTATATGTAAGTTAAATAAAAATTTGTTAGTGATTTTATTTTTATTTTTTTGGTACCAGAAATCAAACTCATGATTGCACACTTGCCAGCATTCACTGTACCACTAAGCTATATTCCCCGTCCTGGTGGATGATTTTAAAATGAAAGTAAGTTACTTTATTGGGGGTGGGGTGGGGAAACTGATTTAGTAACGAACAAGTTAGTGTTAACTATATTCAGTTACTTCTAAGAATGTGATTCTCTGAATATCAAACGATACATTTATTCATGGTCCAGTTGAGGCTTATTGCAGTTTTGGTTCTATATGAATAATACATGTTATAATTGTATTTAATGTATTTTACCTGTAAAGAAAATAAAATTAATTATAGGATTATCATACCAATATACATAGAATCTGAAATTTCTTTTGACAGAATAGTAAAATGATAAGAAGCCATGGATTAAAGGGCCCAATTGTTTCTGAACATAACCTTAGAAACATGAAAACAATTTTGAGTTTTCTCTATGGGCCTCTCCTGAGTTGAAAAATACAAGACTAGTTATTTGTACAGTATAACAACAGAGATATGGGAACTTGGGAAAATGACGTGAAAGTAGCCAAGTGGAAACAGTAAGTTTTTAGTGTTAATTCTATTTGAATGATTCAAGGCAAATTAATATTATTCTTTTTTTTTTTTTTTTTGTCTTCTTCATTTTTATCGGTACTGGGGATCGAACTCATGAACGCCTGCTTGCAAGGCAGGTACTTATGCCGCTGAGCTAAATCCCCAGCCCCAAATTAGTATTATTCTTGAGGATTAAATAAAACAATGCAGTAAGGCTCCTAGTTGTTATTTAATATATGGTAATTTCATCCTAATTACTTACCTGTAGGATGACCCTAATATAAATGATTTTACTGTATAAACGATTGTTTGCTATCTTTACAGTTACTCTCAAATCTCCAACTATTGACGTTTATAATTTAGTATGTACTTTCATGTATATTGCTTCATTTGATTCTCACAATTCTGTATAAAATAATCAGATATAGCTATTTAAACAGAAAAGAAACTAGAGGCCCCAAAACTGTGGAATTTGCCCAGAGATATAGATGGCACAGATCTGATTCAGGAGCAAGTATTTTGGCTCCTGACCCACTGTTTTTCCTACCACATTATGGTTCCCTCCCTTTTTCTTTTTACCCGATTCTTTTCAGCAGCCCAAAGAAGCAGTTTGCTTGGATCTTTTTCCATTTTTTTTTCTTGCAATTGATACCATTCTTCATTTTTTTCATATAGCTCTTCCTCGTCTTCATCAGAATTGCCTCCCCAGAGGCTTTGAGTGCCAGTGGGAATAAGGTGTCCATGTGTTTCCAACAATTCAAGTTGGTTAAAATGTTCAGAAAAGTCTGAGGAATTCTCTAGATCTACTTTTCCATCATCATTTACTTTTTCTTTTTCCATTTTTACAACTGTTCTACATAAAAAGCATTCCAGTTACTAAGAGTGTAATCTTTGTTGAGATGAGTTATGTCGATTTTATTGATCAAGATCTGAAAAAACACAAAATTAGAAAAACTTTTAGCAATAACATAGAGAACAGTTTCATAAACATGCAGAAAAATTGAGAATTTTTCATGATATCCATCAAATATACTAAATGTTAGAGCTGACAGAGTTCAGGAGTCTTTGATCTTTAATGGTCAAGCACATCCTATGTTTCGTTGTTTTCCTCTAGTAAGTCAATGCCTATAACTATTATTTTGAATACAATATTTGAAAATATTGGTTTAGGTATTATGATATTAAGAACGATGAATGCTTGAAGATTTTAAAATATAACTCAGACAACAAATACAGGTACATTAAAGATTTTTATAAACATAGATCAGAAACAAAGAATTCTAGTTCCTAAAAAACAACATTAAAGGATTCTTAGAGATGAAATAACCCTAAAACGATGGTGGCAAACCGATGACATGCATATTACTGTTTTTCTTTTAAGACAAAAGACATTAACGGAGTTGCTTTTTCTAAACAATAACCTTAGTATTCAGATTTAAGCAGCGATCACACATTGTGATAAGTAAGTGGGTTTTGGTTTGCAGTTTGGGCACTGTTTCTAAAAGGTTTACCATCACTGCCCTAAAAGGATATCTGTTCAATCTCTTACTAATCTACTACCTTTATCACAACACCTGTCATTATTATCCTATTCTATTTCAATGATTTCAAGCCTGGGATAACTTAATGCTTTAAAAAGCAATCTTATTCATTGGCAGACAACTGTAGTTTTTAGTTTGCTCTGCTTTAAACTGAATCTTGGCTGTCATTCACTGCACTCAACAAATATGAATCGAATGATTGTGTCCTGGGATTTAATAATGAACAGACCCAGTCTGTACCTTAAGCATCTTGCTGTGTAGTGCAGGTGACGGTGAAGACAGCACTCTAAGTACTATGACTGGCCTACAAACAGACACTATGAGTATATAAGGGGATTATGGGTCAACCATCTCAAAAGACTAAAGAAGCAAGTGAGGTTTATTCTACTAGGCTGCACATTATTTTATTTTTTTAAGACTTGTTTGTAGTCCACACTTGCCTTGTGCCATATTTTTTTTTTTTTTTTTTTAAATCGGTACCGGGGATCGAACTCATGACTTCCTGCTTGCAAGGCAGGCGCTTATGCCACTGAGCTAAATCCCCAGCCCCATGTGCCATATTTTTATAAACTAGTATGAGTTACCCAACATATGCGCCTTAATTAAAATAAGAATAATTTTCTAAAAACACCACTTCTCAGCCTCTGTTTGTTGAAATCTTACCAGTCTTTTAAAATTATTTTCAGATGTTCTCTGTTTTATTCTTACTCTCTTTGACCTCCTTTAATTTGATTCTCTCATTCACTAGGTGTTTTTTTGTTTTTGATGCTACAATTTGTCTTGTTTCATCAATTTTGTTTCAGTTTTAGCATCTTGGAAGATTATAAATTTAAGCACAGGAACCAGATTTAATTTATATTTAGGTCCCACTTGCATATAGCAGGCAGTAAGAAATATTTGCAGCATTAAATTTAATTAAAGACCTATTTCTTGATTTTTGCCTGGACTGAATTCTGAGATGACCCAGAGTTTGTTACATCCTTAAGATACTGTTTGTCCTACTTAATTGCACGAGTCTAATAGTATACAATCTTAATGTGTTATTAAATTTTATTACTAGTGACAAGAGTAATTTTATTACTAGTAAATTTGACAACTCAAATTTAAATCTACCATTCATATTCAGTTCTCTGGGCCTGTAACTTTATTGCAAACTATAAAGCTCACTTAAAGAAGGCCTATCTAGTTTTTCAGTCTTTTGAGACACCCAATAAGAATTGCTTTTTGTTTCATTAATTCTCTTGGATTTTTCCCCTTTTCCCTTTATTCTCAAACTATTTCGTGAACCTAGCAACACAAAAGTGATCATACATCAATTTATTAAAAACTCAGATGCCAATAAATAGTCTAAGGCTCATTTTTTATTAAAATATGGTGACATTATGGCAGATTCTGTCCTCCCCAATATGCCTTTCATTTTGATAACTCTTTATATAAATTCTGAATTTACAGTTCAAGATACAATAAATTACGTATAAAATTTTCTTGGTATATTTAAAAAGTCAAATCCAGAAGCATCTTTTGATTCAGAGTGTAATATACAACAAGATTCTTACTTAATGAAAACTCATCAGGAAGTAGAATGTTTTAACTCAAAAAGTACCTTCCATTTTGAGAGAGATCCGATTTCTGCCAGTGTCTCAAAAATAGTTTTGTGATCGATGGGACAATAAGCCCATTTTACAGGTGAACGCGCTGAGGTCTAGTTTAAAACCATCTGCCACAAACCAAGAACTAGTCAATGGAACCGAACGGCTGTATCTTAAAATTAAAATGTTCCACATTTATTTCTATTGTACTAATCGGGATCCAAGGGCGAAAATAAAGAGAAGTAGGGAACAAAGGGTCTGGGAAGTGGGAGTGAGAAGGTCGCCAGTCCAACTCTGGCTGAGGCTGGTCACTCACAGGCCAAGGAATCGCTCTTGCGGCCTTCCAAACAGCCAAGGGCGAGAAAGCCGCCTCGGTCCTACCCAGTATCAACCACGCTGCCAGACCTCCAGGGCGAGGGCTGGGTCGAAAGGCGACCACCTCTACACGATCAGTTCTTAATCGAATTGAGTATACCGGGAAAAGCCTGGTCCGAGAGAGAGACAAGATACCCACCGTACAGCGGAAAATCACGGTCGCAAATCTCGCTTCCGGGTCTATTCCTCGGCTTCTCAGGATTGGTTTCTTAACAGCGGCGGAGCCTCGCTGCCGTTGCCCCCGCCGCCTTAACCGTATTCAGCAGCCAATGAGAACCGAGAAAGACTTCTGGCCTCTTGTCGTCATGAGATATCGCGAGAAACACTATTTTCCCGCGCCCAGTTTAGGTTTAAGGCCCCGCGGGCTCTCAGGGCAAGCCGCTGGGTTTTGTAGCCAATCCCGCTCCCTTTGCAGGGTAGGAGACAGCCGCGGTTACGCAGGTGAAGCTTTGAAGAGTCCGGGTGTGGGATAATTTGGGAGTCTTACACTCCTCCAAGTTTCGCAGATTCTGAGGCCGAAGCCCTTCTCTGGGAGGAGTCTAGAGGGCTCACGTTCTGGCTTCAGAGTCCCGCGGCTGGGGCCTGCAGTCTTGGACTCAACGCAGGAGTCTGGAATTTGAAAGGGGTTTGGGCGGTTGCTGCTGCTGGTTCCAAAACTGACCACTTGTCCTGTTGGCGCTCAAAGCTCAGTAGGCCACGTGTTTGGTTGTTTATTCTAGTTTTATATAGGGGGTACTTGTCTTCCAAAAACAAGCCTATGCCTTTCCTGCTCAAAATCTGTTTGAGCAGGAAATAGGAGGTTGTCTCCCGTCTTTAGAATGCCCTATGCATGCAATTTAAACGCTGTGCTGAACTAGAATCTGTGTGACCCTTTCTATCCATTTATTTAATGTATATTTATTTTTGGTAAGAGCAAGAGAAAAGAAAATAGATACGTTAACCGTAATGGTGAAAGTGGAGTGGCACTGGAGATATGATTTTCTATTTTTAGCTCATTAAAAAAAAGTATAGTAGATACTTAGAACTTTACAAAATTGCAAGTCAGCGTATTTAAAAAGGCTGTAACCTATGCAGCCTAACTCATGTTGGTTAAATACGTACAACTCTTGAAAAATTTTTTTTTTCTTATTTTACAATTTGCTAGAATTTGGAATCGAGTGATTTTTCTGACACTTGAACACGACACCCAAGGGTTTTTGCACAGAAACCTGGTCTCAGAGGAGCTGTACTGGCGATCAAAATGAGTCCCGCAGATGCACTGTAAGCCTGTGACTTTTGGAATCCGTTGTTACTTTTGCTTTTATCAGCTATGAACACCTTAAAAGGAAACTTAATAAACAGTAAATAAATTTACCTTTGCACAGGAAGTCTTACTCATCAACAGGAATATTTGGAGTGTTTTAAAGTCTCTATTATAATGTTTGTTTATTATCCAAAAGATAATACTATGCTATAGTTTGGAGTCTTGCAGTAATTTATTTGGTACAGTACGTAAGCTTATCTTCTTAGACTTTGTTTTAAAATTTTGAAGCTGTAAATATCCTTAAATTTTCATGATTAAATTCTATTAGTCAATGTGGTTCTACTTAAACAGATTTTTAGAATAAATTGCTCTATTATTGATGAATTAAAAATAAACTGATACAATGAATGTAAATACAAGGACTATAAAAGTTAAATGGAAAAAACTTTGAATTGCAATTTTTACTTGGTTTCAAGACTGGTGAAAACTTGCCGAGACCTTGGGCAAGTCACTAGTTCCCTAGGCCTTGTCTGTTTCTTCTGTTGTGTAATTGAAATAAAAATGTCTTTCGCAAATTAATTTTGAGGGTTAAATGAGAGAATTTTTGTGAAAATACTTGACACATTACTATAGAAGAATGTAGTAATCTAATCTGAAAAGTTTGTGTATAGTGATCACAACTTTGTGTATATTATTTTTGAAGTTTCTGAAGAAAAATCTTGCTAAATTTTTTAGTTCATAAAGTTTTGGAATTTGGAGATACATAAAAAAAAATTTTTTTTTGAACTCTTTTCTGGTTGAACAGAAATAGCCCGAGTTTTCACTGTAACATTTACTTCTGTTTCTGTTACTAGTTGGGCATTTCACCTAATTTCTCTGTATTTGCCCTATTCATTTTTCGGAGGTGAGATCATATATGCAAAAGTATTTTAAAGAATTGAATCTGCTGTGGTGGTGTACACCTATAATCCCAGTAATTGGGAGCTGAAGCAGGAGGATCACAGCAAGTTCAAGGCCAGCCTGTGCTATATAATGATACTCTGTCTCTGGGGAAAGAAAATTAAAAGTTATATTAAGTTAAAAAATGTTAATAACTATTATATTGCTGCTTCATATGAAAGTACCTTTACCAAATTTCATTTAAATTGCAAAAAAATTTTATTTTACTTCACCAAATTTATTAATGAAAAAATGACTATGTAGAGAGTAAAGTGTTTTCAGAGGTCTTCATGTAAATTACTAGCATAAACTATAAAATTGACGTAACTTTAGAGACTTTTTAAATTTTTTTTTTTTTTTTTTTTTTGTCTTTTTCCCTTTCATGGGTACTGGGGATCGAACTCACAACTGCCTGCTGGCAAGGCAGGCGCTTATGCCGCTGAGCTAAATCCCCAGCCCCTTAAATTTGATTTTTCTAGAAATGTGCAAAATCAGGTAAGCCAAGTTTAGAAATAAGGATCAAAGCTTTTTGGGTTTTTATGGTGGAACAGAATAAGAGAACAAACAAGTTTAAGGTCTGGGTTATAAGAGACTATATAAAACTGGTTGTAACAAGGTTATATATTTCCAAAGCAGTTACAGAACCCTTTAAAATGTATTTGCTTTGTGTTGAATTAGTGTAGTGGCTAAGGAAACTGTGATTGATTGATTGATTTTTTTTTTTTTTTTCTTTTGGTACTGAGGATCGAACTCATGATTGTGCGCTTATGCCACTTCGCTAAATCCCCGGTCCTGTGATTTTAGACATCTGTTTAATACTTCAAAATTTCAAAGCAAGTTTAAGGATTGGAAAATGATTTTACTCTACATATAATGCTGTTATTTATTTTGTCCTTAGTTCTCTTTTCCTTGAAAATCCTTTAATGCATTCCAATGTTTTTCTTTTTTTATGCAGAGATGATGAAAATACATTTAAAATCTTAGTTGCAACTGATATTCATCTTGGATTTATGGAGAAAGATGCAGTGAGAGGAAATGATACATTTGTCACATTTGATGAAATTTTAAGACTTGCCCAGGAAAATGAAGTGAGTGGGTTACATTTGTGTGATTTTTTTTTTTTTAACTCTATTTCCTTTGTCAATAGGCTCTTTCCCCTGAAGTTCAGTTTATTTTATACACTCATATGCTCACACTGCCTGTTTAAGTATCAGTGTACTAAAAACTCAAAGCAGATTTTGTATGTGTTGTGTCCTTATTTCAAATAGGTGCTACTTTGGTGTAAATAGGCTTATAATTTACAAATACTCATGGGATGCTTAATGAGTACATAGTCAATTTCTCTCTGAAATGAAAAACTTATTGTCATAATTTCTGCTTTCCAAGAACAGATAACCATATGGAAAGTCAGTGATAAGAACTATAAGAAAATTATAAACAGCATTTCCTGGGAGTTTAGAGGAGGAAGAGATCACAATTAACTGAGAATTGCAAGATGAGCTTAAAAAGGAGGTGACATTAAACCTGGGCTTTGAGGAAAGAGTAGATTTGATGCTTGAAGAGCATAGAAAATATACATTCTGGTGAAGCAGGGGTAAGAGCACAGACGTGAGACAGTATGAGGTGGGTTAGGTGACCAGTGAGTCTCTGATTCATCTATAGGCCATGAGTGAGAAAGCATGCCAAATGACTGGAAGTGAGGGTTTGAGTTGCTTCGAGGAGGGCTTCAAATCCCAGGCGGAGGAGGTCATAACTGAATTGGTAGGCAGCCTTCTGACAGAATGGTGTTACAGAATGAATTGTTACTGAAGATTGTTCTGAGGCTTTTCAAAAAGTAATTATTAGGCATGAAAACGAGGAAATGAATGCAAGAGATAATACAAAGGTGGGATTTGGATTAGGTTATAGGGTGAAGATGAGGGAAAAGGAATGACAGTGGCTGAAGTGTGTTGAATCTGGATGGATGGTGGCACTAATAGTAGAATTAGATAAGAATTATTTGTGTGGGAAGTTGAATTTAGAATTGGAAATTTCAGTGGAACTTTTAGGGAATTATTCTAGCAGCCAGTCGAATATCAGTTTAGAGCCCAGGAAAGGGTTGGAGAATAAATAAATGCTGGTGACTTGCAAATTAATAACCTTGACTTCTGCAGTTTCTGTTCATTTTTCTGTAAGGCCTTCTTCTGTAGTTCTTCCTCCTGAAAAGAAATGGCACTTCCTCATTCCCCTGTGTCTTCACACCTGTAAACTTAGCAGCAAACTGTGGTTTACCTGAAGTGCAGTTGCCTTCCACTGCTCTTTCTACTTCATTCTTTCTCCCTGTATCCACTCAGCATAGCAGCCAAAGGGAACTTTTGAAATCCTTAATCAGGTCTGTCACTGTGCTGCTTAAAATATTGCAAATGACTTTCCTTTGAATATAGAATAAAAGTCAAACTGCAAAGCTAACTGGATCTGGCTCCTGTCAGGAGACTGCATCTTCACTCTGCCTGGTTTACAGGCTCTGTCTACACTGGCATCTTCTCTTCTGGAACTTTCATATGTCTGGTTTTCTTGGAGCACTGTGCTCATGGTAGGATTGACTTATTAGTTCAAATTTTAGCTTTGTGAAGATATCTTCCCTAGCATTATTTTATTACATAGCCCTGAAATAATTTACTGAATTGTGTTTTCTATTGTGAGGTCCCCTTCTTGAGAGTGATACAAAATGCTGAATGAGGGCAAGGATGTCATCTGCTTTTTAGATTGCTATTTCCTTAGCTACCGTTGTGTGTAGGGATTCTATAATTGAATGAATGACTTGGGTTCAATTGATATTTCTTTGTTCTGTTAAAGTATGAGGCTTGTGTTTGACCTTGAAAATTTTAATGAAAGAGTACAATTGCCTTGGAAATCTTTACTCAGTACATGTAATTTAAAAGCGACTTTGTTGAACAGGGGTTAGGAACCTAAATTGGAATAAGATTAGTTACTAGTTTTGAAGCCCCTTTCAAGAAATAAAACATAAGATCTTAAATTGTCATATACAATAGTATCTTTTGTGAAATTTTTTTCTTTCATCTATAGTTTAAAAAATTTTTTTACCTGTAAAATCTACTAATTGTTACACCATTTTCTATTGATTAGGTGGATTTCATTTTGTTAGGTGGTGATCTTTTCCATGAAAATAAGCCCTCGAGAAAAACATTACATACTTGTCTAGAGTTACTTAGAAAATATTGTATGGGTGATCGTCCAGTACAGTTTGAAATTATCAGCGATCAGTCAGTCAACTTTGGTTTTAGTAAGTAAGTATATTTATTACTTCAGTGGTAAAACTTATGTATGCTTTCTGTGTGATACAGATAAACACATTACCAATTAGCCATTTCATCTTAACTATAAACTATTTTCATAGTAAATGCAGTTTGAATAATTTTATATGTCATTGTGTAAGCATTGGGATTGAATATTTTAGGTTTTTATATTCTTAATATCGTCTGTTGGGTTTTTTCTTTTCCTACCTGATTTATATCAGTTGCTTATATAGTCTACATACTAAACTTTCATTAGGCATGAGTATTTTCTTATCTGTAGATTGTCTTTTGACTTTATGTAATCTTTGACCAAAATGTTTAATTTTCATATAGCCAGATGTATCACTTTTTCTTTTAATATTTGTCCTTTTGAAATTTATGATATTCCCCTAGAACCCTGAATGGTACAGCTACCATGATGTTTTTTTCTTAAATACTATATAGGATATCACTTTACATTTAAGCATTACTTTAGTCCCTTAGCATGTGTTAGAGTCTCTGTCTTGTTTTTTCAGACAGGGTCTCACTGTGTAGTTCAGGCTGGCCTTGAACTTACTGTATAGCCCAGGCTGGCCTTGAACTAAATATGGATTCTGCTGCCTCACCCTCCTGAGTTCTGGGATTACAGACATATGCCACCACTCCCAGCTTGTCTTTTCTTGTCTTCATGACACTGATACTTTTGAAGCATATTACTTGGGAATTTTGTAGAATGTCTTTCATTGTGTCTTTCTTTTTTGTATAAATTGGAATTAGAGGAGGAATATATTACAGTGCTACAATTAAAAAGGGTAATTGACTTACAAATTAATAGGCAAATAAAGGAGAACAGAATCTCCAGAAATAACCTCAAGTATATGTAAGAATTTAGTTTTTTTTTTTTTTTTTTTTTTTTTTTTGTCTTTTTCCTTTTTATCGGTACTGGGGATCGAACTCATGACTGCCTGTTTGCAAGGCAGGCGCTTATGCTGCTGAGCTAAATCCCCAGCCCCAAGAATTTAGTATTTTATGAAGGTAGTATCTCAATCTCACATCCTGAGAAAAAAATGGATTATTTAGTGACTATACTGAAAAAACTATTAGATGCTTTAAAAACTTTTAAGATGTAGAAAGGATTTTTAAAATGTGATACAAAGCCTTAAAACCATAAAAGAAAAGATTGATACATCTTTGTAAAAATAAATTTCTAACCAACAAAAATTGCACAAGGCAAAGTTAAAAATTATAGTTCATCTAGTCACTTGCAACTTGTCCAAGTTAAGGTCTAATTTTCCATAAGTAAATCTTTCAAATGAAAAAAATCTACTACAAAAATAGGGATGGAGTATGGACACAGTTTGCAGAAAAGAAAATGTCATTTCAACATATTTTTTAAAAAGCTCTGTGTTGTTCATGAGTAAAATATAATATGAATCTATACTGAAATATTTTTCTTCTGTAGGGTTGGCATAGATCAGTGATTCTCAGTCCTGAGTGCTTCTTACAGTTCCTAAGAAGCCTATAAAGTACTAATCCTGGTATCCATGCCAACTGATATGTCTCTTTCAATATGTCATGAGCAGTGGTATTTCTTTTTTTTTTTTTCCTTTGTCTTTTTGTTTGTTTTTATCGGTACCAGGGATCGAACTCACAACTGCCTGCTTGCAAGGCAGGCGCTTATGCCACTGAGCTAAATCCCCAGCCCCCGAGCAGTGGTATTTCTTAAAAGATGCTCAAATAATTCTTTTTTTTTTTTAGTATTTTTTTTTTATTTAAGGAGAAAAAGAAAAAAACAGAAAAAGGGTACAAGTAATACAAAATTTAAAAAATAAACAGTAAGAAATCACTAGTTAATAGATTACATATTCTCATCTTAGAAATAATTGTTCAAGTTACAAAATTAAAGCATATAAAGTGGACTTTCAAACAGTGAAAGTGCAAACAGTTTTGTTCAATGATCCAACAAAACTCAGTAATATGGTTATCAATCTTATACACTTAAACATATATGCAGTTATAATCTTTAGAGCACTTTCTTTTCTTTTGTACAATGACAATTACACATTTTGGGTTTTATTACTCCCACAGTTCTTATTACTTTTTTTGAAGAAAGTAAAACCAAATGCGACATATCAGAACAGAGTCAGTCAAATCAAAAGGATGGACATAATAGATAATGTAAAAACAAAATACAAGGTGATCAACAATGGTTACCATACTGCCTCTTGCTATTTTAAGAAGAATTGTCAGTTATAATAAAATTGAACAAAACAGTAAAGAATAAAACCAAAGCATTGGAGACATTACAGGACTTTAAAAGAAGATAATAGTCAACCAGAATGGGTGTCATAATGAACCTTATTGTGAGAACCACTAGCACAGATTTTAAAACATGGTAATACCCCATGTTGGTGAAGTTGAGGAAACTGTCTTTCTGATACATTGTCATTATATTATATGTGAATTTGAACAGTGTATGGAGAGAAATTGGCAGTAGTTATCACAATGAAAAATGCACAAATTCTTTTATCCAGAATTCTCTTCTAGGTATTTTCCTGCAGATACCTTCTCATAAAGGCAACCCTTGTGCCAGATTACTCACTGTAGTATTGTTTGTAAAACAAAAAACTGGAAAAAGTAATATCTACTGTTAGAAAACTGTGTAACCGCAATACTGTAAGCCATACAGTGGAGTGCTTTGCCAGCTAACGAAAAGCAAAAAAAAGCTCTTTGTATTTAGTATTGCTATGAGATGATTCTAAACTATGTAAAGTGATAAAAGCAGGGGGTTAGAAATCTAATCTATGCTAACATTTATGCAAGAAGTAAAATATATTCAAGAACTTATGTAAGTAGATTATTTTTTAAAAAATGCAATAGAAATTGTTAATGTTAACTGGGACCAAAAACATACTGGAGGAAAAGTAACTTTTTAATAAAGCTGCTGGAGAAACTGGCTATCCACTTGCAGAAAATTGACTCTAGGCCTATATTTCTTACTGTACTAAACTAAAATCAAAATGGATCAGAGATCTAAATGTTAAAACAGAAACACTAAGTCTATTAGAAGATAAAATAGCTAAAACTCTTAAGTTATAGGCAGAGCTTTCTGAACAGCATTATTGTTGCGCAGAAAGTACCAAGAAATCAACAGATGGGATTATATCAGATTAAAAAGCTTCTGCACAGCACAAGAAACAATCAACAGAGGGGAGAGTCAGAATGGCAAAAATTTTTTTTCCAGGTATTCCTCAATCAGAGGACTAATATCTAGCATAAAGCATAAAAAATTAAACTTACAAGACTGAATCAAAAAATGGACAAGTGAAATGAGAAGTACAAATGGCCAGTGAATACATGAAAAAAATATTCAGCAACCCTGGCAATTAGAGAAATTCAAATTAGAGCAGTACGGAGATTCTGTCTTACCCCAGAAAGAAAGGCCACCATTAAGAAATAAAATAATAAAAATTTGTGGCAAGGCTGTAGGGTAAGGAACACTTCAGTGCTGTTGGTAAGGATGTAAACTAGGATAACCTCTGTGGAAATTATGTATGGCAGTTCCTCAAAAAACTGAAAGTTTGATTTCACCCAGCTATTGTCCTTTTACGTATCTTCCCCCAAAAGTTAGAGATATCATATTATGGTGACACATGCATATCCATAGCAGCACAATTCATGGTAGCTAAATTTTGGTAGTGGCTTGTATGTCCATCAGCAGATAAATATATAAAGCAAATGTGATGTTTACATACAGTGGAATTTCTACTATACTATAAAGAAGGATAAGTGAGTCATTTGTAGGAAAATGGGATGTATGTTGAGAATATAATGTTATGTGACATAGATCAGGCAAAGCAGCTTACATATTGCATGTAGTACCTTGATTCATGAACTTAACTCTTTCCACAATTCTGGTCATAAACTGAATTGAACAAGCAGAGTCAAATTTTCCCATAAGGTAAACATTGAACCTATTTAATTTGTTTCGCAACCAATTCAGTTTGCGACCAGAACTATGGAAAGAATTATTTGTGAACCAAGGTATCACTTAAAGGGCAAAGTAAAATAAAATAGAAGTAGGGAGATAGATGTCTCTAATGGAGAAAGAGGATCAAGAGATGGAGGAAAACGAGAGGGAAGGGAGGAATAGGAGATGAAAAAAGAATTAGGACATGTTGTGTACATATACCAACTTCCAAGATGTAATCATTATGTACTGTTAATGTGTACTAACAAAATATCAGAACAAACAAAAAAGTAATTGCTAACATTATTTGCCCTAGAAAATCTGGAAAGCTGAAAGCAGGCGTGGGCAGGAGACTGAATTGCACATCCGATACAACTGAAATTATTATTCTGGATCATTAGATTCCAGGGTATATTGTATATGTTTTTTCCCTTTTTCCTCTTACAAATGAAAACCTGGAAAAGGCTTCAGCACCAGGCATGGTGGAGGTACCACTTGGGAGGCTGGGCCAACAGAATTGCTGTGAGTTTGGGGCCAGCCTGGGTGACATAGTGAGTTCAAGGGCAGTGTGAGCTGCATAGCAAGACTGTCTCAAAAAATGCGTAAATTTGGAAGTCTTCCCACTAACAACCAGTACCACTCTTTCATACAATTTATAAGCACCAGTTATTGTTGTGTTTTGTAAAATGTAGTACTTCAAATATTTTCAAATTTTAACTGAAATGAGTTTTTTGTTTTGTTTTGTTTCTTTGGTACTGGAAATTTAACTCATGACCTTGCATATGCCAGGCAGCCACTTAGGCCACTGAGCTATCTCCCCAACTCTTGAAATGAGTTGTTGCCTATTTTATGTTCTAAAGCTCTAAACCAGTAGTTGTTTGCTAATTTGGGTCACATTGTTTGCCTGTAATTGTGTTATTGTGTCTGAGCAGACTTTGGAAATCAGTTTTGTCCTATTTTGAAACTTTTAACTTTTCTTTTCTTTTTTTTTTTTAAAGGTTTCCATGGGTGAACTACCAAGATGGCAATCTCAACATTTCTATTCCAGTGTTTAGTATTCATGGCAATCATGATGATCCCACTGGGGTAATTAGTGTTTCGTTGTAGTTTCAGGTTTAGAAATGTCCAATTTAGTTTGTCTGTGGAGACCACCAGTTTTCCCAGCAGTTTGTAGTCAAATTGAGTAAAGAGGGCAGAATCACTTTTACCATTAATAAGTTTATGCTGCTTTTTGGATTTTAAAAAATAAGTAAAATAAGAATTGCTAAATGAGTTGTGGTTTTACATCAGTGGTGGTGAACCTATGGCTCGTGTACCACAGTGGGCTTTTGGGTCTTAGCAAGCTCTAAAAGGTTCACTATCACTGTTTTGTATCATTAGAGCTGAGTTTAACAGTGCATAATGAGAAGTAACATTTTCATAGTACTCCATAGTTACCAGTACTTTGATATTGCTTATGATCTCACAGGAAATGATTGTTTTATGAGCAACTTTAAATCTACATTAGATTATTTTATTGCCTCTGATAAGGATGTAAGATTGGTGGTCCTAAACTCAAAGTATCTTTTTATCCTGTCAAATATAAGTCACTAGTTATGTGTAATCTTCTTTCTCTAGTTTTTAAGAGGTCCACTGAATATTACAAAGCTTGTATTTCACAGCCAATTTTTATATTTTAATGGCCAACTTCGCATTTAGCATGTGATTCTTGTTGATGTAGCTAATTTGTAATAGAAGAAAGTAACAAATACCTACATACAGAATTTTGTTTTGAGAAGATACTTTTCTAGTCTAAATTTTAGTAATTGTGGATATTGAACATGCCTAATCCAAGAATAAGGGATTTAGTTGCTCCAAAATCTGAAATTTGCTGGCTAAAAAGTTTTGGATTTGGATGTTTAAATTTGAGATGCTCAGCTGGCAAAGTCTGTACCCACTAAAATCTAAAAAATTCCAAAATCTGAACTACTCCTAGTTTGAAGCATTTAGTAGTATATGGATTAGGCTTTTAATATGTAGTATGACATTCGTGTAGATCACTTATTTTATATACACATGAATATTCTTTGTTGATATCTTGCATAGGCAGATGCACTGTGTGCCCTGGATATTTTAAGTTGTGCTGGATTTATAAATCACTTTGGACGTTCAATGTCAGTTGAGAAGATAGATATTAGTCCAGTTTTGCTTCAAAAAGGAAGCACAAAAGTTGCTCTCTATGGTTTAGGTAAGATGGTTTTTTTTTTTTTTATATATATGTTAGTTAATTAAAACATTTATTGAGAAATTAAATTTTGGAGACAACTTTGTAATCCTTTGGAAATAAGTGCACTAAGTCGGGTTACTTCATTAGTGACTAAAAGATGATGGAATGTTTGGTAAAAACTTTTTAGTATTGATAAGAAACGGTAAATGTTAATGCATTCTTGTTTTTAATAGTTTTGGTGAAAATTTTCCTTTCTTTTAAGCTCAGATATAGAATCTTAAATATTAGAGTTAGAGAATAATTCTTAAAGAATTACAGAATAGTTCTGTAAAATTTTACTTTAGAATAATTCTTCATTAAAACTATGCTTTGGTATCTTAGCAGTGTTTCAGAGGTCTAATGTGTTGCTTTCCAGGACAGTAACCACTGCCCTCAGGTAAGTATGGAGCACTTGAAGTGTGGCTAGTCTGAATTACAGTGTGCTCTCCCTGTAAAGTTCACACAGGATTTCAAGAACTAAGGGAATGTACAAAACATATTAATACATTAGATTAAATAAGTTAATGAACTTTGTCTTTTTGCTTGTGTTTATATGGCTGTTTAAAATGTCATGTTTGACATGCATTAGTAGCTCACACACATCTATTAGACAGTGCTAGACCAGAGTTGTCCATCTCTAATAATCAGAAATTCGCCATATCAGCCTCACTAACTTCATTTTGTGTTCTGTAGGTAAAAGCTTATTTGCTAAGCTTTATTCTGTGTGAATGAAAGACTGAGGGCTATTTTTAGAAGCATTCATTATTTTGTATATTTTATAGCTCAAGTATCCTTGAGCTATAAAATGAGCTAGAAATGATGTATGTGTACATTTATTTTTCCCACATTTTTATTAGTGCATATTGATTATGCAGATTAATGGGTTTAATTTTGGCAGATTTATACATGCACATGACATACTGTTTTCATTATCCCATCACTCTTCCTGTACCACCTTCTCCCTTAGTGTCACATGATTTAGAAATAATATATTTCAAGTCTTTTATTATGCCTTTTTGTCTTTGTCTGATTCTACAAGTGATAGAGCAAGAATGCTTTTGTTGTTTTTCAAAGCTATTAATAAGGTTTAATCATTGCAATGTTAGAGGTCATTCCTCCAGAAAATAGTTTCTCCTCTTAGATTCAGATTAAGGCCAGATCCCATTACACGCCCCAGTTACTACCACAGGCTATACATCTTCTATCCATTTTCTCGCAGTCTCCTTTCATCCTGGTCTGCTTTCCTTCACTGGAGTCTGTCTCCATCCCAAATACCAACCCTTCACTATAAATGCTATGAATTCTAGAATTCTTTGTAATCAATAAATTCCTTCCTTTCCTCAGGATGATGAGCCCACCTGGATTCTGAGGTTACTTTGTCCCTAAAGTTCTCTTACCTATGGTCTTTGGGGCAAGAAGGAAGATCACTGTTCTCCCTATTCCCCACCACTTTTCTTTTATGCCACCAAACAATCTCCTATTCAGGGTTTATGCCATCTGCCTAAACTACCTTTGCCTTTCTCCCAAACTTTTACCCTCTTCCCCACACCTGCCTTCCAAGTTTTAGTGGCCTTCGTGCTTTAGCACCTAAGTAGGTCAGCTTTCGATGCCCCCAGCTTTTCACCCTTTCCTTGGCTCCAGTTATGTGATCTGCATTCCACCTCAGCAGTGTATTCCTCATCCAAATTGTACATGGTTGGATTTCTGGGATCTGTATCAGTTTATAAGGCAGCAACCTCATCTGTACCCTCTCCAACTCTTCACTGTTATTCTTCATCTTGGAATCCTGACCTTTTCTCCTTTTTTCATGTTTAGAAATTGTTATTATTTATTTTAGTTTATTTGTTTTTGTTAGTTTCCACTAGCTAAACGCAAACTGATGTATTTGGGAAGAAGTGTTTGAGAGTAAATGAATATTAAAATGCATTAAAAACTATATAATAATAACGTGCTTCAAAGTACATTTGTCACCTTTTTTAATATGTATATCTGTGCATGTTATAATTCATGTCTTAAAGGGTCAAAAGCATATGAACTTGTAATGTTCAGTAAAGGGGTAGTGAAAAACAAAATTACTAGAAGTTTTCATAGAAATTTAAGCGTGGAAACCTTACTTTTTGTTCCACATGTTCCTGAAATTAAAGGTATATATGCCTGAAGTGGAGAATGTCTTTTGAATGCAACTCACTGCTGTTGTGTTAGAACCTGGCACATAGGTTTATAAATGTCATCACATTAATTATTGTAGAATTCATAAAGTAAAATATTTTAGAAACATAATTTAGAAGTGAAAATTCTTTAACCAAAGTAAGAAAATAATTTTAAAATAATGTAATGTCCACTTCAGGGTCCATTCCAGATGAAAGGCTCTATCGAATGTTTGTCAATAAAAAAGTAACAATGTTGAGACCAAAAGAAGATGAGAACTCTTGGTTTAACTTATTTGTGATTCATCAGAACAGGTAAAGGTATTCTCTGAAAACTTGGGTTAGTAATGGAGGTTCCAGCTCAGTTGCTTTAGCAGAATACTCTTACTCCTACAAGTTTGTCAGTGTGGGATCAGGCAAACAGATTTGCTTTGTGTCATTTTATTTTTAAATTGGTTCAGCATATGTTATTATCTATAAAGGAATATTTGTAAAATATGAATGAGAAATAAAAATAACCACAAAATGAATATCCCTAAATTCAGCAAAGGCTTAGCCATCACAGTGTCCTATCGTCTTGCTTGATCTCATCTGGTTCCTCATACTTTGGGGGGAGCATTAGTCTCAGGTTTGAATTACTCAATTTGTTGCTTTTCAGCATTTTTAAATCACATATTCACAATTGATTTTATTTAGTTTTAGTGTAATCATGTTGTATGTTTTACAGGCAACTTATTTTCAGCATTATGTTACTGAGATCCATTTGGAGGCTTAGAAATGTAATTCATTTTTACTGATGTAAAAATGTCAGTTACATTTTTCCTCTTTGTCAGTGAACATCGTTATTTCCAGTTTTTGGCTTTCTTACACATTTAGGAACTTTTCTTACATATTTCTTTTGGTACATATATGTGGGAGTGTCTTTCCAGAATATGAAAATACAACAAGATGAACTTACTTTTGTTGGTAGTTGTAAGTTCAGTCTGGTGGTAGGATACAGGGTTGAGTGAAGAGACTGAGGAAACTAAGATTTATTATATGACTGCTATAGTAAAAAATGTGAGGTGTCAACAGTGATAGCAGTGAAACTGATAGAGAAGAGAGAGGCCTGGGAAATTGTTAAGGAAGCCTCCAAGGGACTTGGGGACTGATTGTATAATTTTTTTATCAAACTTATGAAGGGCTGGGGATTTAGCTTAGCAGCATAAGCACCTGCCTTGCAAGTGCGCTGTCGTGAGTTTGATCCCTGGTACCAAGACAAACCATTTATTTTTTATTGAATACAGACTACTGCATTTGTTGAATACAGATTTGTGTTAGGTGCTAGGTGAGAGAAGGACTTCAGGAGGCCGACTTGCATTGCCTTATACATGTTCTTGAGTAAATAGCAGAGTTTCAAAGGAAGAGATGTGTGTTACCTCCATGTAATTTCACACACTTGTGAGTTATTCTCTCTTCTGGAAGGCTTTCCAGTTTAGCTAAACTTTGTATTATGCCAAAATAAAGATTAGTTGAAAGGAAAGCTTTTAAGTAATTTAAAGAATTTAAGCCAAAATGAAAGGTGAAAGGCAGCATTGGTGTCTTATCTTCATCATTGCTGTGACAAAATACTTGACACTCACAAGTTAGAGAAGGAAAGGCTTATTTTAAAGGCTTATTTTAAAAACAGTTTGTTGTCCATTGGTGGCTGATGCAAGGCAGGGTGGCATGGCACAGTGGCACTGAAGAGGGAAACAGTAGTAGCAGGGTAGGCAGAAAGTAGCATCAAGCAGTAGTGGAAGCCTGCTGTATGTCTTTCCCTTTTACCTCATCCAGAAGCCTTTTGGGTACTGCTACCCACTCTCATGGTTAGCTTTTCTGTTGACATTTGGAACCATACTTACCCAATCAGTGGGTTAATTTAGTGCCATACATTCTTAATCTCAGTATCCCCCTAAATCCAGACAGCTCTGAAAAACTCCACCTAATAGAGCATGAGGCTTTGGGGGAACATTAGATATAAGCCATAACAATTAGTATGAGGAACAAGTAAACATGTGATGTTGATCTGTCTCACTGCTGATGGGTTAGCCATCATTTGATTATGGTGAATACTTCTCTAGCATAAAGTACCCTGCCGTGTCCCATGCAGCTCTTAAGACTTTGCAGAAAGAATGGTGGGGGATTAAGAAGAAAGGAATCAATATACAGAAAGCTGGGGTCAGGTGGAGCCCTCTCTCTTGATGGGAGAAAGAAACTGCCCAGCATCTGCAGTGCATTTATATAATTCGCGTATAAATAAGTTCATGGAGAATTTAAGGGGAGGGTAGGATCTGAGAGAGGAAGAAACCTAATCGGTTAGCAGAACAACATATGTTGGTGGCTTCATGGGAAATGAGAAACCTGTCTGTGTTATCTCATTGAAGGTCAAGTTACTATGTACAACTCCCTGATCTATGCACGCTTCTCATGGGGCCCTGCCAAACCCAAGAGAAGCAGTGACCTTGTCCTAGGTACCTGAGGTACAGGCAGCTTTGCTCCCAACGTCTCCCTCTTTTCTGTTTTGTAGTTGAAGCTTTTGAGGATATTGCTTTAAGGCAAGGGTGAAGATTTGTCTTCAGACATTTTTGGAGAGGGATTAGTAAGCAAATTATTAATATAATAATTATAATGATGCTCAATGCTATGATGACTCCACGGCATGTGAGATTAAAATTATTAAATCCATTTAGCAGGTCAGATACAGACTTAGCTACCTGATCTGGCATGTGAACACTAACTTGGTCATGTTGAAGAGCCATAATTTGTTGATGGAGTGTAAGTACAAACTTACATTATTATGATGAAGTAAGTGTGCCACCATCTTTTCTCAACACCATTGAGTTTCATTTTATGACTGAGAAGTCACACATATGTGGCTAAATTTGTCATGGCATTATAATCCCTGACACTATTAAAGGGCTTTAACTTTATTACTTACATTTAAAACAGTTGCTTCAAGGGCATTGACTTGTACTTCTGATTTTAAATGTGTATTTTCCTAGGTCTCTAAGTCATATGGTGTATTTTTTGCCAGATAATTGACAAAATGTGTAATTTGTACACTCTGGGCTAGGGGCTTCAGATAAGACCACAGTAGTGGCAAGAAGGGTGACTAAAAGAATAATTCCCGGAGTTACAAGCCCCACCATTCTCTTAGGGTGAGTCAGTTGCTTATGAATCTCTTTGAGGACTTGTGGACCTCCATCATAGTACCATGGTCCACAAATACTAGTAGGAATCGTAACAAGAGTAATGGGCCACACATTATTAAAATATCTTTATCCTTTAGTAAGCTAGTAATGTACTAAGTAATATTACAGTTGTTGCAACTGAAATTGTAATGATAATCTTGTATGAAATCAATGGCTCCTATCAAAAGAACATAAGAATTGTAGACATAGACTCTGGACTAATATTTTTTAGTGCATACATATGAATTTCTTTGAGACTATAACTAGACCCAGTAATGGGGAAGAGACTAGCGGCCAAACACCATTAATCATTTTGGAGATATTTTTGTGAAACAGAGTACAAAAGACGTATAATGTCCTGTAACATTATACACAGTGTTGGAGACCACTACATACAAAGCAGCTCTGAGCAGGATTTAAATTTTACTAATTGGCTTTCTATGTTTATCTGTGAGTCTGTCCTAGGGCTCAGCCCCTTGCCTGGCAACGGGAGCTGATTCGTAGTAAGTGAACCTCTATGAATCACTGGTCCTGGCTGAGGCCTGCAGTGGCCTGTGAGGCCAGAGATACCTCAAAGGGCAAGATAAGGCCACAGCTGAAGACACCTTGGCTCCAACACTAATTAAGTAAATAGAGACTGCAGCTGAAGGAATTTCACTCCTGCAGCCGCACTCCTACCATAAATGTCATCTTGGAGATAGAACAAAAACCATCTAAACAATGAGCACCACCTCACTAGTGCAGGCAGAAGCAAAAATAAATCCTGAGGAAACATCTACTAAAACATAAACCCAACCAAACTCATTGAGTTTGTTACTGGTGTGCGCAGGGCAAATGCATGTTGATGAAAGGAGGCAGGGGTGGCAGAAGCCTGTTGAATGATGTCTGAGGGAGTAAGGTTCATGTTGACCAGCACTCCGTCTATCACAGCACTGTCTTTAGTGAAAGACCTCGGCAGGTAGAATTGAGAACATAAATGCTAATAAATCAAGGGGGAGGGACAGACCAAATGACAGTTTGGAGAGTATGAAATAAATGAAAAGGATATTTTTGGCCGGTATGTAGAGTGGCAGTGTTAGTGTGGTGCACTGTACTGCAAACACAAGCACTGTTGAAGAAGAGGTTAATAGGATTGCGTGAATTGTCTTGCAAGGCCTGTAATTCAGTCATTTGTGCAGAAGAAAAACCCATATCCTGTATTTGAGAAGAGGAGGCTATGATATAACCTCCTCTGTTTGAAGAAGCCCCTTTTTGTTTATTTAATGTTTTTTTTTTTTTTTTTAATGTTTTTTTAATATCTTTTTGAGACAGGGTCTTGCTCTGCAATTCAGGCTGGCCTTGAACTCACTCTGTGGCCCAGGCTGGTCTCAAACTTGCAACGATTCCCTTGCCTCAGCCTCCCAAGTGCTGGGATTACAGGCATGTGCCACCATGCCCAGCAATTTTTTTTTTAATGAATTGTTTTATAGCCTGATCTAAGTGAAGGTGGTTTTAGCCATTATTATCTTTTTGTGCTGAAGGCTCACCCATATTTGATTGTAGGCCTATCCCTGTTTAACTGCCTGCAGTGACTGCAACTAACTTAACTGCCTGTAATATTTTATTCTTCTGAAGAGCTATCCCCAACTGTAGTTATGGGAGACAGTGTATTTTCATCTTCACTGCTTCATGCTAACAAGAGTGGATGTAAAGAGAGACAGCAGTTAGAGACCCCCTCCAGAGAGCTAATCCAATGGGCCTTATAAATCCGCTGTGCCAGTTAGGAACTCTTACAGGAAGTTGATCTAGTGGACTTGGATAGAGGAATATTTATTGTTGGTATTATTTTTATGATCACTTGGACTTTGGCAGCTTCTAGGCAAAAATAAAAAAAATTTGAGAAATTAGAGCATGTTTAATCAAGCATGAGCTAAAATGGAAAAGCAGGTTTGAGAAAGAGCCAAGTCTAGAAATTGTTATGGGACTGGAATAGTGATTGTAATCCATTGTCTCTTAGATTTCTCTATAAATGGAGTCTGATATTTTTGTCATAAGTCTCTAGTTTTGTCTTACCTAAAGAATTTGAAGGTTTTATTGAGCTTTTGTACATTTAATCAAAATTTATTATTAATGACCCATAGTAGTAGTTAACTATTGGCATAACTGGAAACTGCCAGAAAAGGTTTATAATTGAAGTCTCTTCCTATATTTAACTTATTTTTATGACATCGTTCTAAATGTCTCTTGGTTATAGTTTTTGAATGACCAAGTTAAATTGAGACCTGAATTAATGAAATTTAACCTCTCGGTATCTGTCAAAGTCAAGTCTCCTCAGGATTTGCCTTGGAGCCGTCTATGGTGCTCTCAGTTCTTATGTCAGTGTCAGCCACGTGGATGAGTCACAGCCTTTGTTTTACCAAGTTGCTTTCTGTAAAAGCTACCAGAGTTGTAGGATGACACCTGGGTTCTCGTTGACCTCTAAGGGCTTGGGCCAAAATATTGGCTGGCCTCTTATAGATCTATCTTTCCAGTTTTTGGACTCCAAGCCCTAGTTGTTGAATATCCAGAAAAGATTAATGAGTCAGCATTGCAATAGGAGCAGTTAGCGCAATTATAATAATTTTATCTGAAAATTATATACCTAGAAATATGAAGTATAGCTCAAGAACTGTTATTTTTTTTTTTTTTTTAACCAAGTCTGGGTTGAATCCCTATAGAATGTTAACAGATGACAGTTATATAGTTTTACAGAGAAAATTGAGATCAAAAGTCTTACACGGTATCTTAGCATGGCCAATCATGATGACAATTAGTAACATACTTAAATCTCCATATTGGCATAGAATAGGCTTTTTAGTTAATTATCTCTGTATAATATCCAAGGAACTCTACCTAATTTGTTGTCGTTTAGTGGGATGTCATTGAAATGTGTGACATTTTTTGGATAACTTAATGTCTAAATATTTCTAAGTGCAGTGGCTCATACGTAGCATGTATATCATGTAAGTTTTGTTAAAAATATTGATTGGTGAACTCATGTTGGCTTGATATGAACCTGTTATCACAAATATCTGGAACACAAGAGAAAGACAGATGCCTATCATAAACAATCCCAGTTTTACATTTTAAAAGACCTGTATATGTTGAAGGCATAAATACATTTAATACACCATACAATTAGCAACAATCAGTTGTCATAGCCATATGAAAACTTTTGTTTTTTAATTTACCTATGTACCAGAGCATTTTATATATGTATGTATGTATGTGTAATTTTGGTCTTTTTTGAGAGGATTTCACTATGAAGTTCAGGCTGGCCTTGAACACATGTTGTACCCCAGGCTGGCCTTGAACTTGCAGCGATCCTCCTGCTCCAGTCTCCTGAGTGGTGCGATTACAGGCGTGTGCCACCATGCATGGCCCACAAGCATTTTTAAATCAGAAAACCTTCTTATCTCATACTAAGAAACTTAACCCACCTTTAGCCTGTGCACCATCGTGATCCTGTGGACCACTTTTGTGCTTCAGTACCTTTGCTGTCGTCAGCGCTCCCCATGCAGAGGACTCTCTTCTGTTGCGTCCTGACCCCTCATTGCAGTTCTTGCTCATGTTACTCCTGCAGAGACCTTTCCTGACTAACCCATAAATAGAGTAACATCCTTTTCTGTTGCTTTTCCTTTTGTTTATATCACCTGTCATTATCTGCCAAGTTTTATCACACACCCACCCACCCACGTGGTACTGTTGCTTGATTTCCTGACAAGAGCAAGAACTTTGTTCACACTGTTACCTGCTTGAAGCATTTGATACATAGTAGACGCTCATTAAATATTGATGAGATGAATGAATATTGGTTTGGATCAGTGAATGCTAGAGTGACATACATATTCAAATACTTTCACCAAATAATATTGGTTAATAAGAAAAACTGTTCCTATCTTTTTTACTGGGTGATAACCTTCCTAAGTATAAGACTACAGTTTGCAAATTATTTGTTCATGTGATATTTAATAATTGAAAGTTCTTTACTCATTTTGAATTGACATTTTTACTCCTATTATGTTTGTATAATTAGAAGACATCTATTTCAAGTGACTAGGTGTATTAAAATTTTTTTTTATACCACAAAGCTCAGATTTAACTCACTTTTATTTTCTATCTTTGGGGGTGGATAGTAGGAGTGGATTGTGGTCTTTATGATTTGACAGCTCATGTGCCTCCGATTTGAACAAAGGTGGGTTCTTCCCCAGTAAAGCTTTTTGTGATCTTCCTTGAAATGTACAGTCAACCACCTTTGCTCCTAGGGTTGCTACTTGACTGTGTCCTGAAAGTCTGTAAATTCGTGGTGGTCATGAATTAGATACTGGTTATCTTTGCATTTCCAGTCCCTTAGGCAATTTCTTAAAGAAGGATATATCATCAGTGAATGGAGAAAGATCTGTGTAGACTTTTTATTTAATGTGGCATTTTTCTATATTGCTGTGAGTTAATGTGACTTGTTTTTTCAAATCTCGGTGTAGGAGTAAACATGGAAATACTAACTTCATTCCAGAACACTTTTTGGACGACTTTATTGATCTTGTTATCTGGGGCCATGAGCATGAGTGTAAAATAGCTCCAACCAAAAATGAACAACAACTTTTTTACGTATCACAGCCTGGGAGCTCAGTGGTTACTTCTCTTTCCCCAGGAGAAGCTGTGAAGAAGTAAGTAATGGTTCATATGCAAATACGTTTTTAAGAATTCGTTCCTTTAATAATCTGCCAGCTTTTCCCTAGGTTTGGGATACTGGCAAAATAAACAGATTTATTTTTGAAGGGTGGTCATTTCATGTAGTTTTGTTGTTTTCCTAGATTGTAATCCATTTTCAGCAAGAGAGCATGCACTTTATGTTAATGATTTTGCTGTTCATCAAGCAGATTCAAAACTAATGTTTTTATTTACCAAATTTCAGATTAGGTGCTATATAGATGATTACTAACTTCACAGAGCAGTATTAACGAGAAAATTGATTAATTTTGATTTTGCTGTGTTACAAATGTAATATTATGATACAATGATGGCAAACCTTTTAGAGCTTTCAGTGATAGTAAGCAGCCCACTGTGGCACATGTGTCTTTGGTTTGCCAATACTGGTGTAGTATATCTAATTTCTTTTATTTCTATGGCAAAATGATATATTTCTATAAAGAATTTTAGAGCCATTAAAGTCAATATTATAATGGATTTTACCTTTTGAATCTATTCAAGTCGTGATTACTATAATAACAGTTTTAAAGCTGGGCTTGGTGGCTCGCACTCGTAATCCTAGCACTCAGAAGACTGAGGCAGGATCACTTCAAGTTTGTGGCCAGCCAGGGCTACATGGTGAATTCAAGGCCAGCCTGAACTAGCTAGTGACAGCTTGTCTCAAAAAAGAAAATAATAATAATAGTAATAATAGTTTTAAAGAATATGGTAATGGGATGTGTGATCGTTGGTTTTATTTTGATAACATTTATTATACTTGTTAGGTCTGTTTTCCATTAGAAGACAGTTTATTTGTTTAGATATCAAATATGGTAGATGAATGAATGTTATCCTGAGAAAGAATGTTTTCCTACCATGAGATTAAGATTAAACTGCCCAAAATATTTATTTTTAAGGGTGTGAAATATCTTGTAGAACTACATTTAGAAGAAGCATAGCTTTTATTTGTACATTTCCTCAAGAAACTTATATCCTGATTAAGCTTTCAAATTTTTTCCCATTTTTTTAGACATGTTGGCTTGCTGCGTATTAAAGGGAGGAAAATGAATATGCACAAAATTCCTCTTCAAACAGTGAGACAGTTTTTTATGGAAGATGTTGTTCTGGCTAGTCATCCAAAAATTTTTAACCCAGATAATCCCAAAGTAACCCAAGTCATCCAGAGCTTCTGTGTGGAGAAGGTAATCTTTTAAGTCAGTGAAATCTACTTTGGTCAAGAAACTAATTTCTTTCAATTAAATAATATAGGGAAGACTTTACTCTGTTTATTACATTCTTGTGAAATGAATAGTAAAATATATGTTGTTTAGGGAACAAGTTTGTATCAAAGATTTTTTTTGTTTGTTTTAATAGTCATTGAAATAGAGGAATACAAGGTATAGGAAAAAAACTTGTATCCCAGTTCCTTTCTTTTAAAAAACAGCACAATCTTTTCATTATCCTGTTTTATTAATTGCTTTGTTTTACTTATGGAAAACAGATAGTGACATTGATTGGGGTTGGGAGCATATTGTGATACTTAGCATCCATTTTACTCTGAAATCCATCTTAAATAAAATAGGTACTTTGTACTCTGTGCCTTTAGCCTAAGCCCTGTACCTCTCCATATAAACTGCTACCCCTGAACCTCTGTAGAAACTCTGGTGCCTCTAGTGAATTTAGTTAATGTGTTTACTAATACATAGTTGAATACCATTACAACATTAATTGCTGACATTTATTCAGTTCTTACCCTTTTCTGCATTACATTTTTTTAAATTTTATTACTTTTTAAAAAATTTTTATTTTAAAGAGGGTAAAACTAAACAAAACACAACAAAGCAGATCAGAAGAAAACATTGTAAGAGATACAGATTTTAAAGCAAGACAAGAGGAGGTCATCACTCTATCATATTGTCTCTTATTTTCTTCTAAATAGTTGTCCATATCTTCAAACACAATCAATTCATACAAAACAAAGTAGTATTAAACTGTTCAGAACAGAATGATGAAGGCATTTTAAGCCTTCAAAATCAGACAATAGGGAATCAACAATGGCTGCCATAGTGTTTCCCGTTCTCTTCAAAGTAGCTGTCCATACCTTCATGTATGTTGAAATTAAACAATACAAAACAGACTAAAATCACCCTGAAGAAAGAATAATAGTACTGCTGGATTTCACAGCATGACACTATGGAATTAGCACTGGGTACCATAGTGTCTCTTTTTCTTCAAAGTAGCTGTTCACTTCATCATGCATTATATAATCGATTCTCATAAACTGTTTAGGAGAAGTTCTACACATGTATGAGTTTCTACATGTATACCTATCCTTTGTGTATTAGAGGAAAAAACAAAACAAAACAAAACACATTCCTGGAAAAACATGAGACAAAAAAGACAAACAATAATAGTAAAGAGCCAAAAACAATGATGATACAGGCCTTCAAAACAAGGTGGTAGGAGCATAACTAGGGTTGTTATTTTACATAATGATCTTCAGGAGTTCGTCAGATCACCACACAATAATAGGCACCATTGTTCCAGTCCTATGAATGTTAACTATTTTGTTCCAGAAACTTACAGAATTTGTGGTACAGTCATCTTAGCTATCCTAAGCGTGTTTATATCATTTTAGATATTTTTCCCCTTCCTTTTTCTCTTTCCTCATTTTCCCTGAGATATGATTTTGTCCCTTCAAGCAGATTGTTATCCTTTTACTATATTTATTGAGTTTTTTGTATCTTAAGTACTCTTACCATTTCTTGTACTACGGAGACTACGGTATTTAAACATGTGAGTTTGATTTATTTCACTTAAGAATATGATCTTGAGTTGCATCCATTTACTTATAAATATTTCAATGTGATCATTCTTTATAGCTGAGTAGTACTCCATTTTATAAAAATACCACATGTGTTTCATCCATTCCTCAGTTGATAGGCATTTAGGTTGTTTCCAAGATTTGGCTATTACAAATTGTGCTGCTATAAACATGGGTGCACATATATCACTGTGGTGTGATGTTTTCACTTCTGGGAATGTGCCCAAAAGTGGAATAGCTGGATCAAATGGGCCTTCCAATCCCAGCTTTGTGAGGAATCTCCAAACTGATCTCCACAGTGGTTGCACCAGTCTGTACTCCCACCAACAATGCAGGAGAGTTCCTTTTTCCCCACAGCCTCTTCAGGATTTGTTGTTGGTAGTTTTCTTGATCCTGGCCATTCTTTCTGGAGTAAGATGGAATCTCGGTGTTTTAATTTGCATTTCTCTAATGAGTAATGATGATGAACATTTTTCATGTATTTATTTACTGTTTGTATTTCTTCATCTGAGAACTGTATTCATCTCAGATGCCCATTTTTGGAATGAATCTTTGAATTTTGGGGATCTGATTTTTTAAAAATCCTTTATATGTTCTAGACAGAAGTCCTTTGTCTGAGGAACAGTTCACTAAGATTTTTTTTCCCAGTTTGTTGGTTTTCTTTTCACTATGCTGGAGATTTTTTTTTTTTTTTGTCTTTTTCATTTTTATCGGTACCGGGGATCGAACTCACGACTGCCTGATTGCAAGGCAGGTGTTTATGCCGCTGAGCTGAATCTCCAGCCCCCGCTGGAGATTTCTGACATGCAAAAACTCTTTAATAGGACATGATCCCAGTTATTGATTCTGTGAAGTATTTTGCATGCGGTTTGATTCCTGTTCATGAATTCTCTACTTACCCCTATGTCTTCAAGTTTCTACCTACTTTGTCTTCCAACAGATTTAGTATTTCTGTTTTAATATTTAGATCTTTGATCCATTTAGATTTTAGTTTAGTACGTGGTGATAGGCATGGGTCTAGTTTTAATTTTTGTCATATGGAGAGCCAGTTTTTCCAGCACCATTTATTAAAGAGACTGTCTTTCTTTCAGTGGATGTGTTTGGCCCCTTTATCAATGATAAGGCAGCTGAGTGTGTTGGTAGTTATAGTTGTATCTTCTAATCTGTTCCATTGATCTTCAGGTATGTTTTTATTCCAGTACCATGCTGATTTTTATTACCGTAGCTTTATAACTTCAAGTCAGGGATTGTGATGCTTCCTGCCTTGCCTTTGTTACTTAGAATCGCTTTTGCTATTCTAGGTTTCTTCAGGTTCCAGAGGAATTTTAGGAGTGATTTCTATAGATCTGTGAGGTATTCTAATGGTATTTTGATTCAAATTGCATTAAATCTGTACAACAATTTTGGGAGAATGGCCGTTTTCACAATGTTTGTTCTTCCTATCCCTGAACAAGGGATGTCTTTCCATTTTCTGAGGTCTTCTTTGATTTCTTTTTTAGGGCATTATAACTTTCCCCAAATAGATCTTTTACTTCTTTTATTAGTTTAATTTTTAAGTATTTCATTTTGTTGGATGCTGTTGTAAAGGGTGTGTCTTCTCTTATTTCTCTTTTGGTGGTTCTGTTTTTTAGTGTACAGGAACACTATTGATTTTTGAGTGTTGACTTTGTATCCAGTTACATTACTAAATTTATTTACTAAGGAGTCTTTCAGTGGAGTTTTGGGGGTCTTCTATGTAGAGTATCATCTGCAAATAATGATAATTTAACTTCTTCTTTTCCTATCCTTACTCCTTTTATTTCTCTCTCTTGTCTAATTGCTCTGGCTAGTATTTCCAGCACTATATTGAATAGGAGTGGTGATAATGGATATCCTTGTCTTGTTCCTGATTTTAGGGTAAAGGCTTTCAGTTTTGGCCATTTAATATGATGCTGGCTGTTGGTTTGTCATAGATGGCTTTTATCGTATTGAGATAAAGACCATCTATTCCAATTTTCTGTAAGATTTTTATCATGAATAAGTGTTGGACCATATCAGAAGCTTTTTCTGCATCTATAGAAATGATCATGTGGTTCTTATTTTTGGCTCTATTGATATGGTGGATTACATTTATTGATTTATGTATGTTGAACCATCCTTGCATTCCTGGGATGAATCCCACTTGGTCATGGTGTATAATCTTCTTGATGATTTGCTGCATTCTGTTTGCCAAAATTTTATTGAGAAATTTTGCATCTGTGTTCATGAGGGAGATTGGCCTATAGTTCTTTTTCTTGGTTGGGTCTTTCTCAGGTTTTGGTACTAGAGTAATGTTTGCTACCAGAAATGAGTTAGGGAGAATTGTTTCCCTTTCAATTTCATTGAAGAGTTTGCGGGGTGTCAGCATTAAATCTTCTTTGAATTTCTTGTAGAATTCCACAGTGAATCCATCTGGATCTTGGCTTTTCCTTGTTGGTAAGGATTTACTTACATTTTCAGTTTCATTAATTGAAATTGGGTTATTCAGTAGATTTACATCTTCTTGACCCAGCTTTGGTAGTTCGTATGTTTTTAGGAATCTGTCCATTTCATCTATGTTATCAGGCCTGTGAGAGAAGAGGTTTTCAAAATAGGTGTTGATGAGCTTCTGTATTTTCACAGGGTCTGTAGTGATTTCACCTTTTTCATTCCTTATTGCATCAATTTGAGTTTTCTTTTAGCCTGAATTCTTCCAAAATATATAACCAAAGACCTTTTGTTTATAGATTCTTATATGTTCTGTACAATATCTGTTTTTAAGTTCAGGAAAGTTTTATTGAAATGTGAATAGAACCCCGGTACCGATAAAAATGAAAAAGACAAAAAAAAAAAAAAAAAAAGAAATGTGAATAGAAAATTGGAGCAAAAACAGTGTTTTAAATTTTCTTCTAAAATAATCACTTTAGAGAATGAAAAATCATTAAGAACAAAGGAAAAACATTATTAGTGGGAATATTACAAGAAGGTAACTTAAAAAAAATGTAAATGACCTAAGAAATAAAGATGACCATGTAGTTCAGGAAAATCCATAGGATAAGAGTATAAGCTATTCTTTAGCCAACTTAAACTAAATTTAATGCTCTTTAAAAATCTGTTTGTTTATTTTTTGGGTTTTTTGAGATTGAAGAAATGCTTGAAAATGCTGAACGAGAACGTTTGGGAAATTCTCGACAGCCAGAGAAGCCTCTTATACGACTGAGAGTAAGTCCTGCTTACATAAAATAAAAGGATTAATTTTCAAAGTATAGCAATGTACAGGTTATGTGGATTATTCAAAGAGTAGTAAGGCACTTGATTATAGTAATATGAGTATTACTATTGGAGATAAAACAATATATTTGTAAGGATTTGATTTAATTGCAGTTTAATTTTGGTATTCATGTTTCGGTCATTTTTTATAAGAGATTGGTTGAGGACTTTGATGTCATCTTTACTCTCCCTTCCTATTCCACAGGAGGCAGCTTCCCCTTCTTGTAGTTTCTTAAACATATCAGACACTTCTAGCTCTCTGAGGTCAGTTTGGATACTGGCTCACTGGGGACTTGTACTCAAGAAGGTTGCAGGCTGTGCTTATAAGTGAAATAAATCAAATGCTCATGGTTAAATGTCATATTGTCTCCCTAGTGTTAAAAAAAAAAAAGTAATAAGATCCACAATGCACAATAGATATTGTGAAAATGAAAGGAAAGAAATGCTCAAAAGGAAAGAACAACTGGGATCTGGAAAGGAGAAAAACAAGAAGGGAAAAGATTATATGTATATAGGTATGCATATATATGTGTGTATGTATATATATGCAAGATAACTGTACTACTGGCCTCTGTAAGTTCATCAAAAAGAACAGTTTGTGCTTTCATTGTTTGATTGATCATTTTTTCATGCCTAAATCTTGTAACTTGAACTACTTGTAAAATAACAGTGTGCATTATATTAACTAGTGTTCATTTCCTACCATGGGTTTTTTTTTTTTTAAATTCTGTATTGTTTCTATCTTTTTTTTTTTTTTTTTTTTAAAAAAAAGGTTGCAGGGCCAGTCCTTCCCCTTGATTCTGTGGGTGTTACTTACCTTCTCCTTTTTCTTTTTCATAATAAATTCTCCTAACTTACCATATGCAATTTACTTATTTAGGTTACCCACTTACTTTTACCATTGTGAAAAAAGTAGTAATAGCAAAAGGCTTATTTGATACTGTGCTTTTTTGCTTCTACTCTTACTCTGTCTTTCTCATTATCTGGGTTTAATTTTGGCCCTACCACTAATGGTGTAACCTCGAGCAATTTGTCCATTGGTTTGTATTTTGTACATTTTGAGATCCAGGTGAGCTAATGTCTGGGGCACAGGAAGTAATCCAGTCCCTTTCTCTCTCCTGCTGCCATTGCTGTAGCTGAGCAGCCCTTGTCACCTCCTGTACTGTAGCTAACTAGCTGACTGTGACTTTCTTTTAGGCTCTGTCCCCTGTTCCCCTCACCTCACTAGTGGCTTTTTCTCCACAGTAATGCCAGTGTTGTAAAACACCATCTTGGGGGTCTGTCCTGCTGAAAACAGCTCAGTGACTTACTGGCACTAACAGGAACAAATCAGAGCTTTTTAGGATGACACAGCCTCTATGGTACCTGGTCTTTTTCCTCCTAAGCACACCTGAACTCCAGTCATACTGTACTAAACTTCCTTGTCCCTATGCCAGGTGGAATTATTTCATTTGAACCCTTTCCATGCTGCCCCTGCAGTGTGCCATACACTTCCTTTTTCCTTTCTTTGTTTTCCTTTGGCATCCACTAAAACCCTTCCTCCCAAAGAAGCCCAAGGGCCTCTGCAGAGTTAGTGCTTCTACTCTGCACTTAATTTACTCAACCGCTGACTCTGTACTTGCAATTTTTTATTTATATTTTTCTTTGTCATCAGCTGGTGAATTGTTTGAAAATCTGTGTTGTGCATTATTTATGGTTATATCCCTGATCCTTAGCAGAGTGCCTAGAATATTGAAGATTCCCAATAGTTCGTTCATTGAGTGAGTTTTGTAACTCTTAGGGCAGAAATTACAAAATGCTGCTGTAGTTGGAGGCATTTTGGAAAGATCCCGTATGTATCTTTAGTATTTAGTACTTTCTCTTTTATAGCATGGCAGCTATGGAGATATTCAGGATGATACAAAGGTGGGTGTTTTGTTTGTTGGTTGGTTTTTGTCTTTTTGAGACAACTTCTTTGCTATATAGTTCCGCTGGCCGGGGGCTCACTTTGCAGCCCAGATTGGTCTCAAATTTGCAACAATTCTCCTGCCTCAGCTTCCTGAGTTCTGGGATTGCAGGAGTACACCACCACACCTGGCACAGGTGGGTGTTTTAGGGGAAACCACATGATCCTCTTCATTGGAACAAAGATCCCATGTTTTTGTTCTACATCTGCCTGATACTATTAGAATTGACCACACTTAGGTAACAATTTGGCATACCTTTTCTTCAACACAGTAAATTTTTAATTCATTTGTGAAACAAAAGAACAAATATATCATGTAAATAGCATTACAAAAATGCCTTGTAGTTGGGGATTTAGCTCAGCGGCATACATGGCTGCCTGACAAGTGCGAGGTCATGAGTTCCATCCTCTGTACAAAAAAAAAAAAATGCCTTGTAAAAACCAGAGGACCCTAATTAAGTCATTAATTCATTGAATAAATCTTACTGTGTACCTTCTGTACCTTACTGTGTACCTACTGTGTACCATCCAACAGATGTTGGATGCTATAATACAGATAAATCACTGAACTTCCTGAGCTCATAAGCAGAGGAATTAGGAGACATACAAAACAATTGTCAGATAGATAAATGGAATAGAGAGAAAGCTTAGCAATTAAAGAGTGTCGAGTCTGATGTCACATGTGGTAGAGTAGAGTCAAGGAAGGGATCTCCTGCACAGGCTGATACCATGTTGGTCTCAGAGCATGCTTTGAGATCCACTAATATAGGAAAATGATTGTCTGTCCTTGAAGGAAAGGTGGTATTTCTCTTTGGAAAAGTCTGCTTACCACTAGAGAAGAGCCTGCCTTGAATGAAATTGTTACTTCCAACCAGATACTGTGTTGCAAAGGTAATCTGACCGGGTTACCAGACTTGATTCTGTCCTCCCTATTTGCTCCTAGCATTTGTCCTTGTCTAACCGCAAGGCGTGGCCCTGGGACAATATGCCAGTGAGCCAGTTCCTCTGAGTCTGGGGTTGTATTTTGTTAGGTGTTGTCCTCTTGTTTTCAAAGTTTAGAAGTTTGTTTGGAAACCCCACATCTTTTTCAGATGGTATTCTTTGTAGGTACCTAGACTGTTATTATTGTCCTAAGACATGAAATCATTCTAATATTCTAAAAATTCTTGTTGTGACTTGATTCCTTTGAACAAAATATTTTGCTTAAGTTTATAAACTTCCCAACCATTATTTTCTCAGTAGGATAAATGATACAACATCATCATAATCCTTAAAATGTATGGTAGAAAATTAATTTATAAATTTAAAAGTATTGAACATAAACACTATAAATATCAAAGAATGAGTCTGTTGCCTAAAATTTGGCAGATTGTTCTTCCCTGCCCTTCATAGTTTATTGTGTATTTCCAGGTAGACTACAGTGGGGGCTTTGAACCTTTCAACATTCATCGTTTCAGCCAGAAATTCGTGGATCGGGTAGCTAATCCAAAAGACATTATCCATTTTTTCAGGCATAGAGAACTAAAGGAAAAGAAAGGTAAGCTAGTTCTTTTTACAAGTTAATGAATGCTTTTACATGGTATGTGTAAGTCGATCTTTGGTAAAAGAAATATTGAGTAACATCAGAAAACATTTTAGTATGCTGTAATATAGACAAGAAATGATAGTTGGGATATATTTGAGTGTTTTGTCTTCTAAAAATTCGGTAGTTTTTAAACTGGTGAAACATAGTTTAAGAAACAGTTTTTTTCTTTTTTTCTTTTTTTTTTTTTTGTCTTTTTCCTTTTTATCGGTACCAGGGGTTGAACTCACGACTGCCTGCTTACAAGGCAGGCACTTATGCCACTGAGCTAAATCCCCAGCCCAAGAGACAGTTTTTTAAAATAGTGCTGCTGACTAATAATAGATTACTGTATGTCATTAATATTCAGAGAATATACTTTTACATTTTGCATTATGAAGTATTTTAATTTGAGAGTGTACAATGGTTTAGAAAAGTTTTTGAAGTTTTCTGTAGTTTGATATTTCTGATGATCCAGATAGTTAATTTCTAATTAAAATTTTTATAAAAATGAATTATTCTTTTCTAACTGATAAAACAAGGTCATTGAATGAATTTTTTTCATAAAAAATATCAATTATGTTAAATATAGAGGCTCTTACTATTAGGCTATTAACTAAGAGAATTTTCATAGAAACATATAGCTCTTGTTTATAAGTAAGTCACCTGGTTTTATTAGCTGAGATATAATTATTGGTTTCTTGTGAATGGTTTTCTTTTATTGTGTACTCTTTTCAACTTTTTGAAACACGAGTGTACTATTCAGAAGAGAACTATGCAGAAGAGTCAGGAAGATCGTAAGTTCTAGGCCAGGCCAGTCTGGGCAACATAGTAAGACTCTCAAAAAAAAAAAAAAAGTATGAAGATTAGATCGTTGGTTCAGTGCTTCCCTAGCAGGCGTGGGACCCTGAATTCAATCCCTGGTACCAATAGAAAAAGAAAACTTCAGTATGTGTATTTCCTTCAGTTTTGTTGCTGGTAAATTTTCTTCTAGCAGTCCTTTTTCAGTTTCAGCTTACACTGCTCAGTGGAAACAGTTTTGTGTGTCTTATTAGACTGTTTTCTGCCTACTCTGTTGTTTTGGTCAACTTTGCCACTTAATTCCATGTTTAACACTGTGGACATTAATAACCTTTGCTGTTTAGCATTATCTATAAAATAATATTAACTGCTGGCCTCAGGATTATTGTGAGGCCTAGGTGGTGTACTTTGTGTTAATGTTCTTCACACAGTGCTGGGCAAATTAAAAATGTACTAATTTTTTTTTTTTTTTTGTCTTTTTCTTTTTTATCGGTACTGGGGATCGAACTCACGACTGCCTGCTTGCAAGGCAGGCACTTATGCTGCTGAGCTAAATCCCCAGCCCCTAAAATGTACTAATCTTATTTAGAAAGTATTAACTCCTGCTTGAAATTCGTATAAGACTTTTGTTCATTTGACAAAGACATTGAACTTTGTGCCTCTTTACCTTCTAGGCTGTTCTCCATACTTTTTCTGGTAGAAATGCTTTTTCCCTGTTTTGCTTAGTGAATCTTGTTCTTTCTTCAATTCTTGACTCAAATGACACTTATTTGATACCTCCGGATGATGTTCAGCCTTCTTGGAGAAGAATTGCTTTCTTTGTCTGTCATATCCTCTGTACTTACCACCTTGTATTATCATCATTTTTCTCATAGGGAGGGAGACAGGGAAGCTCTTTTTCTTTATCATTGTCCATTTTGTTTGTTTTTTTTTCAGACAGAATTCACTATGTAGTTCAGGCTGATCTTTAACTCACTAAGTTCAGGCTGACCTCAAACTTGCAGTGATTCTCCTGACTCAGCCTCCCAAGTGCTGGGATTATAGGAGTACACTACTATACTTAGCTTCATTATTGTATTTTGGTACAGATTCTCATACTTGCTGGACACTTAACATCCATTTACCACAGACGGGATTTCAGCAGAGCAAGTCCTACATCCAGTGTTTCCTGACTTCCTCTAGTGTGATATTCTTTTTGTTTCATCCTTCTGGTTTTTGGCAGGGAGGATCATCCTGTTTTAAGAGTACAGCAAAAGTGCTTTATATGTATTTCCTTTGTTTACAGAATGTGGAAAAGGTGGTGCTCGGGTTGCTGAGATCTAATTCAGTCATGCTGTCTATTGCTTCTTTGGGGACATTTTTAAGTAGCCTTTGACTGTTTTGAACTGTGACTGTATGGTGTTGACTTCTGTGAAGCTCAGTGCCATCACCCTGACTCAGTCCAAGGAACTGGCAGTTTTATTTCCAGTCACTTCCGTATCATTGGTGTGAACGTCCATACAGTAAAAAAGGCAAAATCATTTTAGTAGTATCATGGAAGTTGTTTTGACCTGGCATTGTACTAGTCAATGGTTTGCGAAGGAATAGATTTAATACAGGACACATAGTTTATGGGATTATTTTATGATATTCACCCAAAAAGTCAAATACATAGGAGTACAAGAGATCTTTCCACAAGCTAGAGACCTAAAGAATCCAGCCATGGTCCTGGATTCTGTCACAGTGTCTCCAACAATTCCAGCCGGAGACTAGAGCCTATGGCCATGTCTCATGCCAGTCTGCATCAAGGATCTGCACCAGAAAGGCCCAAAGCCATAGTGGAAGCTAGAAAGTCTGTACCAGTGGGGTGAAGGATCTGTGCTGGAATCAGGAAATGAGGCTCAAGGAAAAGGGCAAAATTCCCTGGAAGAGAACTGCACCCATACCCTGGCCATGGTGAGGATCTGAGCTGCTCCTCCAAGAACAGCAGAGTTGTATCAGGAAAGCCAACTGTGGCAAGCTTCAGTAGAATCAACAGCATGTGCTCTTCCCCTCCTGTTCACCTTCTGTGCCTTTCTGGCAGCAATCAGATGTATCTTCACACTCATAACCACACTGACTCAGTTCATCTGGGCATACCCATGCAAGCTGACCATTAATTAATCCATGATAGGCATAGGCCCTGAAAAGGTCCTAGGGACCCCCGAGAGACACCCTCCCTGGTGTGTGGGAAGGGCATACTGACAGTGGGAGAGAATGACTTGTAACAAAGGTGGCTTTTTTTTCCCCTGAAAGTAATGTGGAGGAAGCTGGGGTTGGCATACTGCTATTCTTCCTCTAGTGACAGCAAACTGGGTGAGGTTGGCTGATTTCACGTAAGAGAAGCTGGATTTTTGTTGTTGTTTAAAATGAATTTCTTTTTTCTAGGAGAAGAAATTAACTTTGGGAAGCTTTTCACAAAACCTTCAGAAGGAGCAACTCTCAGGGTAGAGGACCTTGTAAAACAATATTTTCAAACTGCAGAGAAGGTAATGTCTTACAGTTTATGTGTTACAGTTTATGTTTTGAATAATGGCTGTGTTTTAATAGCAGATTCTAACTCAGGGCATGAGTAATTGCTAACTGTCAATGTTTCTATGAAGTAAGTAGGGTGTTATTTAGTTATATTCATTTGTAGTTACTGTACATCAACAAAAATTAGGCTGGGAGTAGTGGCACTTGCCTGTAACCCTTGTACTTGGGAGGCTGAGGCAGGATTGCTGAGAATTTAGACAGCCTGGGCTACATAATTTCAAAATCCAGAATAATAATATTAATAATAATAATGCAGATTTAGTGCCCATTTAATGTTAATGTTTTATTATTAGCATGACTGTTATTGTTGTTACCCTCTTTTTAAAAATTTCTATTTAAAAGTTTTAATTTGATTATTTGAATATAAATTCAGAATTACAAATACAGCCACAAACTGTCGAGGGTCTGTGTCACTTTTAAGTTTCTGTGGTTGTGCTTATTTAAAACAACACAAATAGCTTGCAGTTTTCTAGGTTAGAAATCTGGCCCAGGTCTCACTGGACTGAAATGGAGTTATCAGCACAGCTATGTTCTTTTCTGGAAACTCTGAGGGAGAATCCATTTCCTTACCTTTTCCAGTCTGTAGTGGTGCCTACATTTCTTGGCTTTGGGTCCCCTTTTTCCATCTTCAAAGCCAACAGTGTTGTGTGTGTGCCCATTTTCCCACACCCATCTCCGCTGGCTCCCTCCTCCTGCCTTGCTATTTCCCTTTGCTGGATTTACCTGAAGTATCCCTGGTAATCCCACTATTTTATAGTCAGCTGATGAGAAGCCTTGAGGTCCCTTTGTAATTCCCCTTCATTATGTGACGTATTCACAGGTCCCAGAGGTTAAGACTTGGATGTCTTTAAGGGGAAAATATCTTGCCTACCAATATAATGGTTTAACCTGAACTCATTAATCAGGAGCAGCTGTTTCTAGGATGTCCCAGCCATTCAGGTCTTGCAACACCTGTTTTGATTCCCCTCCCTTTTCTTGATTCACCTTTGCTTTTTCGTTTTTTTGGTAAAAGGAGAAAAGGATTTATTCAGCAAAAGCTCCAAAGGAGATGGAGAGGCCTATTTGCCTCAAATCACCATCTTCCCCTATACGGGTGGACAAGGGCCTTTTATAGTAGAGTATAGGAGCTGTGGAGGGGGTAAAACAGAGATAATGCAGATCACATTTTTTTTTTTATCACTTCCAGCCATCTTCATTGCTGTGTCCCCTTTCTTATGGAAAGGTAACTGTGCTCCATCCAGGCCCCCTTGTGTCAGTGTCTGTATATTCTGTCACTTCTTGTGGGCTGAGGAAAGTGTAGGGATGGGAGAGAGTGTTGGTTCTGTGCACCAGGAGGACATTTGGAGAAGTTGCTTATCTCACTCCTCCTTAGCACTGTGGGCCTTTGGAAGTATAGAACTGCTTGTCTGGGATTCTTTGGGCAAGCCCTTTCCTTGCTCTGAGTAGCAGGGGTCTCATCACACTTGGATGTGGAATGGGCATGTAGCTTTTTGCAAGCTGGCCAGCTGACCAACACACTCCTCTTGTGTGTTGGTGCTGCCGGGCTTCCAGTATGCTAAGTCAGCTTATTTCCCAGCCCCAGACAACTGATTCTAATGCACATCCCAAGTGGCTGTGGGAGACCCTGGGCCTCTCTCTGCTGTCCTTCCAGGCTTCAATGCCCTCTGCACTTCCTTCCTAGGAGACGGTTTTAAACTTCAAAATGGAAACTTAATAGGAATGATATAGGGGAAGAAACTCCAACCTACTAGATGTCTAGTCCAAGTTCATGTTCTATAAAATCGAAGTATGAATTTCAGGAACAATGGAGGTTAAGAGCAAAATATACCTACTGAGAAAAAGAAAGCTGTTTGAGAGAGGGACATAAGGGCTCCCAAAGGGTCCAAAAAGGTTTCCCTAACTTTGTTTTTTCTGATCTTTAATTTTTAGCAGCAGGCTTAATTAGTGTGAGGCAATTTGGTTCCCTTGCCCCCTACAGAACTGGTTAACTTCTTTATGTTTCTCTCTGATAACTTCATTGCATAATTTTTCTTGCTCTTATCTAATTATTTTATAAGGAGTAGATACTATTTCTACCTCTAATGGTTTGCATCTCTTTTATAGAATGTTCAGCTCTCACTGCTAACAGAAAGAGGGATGGGTGAGGCAGTACAAGAATTTGTAGACAAAGAAGAGAAAGATGCCATTGAGGAATTAGTGAAATACCAGTTGGAAAAAACACAGAGATTTCTTAAAGAACGTCATATTGATGCCTTGGAAGATAAAATCGATGAAGAGGTGAGTGACTAATTTGGGTGTGTAAGTCTGTTTTGGACAGTCTGTTCTTGGGAATATCTCAACACCTCCCCATTGTTATTTAACTTCTGTGATTTGTTCAGTTTCTTCGTCTGAAAAAATTAGAATTAAATTAGAAAATAGCTAGAATGGAGTCTTATATATAGTTGTGAGGCACAGTACCCCACAGCCACAATTTAAAGCAGAAGGGTTTTACTTGGATCATGGTTTCAGAGAATTCAGTCCATGGATGACTGGCTCCAAGGCAAAAGCATCATAGTAAAAAGCTTGGTGGAGCAAAAATGCTTATCTTGGAAGTGGAACAGGGAAATAATGCCAGAGAGAAGGAGGCCAGGGACTGTATTTAATATCCAAGGTCACACCTCAGTGACGCATGCAGATGCCCCCAGAAGTGTGCTTTACTAATCTTAGCCTAGGAGTCTTCCAAACCAATGAATTTGACATAATTAGGCTTAATCAGCTCAATTACTGAATAAATATTGGGGTTTTATGTTTTGTTTTGTCTTTTTGAGATGGGGTTTAACTATGTAGTCCAGGCTGGCCTTGAACTTACAGTGCTCCTCTTTGTCTCAGCCTCCGGAGTGCTGGGATTTTAGGCATGCACCACCACACCTGGTTAAATGTTAGTTTTTTCCCCATAGAAACCATCTTCCTGTGTAATCCTGAGAGTGCTTTAAAATGAATTTTGTAAGATGAAAATTCTTGCACATTTCACTTTTCAGTCAATTTTGATTTGGCTTTTGAAATTTATCTAGAACATATATTCTCTCTAGCATGAAAGCAATACATAGATTACAGAGGAATTTGACCACAAAAAAGTTTAAATGTTTGCCTGTCAGATTATCAAAAAGCACAATTAAAAGATACTGATGTGGAAAAATATATATGAACACAAAAGGTTTAATATGCTTAATGTAGTATTAAAGATCTCTTATAAATTTTTAAAAACTGTTAAATATTTCAATAGAATAATGAGCAGAGGATATGAATAAGTGGTTCACAGAGGAAATGTAAATGGCTAATAAATATATGAATACTGCATAGCCAAGGATAATTGAACATTCAGATAGCTAATGATTTGGGAAAAATTGCAGTACATTGTCCCTAAGAGAATTATGTCTAATAGCTTTATTGAAAAGCAATTTGACAGAGGCTTAAGAAGATTTATTCTTAATTGCCCCTGGGAAATTTTCCTAAGAAAATAGTATAGAGGTTTGTGTATGGAGGCACAGTGTTACAGTGGGAAATAATTGGAAATGCTTTAACATTAAATGTTGACACGTATACTATATAGAATTCTTTATAGACATTAAAATTACATTTTTTTGAGAACCAGAAATCAAACTCGGGACTTTGCGCTTATCAGGCAGCCACCATGCCACTGAGCTTTATCTCTGGTCCCTAAAATTACATTTTTGAAGAACATGAAAAAATATTTCTAGTTAAATGTGAAGTGGGAAAACAATTCTAAAGGCATATGATACCACTTACTTTTTGTATGCCTGAGTTTGTGCACATAAATAATGCTAGAGTGTAAACACACTATCAACAGTTGTGTTTAAGTATAAGGGATCACTTTCTGTATTTTCCAAGCAAAAACAAAATAATACTACCTTAAAAATGCATTGCCTTGGCTTTCATTTTAGTGCACTTGTTTAACATGGTTCTTTTAAAGCTTTCTGGTATTAATTAAGTGGTATTCAATGCCAAGTCAAGACAGATGATCCACACTCCACAATTTGCTCTGTGACTCTGGAGATGTGGGGTTTGTTAATTTTTATTACAGTGCATTTCTCAATTAAGTACCAGAAATAAAACATAACCACCCCTACCTGTAGTGACACTGCCTCCTGAACTGTTAGTATGTGTGCGTGTGTGTGCGCGCCCACGTTTGCATGTATGTAGGTAGCGTGGCAGCTGAGAGTATGTGCTCTGGACCAGATCACTTGTATTCAAAATCAAAATCTTTGTTATGTATTCATCAGTGCATTCTCTTACCTCTCTCTACCTCAGTTTTCTCATCTGTAAAATGGAGACAACAGAACATCCTTCAGTGGTGTTGCAAAGATTAAAAGAATTGGTCCATGGAAAGTCCATACACTACTGCCTGACACACAGTACCTTCTCAGTGCCTTGTTTCTTGTGTGTGAATGGCAGCACTTTTGGTTTGCTTTATACCGCCTGGAACACTGTGACATGCTATGTCATCTTTTCAAAATTTTATTTCTGTGTGTCACTTCCTTCATCATAGCAAGCACTGATAATTCCATTCAAAAAGCAAATACAGCTCTACATTTCCCTGTAGCTATGGCTGTTTATCCTTTGTATATAGCAGAATTGCTCCAGCATTTCCAGTATTTGCTCCTGTTTTTCATAATTCGTCTCCTGTTTTTCTCTTGAGCCTGTCCATGCGGGCTTTTGGCTCTGTCCTTCCAGTGAAGCTGCTCTCATCAAGATTAACAGTCACGTCTATTGCTGTCCACCGTCAGTCTCAAGACATTGTTTTCATTGGCATCTCAGCCTCCACTCTTAGGCTCTTTCCTGCCTTATTGGTGCTATAGTCTTACTCTATTCTTCCTTCCTTCCTTCATCTCTGCAACCTGTTAAACTGGAGTGCCCCAGACTCCATCTTTGGACATCTCCTTCATCTAGGCAGCGCTTCTTGTAATCTCATCCAGTTTCCTGTGTGGGCAGCCTCTCCTCTCAGCTGCAGGCTTCCTTTGCTAACAGCCTGCTAGGCATATTTAATAGACATCTCAAACAGTTCCAGGTTGCATGACTGAGGCTCACACTCTGCCTTCGGGCCTGCTCTGCCCCTATTGAACTAACTTTTTTTCCATTGCTCTAACCAGAAACCTTGAATTCATCCTTGCCTTCTGTTATTCTGTGCCTGGTCCTGACTGTCTAGTGTCTTTCGGGCTCCTCTATTAGTGTGTATAGTATCTGGCTGCCGCTTAACACCTTCATCTCTGCTCCAAGGCATGTTTATTTCTCATCTGGGTTTTTTCAGTAGCCTCCAAATGAATCTCCCTGCTCTTGTCCTTCTACCTGTCCTCTGTCCAGTGTAGTCTTCAGTTCAGCTGTCCAGTGATCCCGGCATTTCAGATCCATTCACTCTTGCCTTTCAGTGCTCCATACTGATATCCTTTCCAGCTTTTTCTTGTTTCTTTGCCTTCATGTCTGCTCCAGCCCCACTGACCTTGGTGGTTTTTTAAACGTACCAGTCATGCTTTTCCCCAGTGCTTTTGCACATATTTTTTTCCTGTGTGTAAATTATTTTTCCTGTGTACTTGTCTGGTTCATTTTCCACTTCTTAAAATCTTTACTTTTATATAAACTCAGTGAGGCTTATTTTGGTAATCCTATTAAGCTGTAACTTCTCCCTAACAGTTCTTATCCCTTTTCCCACTTTACTTTTCTCTGAGCACTTACCTTTTGCAAAGATTAGATATTTGAAAGGACTCATACGATTCCTGGAAACACAGTCACTTAAGGATTTTATTTTAAGGAAGATGGTAGAAAAGCACAGCAAGAAGACTATCGGCTGGTATTGAGATCTGTGGGACATCTAGTCATGAGCTTCCTAAGCCTACAACTTTAGGCATTGGCTAGCTTCCCTCCTGGATTCTCACTAGATTGTAAGCTTTACAAGGTCAGTTTTTGACTACTTTTGTATTCCCATTTCTGATAGTAGCACCTTGTACGTAGTAGTTGCTGGTAGAATATTAAACAAATTACATAAATAACTATGACTACATTGTCAGAGCCCTGTGAGCAGAAAACATTAAAAGAGAAGTCTGTAGTGTTCTTCTTGGTTCCAGAGCCGTGGTTAGTCCATGTTCAGTAGTTAACTTGATAAAAGTAGATCTTTAGAGGCTCACTCACTGCAGATACCATTGTAGAGAGCCTCGTGGGTATGTTGCAACCAAGTATATGAGAGTGATTTGAGCAATATAATAAATATTTGCAACCTTACAGAGGAGAGATACTTACTTTTAACTATTTTACTGAAGTACAGTGCCCATAGGATATTAGGATTGTTTTTCCTTTGCAGTCTGACAAACTATTTTTCAGTGGCATAGAACATTTTGGCAGCAGGTAATGTAATTTTGCTTAGAGCCAATATTTTTTTACAACACATTTCTGATATTTTAATATAACTGGGAAAAACATAATTTCTTTAGTGATTTTTTTATGAGATGAACTATAGTTAAATTTCCAAGTTTCATGTTGTGCCAACAAGCATTTCTTAATCATAGTACACTATTTTGTATTTATGTAACTGGGATGAGTAACATTTGCACTTTGTTATGATTTAGGTACGCCGTTTCAGAGAAAGCAGACAAAAAAATATCAATGAAGAAGATGATGAAGTTCGAGAGGTAATTTTTCTGCTGTAAATTCCTGTGCTCATAGGGATAGTTAAATTAGAATAACTAGCGTTTTATGTAGGAGTCAGTCCACAGTTCTGAATAGGAGCAAGCAGGGATTGGCTGAGGAAAACTGCCTTTGATTTAAAGCAGTTGAGCCTATAGGTATTCTTGTCATTGTATTTTGATTTTGCTCTCGTCTAAAGCATTTGTTAGGAGGGGTTATTTACAAAAATAGCCCTTTTTAATTAAAAGATGGTTTGGTTATAAGTATTACAATAAATGAGTAGAGTTTCCAGGCTCATTCTAAAATGTTGAAATTAACTTGGACACTGTCATCACTTGTCTCTGCGTGTTAAGAGCAAGTTAGGAAGCATTTACTTAAGTTTTGGGCCTCTATCTTGGTTGAAATATTCTTTCTTGTTTTCTGGTGGTCTTTAATGTTTTATGATTGCTATCTAGTATTTAGCATTTGTTACATAAATTATTTACTCTTGGGTTTTTGTCTTGATTATTTTCAGTCAGAAGGTATTTTTATAACTGTAGATTGACATTCTGCTTTTAGTTAGAAACATGAATATGAACGAGCTATGATCCACAAGATATTCTCAGTTTTTTAAGTGAAAAACATGTGTCTAAAGAAATTATTTATTGATTTCTTTTTGATCCTGGGGATTATAGGCAAGTGCCATAACTCCCAGCCAAGCTGTTTATAGACTTGTTTTTGGAACTTAAGGGGAAGAAACAAATACAGGGGTCCCTACCATATTTATTACATTTGTATTCATCTTATAAGGTGCACTTAAAACAGAAAAGTTTGCCAAATGGCAAAAATGTGTGCTAGAAATGGGTCCTAGTTTTTGAATCATCTGGCTTAATCTTGGTTAACTTTATTAATTTTACAGATTGCAGAAATTTCTCTGTGGTGGATCCTTTGAATTTGAAGCCACAGACTTCCAGTTTTTTATTAATCTTTTAAAAGGATAAGAGTAGGGGCTGAAGGTATAACTTAGTGGTAGAGCTCTTATGTGGGGCTGTGGGTTCAATTTCCAGCACTAGCAATAAAAAGTTAATATTTTATATAAAGAAAGTAGGAAAATATATGACATTTCATATGAGTCTTTCAGAGCAAAGAATGATGAATTTAGATTTCTAGCTGGAAGACTTTTGTAGGTAATAAGGGATTCCTAGATATCAATCCATCCTGTGTTTCTGTGATAAAGTGCCTGAGACTAGGTAATTTATGAAGAATAGGCATTAATTTAGCTCACACTACTGGTAGCTGGAAAGTCAAACAGCATCTGAGGAACATTTCTGTTGAGAATCTTTCCTGCTGGGTCATGATGTGGTGGGGAGGGTGTCATGTGGTAATGCTTTGCAAGAGAGAGCTTGTTTATATAAAAAGCCCACTGCTTCATAACCCATCAGTTCATGAGGGCAGAAGTGTCATGACCCCATCACCTTCAGAAGATCTCACCTCTTGATGTCATTAACTTGACCTAAGGGGTAAGTTTCCAACACAAAAGGTGGGGGACACATTCATTTTTCAGTGTGATGTAGAATGTTAAAATTTTATTGAACTTAGCCAATCAACACCTGGAGAGATGAATTCAACATCACTGATTGGTAGAGAAATGCAAATTGAAACCATAGTGAGGTACCACTTCACAACCAGTAGGATGACTGTTAAACACACAGAAAATAACAAATATGGGGAAATTATGAAATAGCTGAAATCCATGTACATTGCTGATAGGATGAAAAATAGTGTAGCTAATTTTGTAAAACAGTGTGGTGGTTCCTATGAAAATTGAGCATAGAATTACCATATAATATAGCAGTTCCCCACCAAGGATATAACCAAAAGAACTGAAAGCAAGGATTTCCAATAGATATTATACACCAGTGTTCACAGCCACATGATTCTTAATAACTGAAAGTTAGAAACAATCTGAATGTCTGAACCAATGACTGGATTAACAAAATGTGGTATCTGCTTTCAAGAGAATATTAGTACGTCATTAAAAAGAACTGAACTCTTAATACATGCTGCAACATAGACGAAACTTCAAAACATTATGTTGAGTGAAAGAAACTTGTATGCAAACAGTCAAATATTATATGATTTCTTCTACTTACATGAGGTACTTAAATTCAGACAGAAAGAGTAGTGGTTACCTGGGCCTGGGGGAGTGGGCAGTGGAAAGTTATTGTTGAATGAGTATAGGGTTTAAGTTTGAGATAATGAAAACATGCTAGAGTTCAGTAAACTCCAAAATCTGTTTCATAGAAAAGATAGAATTAAAATGTTATTTGAATGTAATGGTTGAAATAAAAATAAAGATGTTAAATTTGAAAATAATTCACTCCAAGAATTAAGCATAATAGGACCTATGAATTTTAAATTTTATCAGATTCTGTCTTGTTACTTCAAAGACATCATACCAATTTATTTTGTAACTAATATTTGTGACCATTTCCCCATATTTCTTGCTTTCATAAATATTACTACATCTTTTGATCTTTAGAAATCCAGGGGAGATTATTTCTCATTGCTGCCGTTAATTCATACTTCCTTCATAAACTAATTAATCTGAACAGTTTGTATATTTATGCTATTTATGTGAAACGTATTCATTTCTTCAATAGTGGGTGTGTTGGATACTTCTCTCTCATTGCTGAGACAAAACATCTGACACTCAAAATGAAGGAAGGAAGGATTTATGTAGCTTACAGTTTTCAGAGATTTTAGTTCATCTCAGCTGGCTCCAGGTAGAGTGGCAGAGGCAACCTTTCATTGTTGCTGCAAGCAACAAGAGCAAACTAGGGCAAAAAGGGAAATCACACCTCTTTCCCTCCCTTACATTGTGTGCTGTTACCTGCCCCTGGGTGGGTGCCGCACTCACACTGCCAATCCCAGCACTAGACAGTGAACCCGTCACAAATGCTAGATTCAGCTGCCTTCAAAGCAGCCACCCCCCATCACCACATGAGACTTCGGGAGGATATCCAAACAAACCATAACAGACCGTGATCTTCACCTAATTGATTTGTAGAAACATCCACTTAAAAACACTTGTGTTGTCTCTTTCTCATTGCACACATATACACATACTACTGTAACATGTTTAGGGTTTTTGCCATATAAAAAAGGCATCCACCTGTTCCTGAAGTTCATTTGTTTAAATAAGGAATGGCTGAAAAGTTCAGTGCCTTTTTTGGCATCTAAGCAGATAAATGTGGATTTTTCTCCCTTTATTAATATAATGAATTACAATCTGTATCCAATTATTGGCCCATCCTGTCACTTTGTAAACTCCCTGGAAGTGGTATATTCCTCTTACTCATCTTTCCGTATGCTCCTGTATACTCTTTGTTGCTATCATATTGGTAGGACACTAATTTTCTTTTGGTGCATGCAGTCTTTGTCAGTATCGTGTCATGCTAACTTTGTAAGAAGCATTTGGAAGCTTTCCTTCTTTGTACAGTGCAGTTGTAAAATAGTAGTGAATGATCTGTTCTTTGAAAATGTAACATTTACCTGCAAACTCTCTTTCTGGGAGGTGTCATTCTTTTAACAATTTCCTCAATTTTTTCATTTATTATTAGCTATTGATGTTATCTTTATATCCTTGGATCCATTTAAGTTGTTTGTTTTTCAGGTTACCTAGATTGTATTACAAGTCTATTTTTTCTGACTTCTTGAATACTGAATTAATTACGTCACTCTTCCTCACTTGCACTTCACTCCCACATCTGCCTGACCTCCCCGTTCCCATCTCCTCACTTAGCTCTACCTGTCCTCTCTTTATGGTATCACAGACTTTAGCTCTGGTCATCTATGCTAAGACCTAAAACTTGCCTTTCCTAGCAAGAAAGGTCAGTGTATGGTATCTTGGAATGTATGTGTACATGAATGTGAGACCTCTAACCTTCCTAAAACTCTTTTTAGTTTTCCCTCTAAGCTAGGTCAAATATTCATTACATTCATTTACTGTTCTCCATAGATTGCATGTTTGGGGCTTGGAACTATAGCTGCTTCCAGTTGTATTTGACTGTGTCCAGTTAAAAATGTATTTTAAGTGTTTTTATTATCTTTGTTACATTTAGATTGTTTTAAGGAATCAGCAGAATTGCTTTTATTCTACTTTTAATAAGTTAGAGTATTTGATTGTCTCAAACTTCCTTCTTTTAGATTTTCTTAGTCAAATTAAAAAGCTGTATTTCTTAGTTCTAAGAGTTACTATTTCTCAGGGCTTTTGTTCTTTTTATATAAGTGTATATATTTAAAAGATGATTCATTTTTTTCTAATTATGTAAAAGAATTTCTGAAAGGCACACTGTATAAAATTTATAATATTCAAGACTAATAAAGGAAACAAAAGCACCTTAAAATTTCACCACCCAGAGGTAAATAGCTGTTGTTTCTAAGTTTTCCTTGTTTATTAAGAGCCCAATCTAAAAAGTAGCTCAAATAATGAGCGTCTTACAAACTAAGGATTGAACTAAGGATGATTGTCAATTTTTCCACCAGATCCATGATTTTTTGATTCTGTCAAATTCAGTTTTGTTCATAAACCTGCTTAAAATATGTTGTTTTACAGGTAATGTAAATTGATCTGACTTGTAATAAGTCTGGATCTGATTAGTAGGGTAGTTCTTTATATTTTTATGGCATGATTAGTGAGCAGTAAGGATGCAGATGGTCAGACAGTGTTAAATGTTCATCTAAATGGCTAAGCTAACTCTTGTTAGGGAGCTGAATTGTCCACTGATGAGTACTTTACCTCCACCTCTATGTGCAGGCTATGACCAGAGCCCGAGCACTCAGAGCCCAGTCGGAGGACTCTGCTTCTGCCTTCAGTGCTGATGACCTCATGGGCATGGATCTTGCTGAACAAATGGCAGATGACTCTGATGACAGCATCTCGGCAGGACCCAGCAGAGGGAGAGGCCGAGGCCGAGGCCGAGGTCGAGGGCAAAGAGGAGGCCGAGGACAAAGCTCCGTCTCCCGAGGAGGGTCTCAGAGAGGCAGAGGTCAGCGCTGTGTACTGTCTTTGGCATACTTTCCACCCGAAAGTTAGGTTGAAAATAAAGGATTGTGTCTTGTAATCAAAACTGAGCTATGAATTTTGGTTTCTAAAACACAGTTTTTTAAAATTTTATTTTTATACTGCACAAAGTCTTTAATATAATTCTAACATGGGCCTTTAACTCAAATGAATTTTCAGTGGCCACTTGCAACATGGAGTTTTAATTGTTCCTAACCTGTGTTTTTTAAATATTTCATTATGTTTCTCTTATCCTACCTTTTGGGTTCTTTTATTGTCACATTTTCATAAGTGTGAAGTAATAATAGATACATATGAATTGTTAAAGAAAATATCTAACATCTTCTCCAGTTTATAAAAATGACTTGTTACTGTTATAAGGTAAAATATATGCTTATAAAATGGTCTTCATGAGTTTATTTAAAAAAGAAAACTCAAAACAATTTCTCTTCTAAAGGCAGTCATTAGCGTTAGTCGTCATCACTGTATTTAATTTGATGAACAATAGAAAATGATCTTAGAGTCGCTTCCTGATATACATTATAAATTTTTATTTGTTTTCATTGAATAATTATCCTTATGAGTTTTAAGCTGATAAAATGAATAGTGTTTTAGTTTAAAGTCTCCAGGAGAAGAAATTTCCATTTTCTAATGATGATTATTTTTGTTATCCTTATGTTCACAAGATTTTTTCTTAAATTTTAATTAGACAAATATGAACCAGATGTAGCCTGAAAAAAAGAGTATAAAAATTGACCAAACTGGGTGTTCTTATTATAATGCCTGTTGCAGACTGTTTTGACTTAATTTTGTCTAGCTCCCGTTTAGGTTCAATGTTAAAAAACAAAAACAAAAAATCCCAGGCTCCTGGTGGGATTGTATAGTAACTGCTTATTATCCTACTAGCAGGCACTGATGTGAATACTTCTACTCGAAGCAGGAGCTCAAGGACCACTGGGTCAACATGCAGAAATATGTCTATCTTAGATGGTGAGTACAAACTGCAAATGACTGCTTGGCTGTTACTTGTAAATTCTGATGTAGGACGACTGAAGAAATTCATTTGTGCCCCACATTGATTTGTGGTCTTAACAGTTAAGCTCAGGGGATACATTATAAGATTTGTGTCATGATCAGAACTGTTCAAGAGTTAGTAAGTTTTAATGGTTTTTTTATTTTTTGAGACAAATATAGTTACTTTTACCTATGACACAGGGTTAATGACTGTATAGAAAAATGAAGCAGTGAGATCAAATGGGGTGGGTGGGAAATGCCCAAAACACTGATTTTAGATAATTACCTGATAGGATAAATTCGGAAGATTTCAGAAGTTTGCGTATATCCTCATTTTGTGAATAAGGGAACTGAGCTAAGCTAGTTTGTCCTGCTTGATAAAACCACTGATAGTATCAATAGTAGCTAATTTTTATGAAATATCTCTACAAAGCTCTGTGCAGTAGGTATTTATGTTATCTCTGTTTTACAGAATTGGGAATTGAGGGATTTAAAAAATGGGAAACTCACCCAAGGTCTCATAACTAGTCAGTACTAGAATTTGGATTGATCCTGTATTTCCTGGACTCCAGAACCAGTTGTTGACCATGGTATTATGAAGTATGGTCTAAAAATACATGTATGTTTAAATTTAAAACAATGTTATAATAAAAGACATTGTCATTAGTCCACATCCACTTTCAGTGCACATTCTGTTGTTCTTACACTTTCTGGAGCAGTTCTGAAAGTCCTCTTCAGTATCTTTATTTGTGCCCTTGTAGCTGCCTGGATGTCCAGATTTGATTGAAAATGCTTACCTTTCATGGTGATTTTGATTTTGGGGAAGAGCCAGAGGTCAGATGGTGCCAGCTTTATTGAGTAAGGTTGGTGGGGACACACCATAATGTTTTCATGAGCCTGCCTTTCCGCTATATGATACTTGGTAGCAACACTCACTGTATTTGGTTGTACATCATAAAGGCACTCAGAAAGAGGACTTCTAGAACTGCTTTAGAAAGTGACAAGAATGGTGGAATAGGGGTGTATGAATGTATGGGGGGGCATATTTTGAGGGGATTAATGGTAGTGTGCCTTTCACTGTGATAAATTTATTTTAAAAATTTTAAACATTCACCATATATTTTGATCATCCCTCATAGTTTCCAGAGCAGGATAAGATTAGAAACCTACTTGCTTGTTTGTAGTAGAGGAATCTGTTACACAGAGTTGTCTAATTAGTATAAAAATGTAATAATAAGCTGCCTTAGAAGGAAGTGTTGTCAGTCCCTTAAAGGAAATGTTTGACCTTTCTTGAGTGACACCTGACATTAGAGAAAGGACACAAACATCAGATTGCTTAAGGCTCAAAAAGTACCTTCTTGCCAGAAATTCTATTGCTATCTTTATATTCAAATATTATTCAGCACTTCAGAAAATCCCCTAAGATCCTTAGCTTTTGACTTCAGAAACTTGTCTTTATTACATTTTAGAGAGGAGCTTTTTTTTTAAAGATAGTTAAATCCAACAAAACAAAACAGAACAAAGCCAGTCAACACAGAGCAGCAAAATTTGTACAGAACTTCAAAGCAGGATACTAGGAAAATAATAGCTGCCATAGTATATCTTGTTATCTTCACAATAGCTGTCTATTCCATCAGGTATAGCAAAATCAAACCAGAACCAAAACAGAATAAAACCAATCAAAGCAAAGTGTTGAATAAAGCAAAACAACCAGAACAAAGCAAAACAGAACAACATTGGATTTCAAAGACAAGATAGAAGGAAATCCCCCATATTTGCTATATTGCATACTGTCATCCTCCCTAGAGATACTCAGACTGCTGGCCCCAGGCCTGCAGAATCAACCAAACAATACAAGCATGTAGTTGCTTTATGTACCTTGGTTGCTATCAACTCAGCCTGTCCTCTTAAGTCTCTGGTTGCTTACAGTGGCAGGAGTGGAGGGGTGATGGACACCGGACGATGGGACAGTGTTTGATTCTCGGTCTGTGGGCTCCTGGGCTCACAGGAAATGCTGCCTCACGTGGCTTTTTTTCTTCCTAGAACTTGTACAGCTTCCCAGAAAGGCTGGCTGCATTGGCTTCTTGTTGGGTCCTCCAGTCCCAGTGTGGCTGATTCTTGGGAGGCACTGACTTTTCTGTTTTAGAGAGGAACATTTTTAAAAAGATTCCATTCAGACAAGTGGAGCATAAAGCAAAGAAGGGTAGAAACAGACAAAAAAGGCAGCATGGTGTGTTGTAGAAGACCCAGGCTGAGTTCAACAAGGAAAAACCTTTACAGTTTTGGACAAGTCATTACTGTCCTAAGTTACTTCACATGTAAATTGGAAATGGTAATACATTCCATACTTTGATTCTGACATGATAAATGGAACAAAAAGCCTGGCAAATGTTGTAGTAGGAATTTATGAAATGTGCTATAAAAAATGAGAAAAAGAGTAACATAGTAAGTGAATAAAATATATGGTAATTCCATGTTAACCACTAAAAGTTGTTTGGTCTGCAAGTATTAGGGTTATAGGTTGTAATTAATTGTGTTTACCTTAGCTCAACATACATGCCTTTCCTCTTCCTGGTTTATTTTCTGTGACATATTCCTTGACACCAAATGGTAGAATTAATCACTTAAAATGAACCTTCTTTTCTCATTGTTGTTTAGACATCAGCTATTAGTTAAGCTGGCAACTTTTCTTAAGTAATCTTATTTCCCCTCAGTTTGCTGTCTTTGGTGGTTTGTGGTTTTGCTAACATAAATCTACATATGGAATTCTTTTTTTAAACCTTCTTAGCATTTATTTGGCTTCATAAATCAGTGTGTTTTTTGTTATTTATATAATAGTCTTCATTGTTATCCTTTCAGATATTATCTCCCCTTTACTATTTTACCGTCCCTCTGGGTCTTTGGTTAAATTAATATGCTGTCTTTTTATTTTATTTTCCCAGGACTTAATTTCTCTCATACCTTGTTTTCTTTTCCTGTGGTATATTCTGAATAATTATACCTAATCAGTATTCATCTATTCTAAAAACTATCCTTTGAATTTTGAATGTCTTCTTTTTTGTAGGAACGGTTTGAGAGAGGGTCTTGCTATGTATCCCAGCCTGGCCTCAAGCTCTTTGTAATCCTCCTTCCTTATCCTTCCAAGTGTTGGGGTTACAGGCATATGTAACCACTTCTAGCAGTCTTTTATTTCTAATAGTTTTCAGAAGTTCTCTGGTGATGGTTTTAGCCCATGTCTAATTTTTTGTATGTGCATACTTGTTTCATGTTTTGTGCCTAATAAATAACCTAATGTCAGGATGTCTTTGTCCTCTTTCCTCCTTGTTTCTGATTTTTGGTTCTATCGGTTTTCATTCGCCATGACTTATTTTCTTGCATGCTTTGCTATTTGTTTTTTTTTAGAAACTTAAAGGAATCATCTTGAGGTATTGAGTGAAGCCGAATTCAAGGCTTCTAGGGCACTTCAAGTCTTAAATCACTTTAAACTATAGATGTAGTATAATCAGAAGGTCCAGTAGCATGTGTTTGTGAAATCTTGTCGCTGTGTCTCTCTTAAACAGTGAGGGTCTCCACTATAGTAGGGAAGAAATGGATGGCACTTCAACCTTGGGCAGGCAGCTCTCTCCCTTCTCCTCTAAGCTTCTCACAGCCAGTGTTAACATTGTCCCTGAGTGATAGGTGTCTTTAGGGGAAGGGAATGCTTGCTTTTCTGGTTCTTAACTTTTCTTCAGCTTTGGTCCAATAATTCCTTATGATGAGATCAGCTCTTCAAATGCTATTGGAAAATTTTTTTTCTTACTATTTGGGTTATTTTCAGCAGAAGGGTTTATCTGAGTCACTTAGCCTCAATGAACAGTTCATTGAATCTTATTTTTTTTTATCTTATCCTTGTTTATAAACTGAAACTCATGTGTGGCTGTGTCCTTTTGTGTGGAGGACTCTGCATTATAGGGGTTTAGAAAATAATTTTAGTTTTCTGGAATCAGTTCTTTCAGAGCCACTATGCAGTGACGCATTCAGAAGCCTCCTTTAATGACTACTGCTATTAACCTATTGATGGTGTGGAATAAAATTGCCTTTTGTGTAGAAATACAAGCACCAATATTTCAATATTCCAGTTACTGTGCTTTATAAGTTAGCCTGACTAAAATTTTTCAGTAATAATATTCATCAGTAATAATATTCATCAGTAATAATATTCATCTGCAGAAGGGACTATCTCAGTAAACCAAATTAATATGATGATTCAGTTTTAGTGAATTGGAGTCTAGCCTACTGTATGGCCATTTCTTTGTCCTTTCCATTGGCTTTAAGCAGTGTAAATTGGGCTGGCTGAGGAACTGATGTCGCTGTTTTCTCACCCAGTGACTTCTGAAAAACATAATTATGCCAGGCAGGATGGAGCGCCTCAAGATGAGAGCCTATGACTTCCTAAGGCAGAAAAGATTGTACATCAGAGCTGAAGCACTGACCCCAAAATATTAGATACTACCTCAGTTGTTACACAGATTATTCTCTCTGCATTTCTTTCCCCCTGCATATTGCAGAGGCGATCTCAGGCCTCCTACCTAGCCTCATTCACAGAACTCACATATTTCCTGCCATTTTCACAGTCACTCATCCTCATGGCAGATTAATAAAACCTGTGTTGGGTCTGGGTCAAGGCCTTTGTTCCCGTGAACCACCATCTTGGCTGGATTTAGGACCCCTTGGCTCCCCACAACTGTATATATGTCTTAGTGTCTTTATTTTTTCCTTGGCTGCAATGGAAGTAGTAGATGAGAATTAACTTGCTAGAATTCCAGTAACTTCCCCATGGGATTGCAAATATAAACTTTCCAGACCAAGACAAGATCTGGGAAAGGCCCTCTATACCCTAAAGCCTTATTGTGGTGCGCTGTGCAGCATAACATTGGGATTAAGAACTGGCTCTAGAGTCAGGCTGGGTTCATTGCAGTCTGGTGCCCTCACATGCTAAGTGCTGTGAGAACGGGGACTGAATTATTCTTGTTCATCATTGTGTCCCCTGTGCCTGGCATAGTGCCAGTAAAGCTCATTAAATCCCTGGGAATGACTGGATGAAAATCATTTAGAGATTGCATAGCATAAAGGTTTAAGAGAGTGGTTGTAAAGTTAAGACCTTGCTTTGAATCCTAACTCCTCACTTTAAACTTTCTGTCTTCTATAACTTTCAGTGTTATCACCTGTGAAATGATGCAATGGTTTCTTCTGCCTCCTTGAGTTGTGTGGAGGATTGTTAAGAAAATGCATGAGAGTTACCTAGTACAGAATCAATAATGTTAGGCTTTCAGTAAGAATAAAGTGTGGTTATTCATGAAGCCTTAGATCTGTTAATATAAAATTAACAATATAGTACTAGTTCAAAACATTTATTTTAAATAAACTTAAGTATATACAATACTCTGAATAGCACCTATGGAAGCTCAGTAGAAGCTAGTATAAGCTACTTTTGTATTAGTGGAGATTTTACAATAAATTTGTGAAGGTAAATAGGATATAGTTGTTTGTTTGGTGATGCTGGAGATGAACCCATGACCTCACAGGTGCTTGGCAAGCACTACCTGAAAAGCTATATCCCATGCCCAAGATGAATGTTCCATTTTGTTAGGAGTGACCTGACAGTGACCTGAGAGAGACATTAAACTGCCTGGTACAAACTATGAACTCGGCATTAGAAGCAAGGGTGATAAAAACTTTAATGTGAGGCTAAGGCCACCCTGTAGTCCTCTGACCCCGGCTCTGTGTACCCACTTGTGCTCATTGCCCCTCCCACCTTCAACTCAAACTTTTTATCCAGATATTTTGAGATTCCTTAAAATTGTACCCTGAACCTTAAAGCCTACGTATACACAGTGTCCCCCTTAGATATTTGCTGGTACTTCTTCCAGTATCAGCCTGCCTTTGCTTTGGATATAGGAATAAAATCTGATATTCCCCACAGCTTCAGGATCTGGATGGTTCCTCCCATGCTGTTGTTACACCCATGTCATTGGTCTAAATTTGTCTTCATCTAACTGATTTGATCTAAGGGTTTTTGCTGATTTAATCGGTTACTTCCAACATGGGCCTTTAAAAAACTACTTTTTGATATGAACACATGAGACTTTTTTTCCAAGTTAAGATTTGGTGCTTTTGAAGTCTAACATAATAATCAAGGAGTACTAATTGTATTTGTCATATTGGGACTGTAAGGCTGTAACTTCTAGATACTCACTTTAGGAAGAGTGAAGAGATAAATAAAGGCAAAATTGTAACAGCCTCCATGGATTACGGAGATTTATTGTCCTACTAAAATTTTGTTGACAAAGATGGAAATTACCCTTTTATCCAACAGCGGTTGTAAATAAGAGTTGACAACCCAGATTTTCCCATTGAAGTTCGTGTGCAACAAATAAAAGACATCTCTGTGCCCCTTGCCTTTACGTGTAATTTACCACCAAGAGTTCCACTGCTGCTGCTGTGTTTCCTGCCACTAACAGCCGCCTGTGTGTGAATGCCTGTTGCCTGGTGGGCACCGGCCAGAGCAGTTTCCTTTAAGTACCTCCTTTGCCATTCCACAATTGTCTGCCTAAAGTACTAATGCTATTTAGGTTGGTGAGGGAAGGTTTAAAGAAAGGTTTAAGGTTTAGGGTTTAAAGAAACCGAGGAATTTGACTGTAGTTACCCAAATGGAAGGAAATCAAAATGAGTAACTTCAAAGCCAGACTTTAGCCATCACAATGTGTTACCTCCCTGACAAAACATAGTGTTTATTTTTCTGATAGTTAATTATTTCATAAGTTATTTCTCACTTACTTTAGTTTTTTGTTTTGTTTTGGTACCAGGAAGTGAGCTCAGGACCTTGTGCTTACTGGGCAGATACAGTGCCACAGAGTACAGTATATGCCTGGCCCCTTCACAAAGTTATTTTAAACGTGAGGGAATTAATGTAGGTGAGATAGAAAGATTTCTTAGGTTTTTCTACCTAGGAGAAGGCTTCTTTGAGTATTTGGTTTTTCTAATCTTCTTTCCTTCTTTGCCTTGTTTAGGTTGGGATTGTCTTGGGGAACTACATTTGATATTAACAAACTGGCAAGGCTTATAAGAAAATAAACTTAATAAGATATTTAAAATTTAGGTTTTACAATCCTAAAATTCATCTGGAACCAGAAGAGACCTAGAATAGTAAAGGCAAGTCTGTGCAACAAAGACAAGACAGGGGGCATCACAGTCCCTGGCTTAAAATTATATTATAAAACTACTGTTATAAAAACAGTGTGGTACTAGCAACAAACAGACCTGATGATCAGTGGAATATATTAGAAGATGCGGAAACAACTCCAGACACACTAAGCCACCTTGTCTTTGGCAATATCAAATTATCAAAAAATCAACCAAAAACAAATGCTGAATGGGGTGTGGGGAAAAAGGAACCCTTGTCTACTGTTGGTGAGAATGTAAACTGGTGCAACCTGTGGAAATGAGTGTGGAGATGCCTCAAAAAACTAAGACTAGAGTTTCCATTTGACCCAGCTGTTCCCCTTCTGGGGAATAAAAACATCAAAGAATTAAAAATATACCACAGTGATATATATGCACCCATGTTTATAACAGTGCACTTTGTAATGGTTAGATCTTGAAAACAGCCTAAATGCTCATTGACTGAGGAATGGATAAAAGAAGATGTGGTATTTTTATGTAAGGGAGTACTACTCAGCTATGAAGAAGGGTAAACTGGAGATTTTTATAGGTAAATGGATACAATTTGAGACCATACTCATAAGTGAAATAAACCAGACATCTGTATAAATATCATCTTGTCTCACTGGTGTGAGAAGCTGAAAGAAACAATATATGAATAAATATATGTATGTATATAAAAATAGTTAAGATATGCTACTGATTTCTCTGAGTTCATTGAAGAGAAAGATTTGTGCTGGTATTGTTTGGACAATTGAGTGCAGGTGTCTTGTGCTCTGGGTAATAATTTGGGGATGACAATGTCCAATGTGTATACCATTGTTGCCTCCTGATTGACATGTTTTGAAATTTTGTCTTATTTTTTTTCTCTTTGAAATAAGATGGCTTTGCAAATAAATAAATAAAATTAGGTTTTGATCACATGTGTAAAGAGCTAAATTTTACAAAGCAAAAAAAAGTCAGGATTCAAAGGGAAGTTTTATCCTGTAGAAAAGATAAGCTATTGTATAGAATTATCCATTGTATACTTTTTAGGGACTGAATATGTTGGCCGCCAAAGTAGAAGAAAATGAGAAAGCTCCTAATGTAGCCACTGAAAACCTATCATTAATTACAAAAAAAGTAAGGGATTAGGAAGCTTACTTTCATGAACTTGTGTTTCCGTCGGCCAGGGGATCACATTTTATCCCTAGAGTATTTTATAATACAATATTTGAAGTGTGGGTCTGTTTATAAATACTGCTTGTTGCTGTATTTGAATAAGCTAGGAAAGCATGAGAATGACAGCTGGATCCTGAGTGAACATGTAATTCCGTGTCCCTTCTGATTTAAAAAAATACAGATGGTTTTATAATTGATCATCATGGATTTTTGCAGGCAGGACTTGAAAAACCTACAGCTAAAAGAGTACAGATTTTTCTGTTTGAAGAATTACATAACGTATATTTTGTTTTATATTCTAGCTTTTAAATCTTCAAGACAACAGCCCTCCCGCAATGTTGCTACTAAGAATTATTCAGAGGTAAGGAAGTTTTATGGGTTCTGTTTTAATAATCTTTGTTTCCTGTGTTATGAATTATGAATTTTTTGACCTACAAAGTAAGTCAAAGAAGAAAATGTATGGAACAGTAGAGCTGATTCCACTTATCTACAATAAGGGAGTCTAGGGGTTTTTAAAAATTTCTCTTTCTAATAATAATGGTCCACACTCTTAGAAACCTGTTAAGCATTTACATACAGTAATATTTTTAGGAATAAAAATGCTGATCCCAAAATAGCATGGAGTGCTAATATTGAAGACAAGTTCATTGCATACTAGAGCCTGTATCAGTAGACTCAAGGCAGAATAAATGGCTGAAGGATCTTTGCATTTTGCTCTAGATTTAGCACAGTCCTTCTGTTGTTCTTCAGATTTCAGGAATCTATTACCCCACTTTCAGACTCCTTGCATCTTAACTCCAAGCCAGTACTCTTCCTCCCATATCAGAGTTTCTCAGTAGCAGGCCTGTTAGCCTTCTCGATCAGATGGCCCTTTTTTATGCAGGAATGTCTGCTGTGTTGCAGGATGTTTAGTTGCGTCCTTGGCCTTAGGTACTATTCTTGGCTTCATCCACATCTACACGTCAGGTAAAGACATAGCACGTGTGTGAGTCAGGTGTCAAAATAACACAGTGTAGAGGAATGGTTAGTGATTGCATGATAGAATGAAAAAATCAGAAATATCTTTGTTGGATCTTAACACCTACAAATGGTATTTAAGAGGGCTAACGGTAACGGAAATCTATCTAGTGCTTCCACATGGTCTGATACCTTATACCTTAGAACATTGAAGATTTAATTCCTCATCAGAACCCAAGAAGAAAATCAAGGACACAGGTGTACGCAAGCCTGTGTGAGTCACTCACCGATCTAAGTGTTCTTCAGGGCCCAGGCTTCTAAAATGGCCAGGAGAGAAGTGAGCTAAGACCCATAGTAGACAACACTGCTTACGAGTAAGGACACCAGACAGAAGTCAGATAGGTTTTCATGTTAATGGTTGCTGCTTTTGTGGTTCCTGGCTCTTTCTGTGTCATTTCTGTGTGTGGGAGGAAAAAAAAGCTACCTTAAAATTCAGTTATTTAATTCATTTTTTATTCAGGTGTTCCATTCTCAAAAAAACCATTTGTTGTTTTGTTTCCTTCTCTCCTTAGACGATTGAGGTAGATGAATCAGATGAGGAAGAAGACCTTTTTCCTACCCCTTCAAAGACAGATCAAAGGTAGGTCAGAGACTTCCTTAAAGAAAAGATGGCACTTAATCAGAATTTTATAACTACACCCTTTTCATATGATTTTTGAATTACTTTCAAAAAAATATTAAAGTTTGTAGAGAAATGAAAAAACTAGATGAGGCCTAGTTCATAAACCTGATACAGCGTTATTATAAGCATTTTTATTGAAAATTTAAATAACTTTAAATTGTGTGCCTGAAATTCCAGCTACTCAAAGCCTTAACACAGGAGAATCACAAATTCAAAGCCAGCTTGGCCAACTTAGTGTGCCTCCATCTCGGCATTTGATAAGATGTTGGGGCTGTAGCTCAGTGGTAGTGTGCCTAACGTGGGCGAGAGCCTGGTTTATACCCCAGGACTAGGGAGAGAATTTTAAATAACTTAGTTTTTATTTATTTTTGTATTTACTACACAGAGATTTTCTTGACCAAAGACTTAGTTTCCTCAATAAATGGAAAATAACTTTGTATTTTGTTATTAATTTGATTTCAACTGTTTTTATTACCATATTTTATATTCTTAATTATATATGATGCTGCGTAGACTTATTCTGCATTCAGAATACTTATATATTTTGATCCTTTTTGTTTGTTGCCTGATGCTATTAAGCTTGACTTGACTCAGTATTACTACTTTCTTTTATATATGAACATTTTGAGTGAACATTGCTTAGCTAAAGCTCATTTATTGAAAATATCTACTTAAAATAATCAGTAACTTGTTAATACTTTATTAAAGCAATAATAGCAATAATTAAAGCAAGCAATAGATTAGATTTGATGGAAAACATAATGAATGTTTTAATACAATCACTACCTTTAGGCTACTTAAATTGTGACAAAGAGTTGAATGCACTGGAATCATTAAAGTATGATTGAACCAGTATATAATTATATGTGAAATCCTGTGATGCAGACCCTTAATTATGAGTGGTCATGGTCCTTTAGACCGTGGACTATGGTAGAAGAAAGATTTCTAGCAAGTGGTGGCTCCTTTCCTCAAATCATTTTATCCTGTTATGGAAAGAACAGATTTGAATTTAAAACATTTTAATGTTGCCACAGTTTTCAAAAGTGGGAGATAGTAGATAAATCTTAATATGTAATAAAAACTAGTAACAATAAGTAAAAATCCATGTGATATTTAGCAGATATTGTTGTAAGCATATTAACACACTGGATCTGTTTTAAAAATTATTATCCCCATTTTACAGATGCATTTGAGCCACAGAGAATTTAAATAGCTTGTTTAAAGCCTCATAGATAGTAAATGGAAAAGCTGTAATCCAAACCTTGGTTCCGGAGGTCTTTCACGTGCCATTAAGTTTTTATTGTCTCTGATGTAGATGGAGGAGTATTATCTAGAAATGTGTTTTTGGTGGATGTTCTAGTCATTGTCTTGGCTCTCCCTTTTCACCTCCTCAGGTGGTCAAGTACATCGTCCAGCAAGCACACGCCCCAGAGCCAAATAGCTAAGGGGGTTGATTTTGAATCAGAAGAGGTAATAAAATAATAATGTTAGCTTTTAAACTGTTTTTAAATTTTAAATTAGAGGCTGCTAGCTAGCTGCTAAAAGTTATTTTTTAAAAAGTAGCCTTCTTTTCAACTATAATGTTAGAAATCAAAAAGTAACACTGTGAGTGCTCAGCAGTATAATTACGCAGTTTGTTAAAACATGGTGTTCACTCAGCTTTTATGTAATTTGCCAGTTAACAGATGGAAGTCATTTTCTTAGCTTTTGCTACTTATATTTGAAGAGATGATGGTGATAATAATGTAAGAGCTTTAATGTTACTTTAGTAGAATGCTTATTAAGGACCAACTCTATCACACGTTTCATATATAAGATGGTACATGGTGGTGATTTTCATGTCACAGAAGTACTTGGACATTGATCGAAATGCTGTCTGGGAAAAACTCATCATAAACTAAAATATCCTCTAACTTTAATGAAGAGGAACAGGAAGAGGTATAGTTAGGACTTGCTCTTGCCTCTGTTTCAATTAAAATGAATTAAAGCTACAGGACTGAAGAATCCTTTCGCTTTCCTCCATGACTGCTATTGGAAGGGCTTTTGCAAGTTTTTGTTAAATTGCTTGAAAGTACTTCTCTTAGGTGTGTCACCTTTTCATTTATTTATTTTTCATTTAAAAGGTTTTTAAATTATAGTAAAAGCACATAACATAAAACGTACCATCTAAACAATTTTTAAAAATCCATCTCAACTGTGAAGTATACAGTTCAGTAGTGTTAAATATATATTCACATTTTTGTAAAACAGATCTTTCAACCTTTTTCATCTTACAAAACTGAAACTGTATACCCCTTAATCATTAAATGTCTAGTATTCCATTTTTAAATGACCATAACAGTGGAAACACAACAGATTTTTTTTCTCTTCAAATTCTTGTTGTTTGAATTTTTCTAGATAGCATACAAGAATTTCAGGCAAAAAAAAATTTTTTTAATTGCAATCTGGCATAATTGGGTTAACCAAGCTCCCCATTCTCTATATCCTAGCCATTCCTATACAATATTCTACTTTCTATAAATAAATTTATCCCAGGTACTTCATATCACACAGTGGGATCACACAGTGTTCATCTTTTGTTACTGGCCTATTCCATTTCGCAGTATGTCTTCAAGGTTCACCCACAGCCCAGCCTGTGATTTCCCTCCTTCCCTTAGAGTATCGATTGCTGCTGTCATGTGCCTTTTGTCTCAGCTCTGATTTTTTTCAATTTTTATTTTTTTATTAGTACATGTTTGTGGTATAAAGATTCCATTCCTTGTGAGAAGTTGGTACATTTATATACACATCTTAATTCTTTTTTCATCCCCTTTCCCTGGCCTTTCTCCATCTCTTGGTCTGCTTCCCATTTGCAGATCTATCTCCATATTTGTTACTCTCTGGCTTTTATATAATTTTAAAACAGCTTGAGAGGGCTGGCCACAAGTCAGGCTTCAAAGAATGTGGTTAAAAGCTGACTGTAGTTCATATTTAACTGGAAAGGAGAACTGTTACCAGATTCTCTCCTATACTTCATTTTGGATTTATCTGTAATAAGTTTCTGCCTTTGATTCTTAACATTATATTAGAAGAAAATCAATCATGAAAATCAGTTTTTTTTCTTTTTTATGAAAGTCAGTTTGTGTTTCTCAAGACATCTATCTCATGAGCTAACTTTTTAATTTGTTAATACCACCACTAAGGTCTGACATCAAGAAATAATTTCTTTTGTTAATGTCTTAATGGAAACATAAGTCTGAAATTTATAAATTTGTTTCTACCTTCTGAATATTTAATTACAATTTATGTAACTTGGGCTTAGCTGAGGTTTATTAGTTGATTTCATTCCTGGTATTTAACTTCTCGGTTAACATTTCATATTCCTCTTTATTCTTACTATGCATATTATCTACATCCTTGGGAACTTTTGAAATAGTTCCTTAAGCTGTTTCCAAAAAAAATGTTTGAAAGATTCCTTCACTAAGTGATTTCTTGCATCAGTTTGAGAATAGCTGTCTATTGCAGGCATTAAATACATGATGGAAACTAAGAATTACAGCAATTTTTGAGTTAGCTCTGCACAAGCTGGCTTCATTATATTCTGACTTAATTTCCAGGACAGCAGTCACTTGTAATAAATTGTAAATGAAAAAAAGTTACTGATATTCACAAACCAAAAAAGATGCAGGTTACATTTTTTTTCTTGTCTTAAAATACCTCATTTGCATTGGTTAAGGTGAATAACTGAGGAAATATGTATTCTGCAATTGTAGATGTATATACACACATACATCACCAAAGAAAGTTTTATTTTTAATGCTCACTAATACATTTCATGTTTATAAAGGAAACAAAAATGAAATCTACTCAGGTGAAAAGAGACAGTGACTCTGGCTGGTACTGTTTTGCTCTAGGCGTGTCTGTCTTCCCTCAGGGAAGGATGGAACAGCCACTGACTTAAAATTTTTGTGTCATTTCAGGACGACGATGATGATCCTTTCATGAACACTAATTCTTTAAGAATAAATAGAAGATAATGTGTTACATGAAACTTCCAAATTTCTAAGATACAGGAAAAACTGGAGCATTTTTGCAAGATGAGTTTACAGTTGAGGATTTTTTAACTATTGCTCTTAACTGAAGAATCTGAAGAAGAGTTATTTAACAGAAGCTAATGTATAAAGGTTTATGTTTTAAGTATTATTTCCTGGGGCCTGGGGATTTAGCTCAGCGGCATAGGCACCTGCTTGCAAGCGCATGGTCATGAGTTCAATCCCTAGTACCCCTCAAAAAAGTATTATTTCCTGAACATCACTCACATGACTCTATTAAGTTAATTTACCTGTTTTAATGATATAAACATAGTATTGATTCTCTTTATTTTTTAATCTGGTTATTATTATCTGAGGATTTAAAATATTTTTCTGACAAATATATTTCACTCAGTAAGAATTTTTTTGAAGACTGTCCTTGATTAGAAAGTAAAATAAATCCATTGTAATCCATTTCTACTTCATGATAAAAGACTGTGTTATTATCTCAGTGTTGCATTAGCCAAACTTGAAGAAGGAAAGACCTTATAAAATTTAACCTTGCTGGGTGTGGTGGTAGCACATGCTTGTAATTCCAGCACTCTAGAGGCTAGGGCAGGAGCTCATGTGTTTGAAACCACCCTGAGCTACATTGTCAGACTGTCTCAAAAACAAAATTAACCCCTTCATAGTTTTGATAATTTTCTAGAGATTCTGAATTTCTTGAAAGTAAAAAGTAAAATTTTCTAGGTGAGCCCACCGAAGCTCTCTGCCTACAGCACCCCAGCTTGGTCTGAGCTGTGGGGAACATCTGCTGGTGGCTGTTGCTAGCATGTTCCTGGGTGAGTGTAACAGTGAAGGCACGGTCACTGAAGTACCCTTACGGCTTCCTGGGAAAAAGGAGTGAGGCCTTTTCTCTTTAAAAAGTCTCTGTAGGATGTGAGAAGATCTGAACATGATGCAGTGAACTGCTGAGGAAAGCAATTTCATGCAGCTATAGTGGAATGAATCTCTACAACTAATTCCTTTTATGAATAGTTTGTGTGCGTCAAGCCCTAGAAATATGGTGAATAAAATGGGAAAAGCCTTCTTGGTTGAATATTGTTGCATAGTTCATTGTGACACATCTTGATTTTCTCTACTGAGGCATCAAAATCTGTTGTTTGTTTTTATGTGACAAAGTTTAGAGCTGTTGATATCGGTGTGTAGAAGTCTTTCAGATGATTCCTGAGCACTTATGATTGCTTTTGAAGCCGTGAGAAAAAAATGATGAAAATGTACTGAGGAAAACATTTGTAAGGAATTCTCCCATGTTTACCAAAGAATAAATCTCTTCCTAGTGTCTTGTTCCCTATTATGCACATGCAATTCTAGGCAGCCGTAGGAAGTAAGACCGCTTAGAAAAGCCGGGCACCTGCGCAGATGACCTTTAATTCAGAGACATGTAAAACATTGTTTTCATAAGATTGTGAACTTACTACGAGAGGTCATGCAGCTTAACAGATAATTAGAAAGTGAGTGTACATAGAACTATTGTGTGAGTCAGAATCTGGACTATCACTGGCGCCCTGGAGCCTGGGGAGTGGGTGAGCGTCCCGACTTCTGTCCCTCAGCTGCTTAGACTGCCACAAGGTGGTGCTTCCGCCTATAAGTACTGTTACAGGAATTCAGCTGCAGTTTTGAAATGAAGAAGTTAAGCGTATATAGCGTAGCAGTAAATTTAGAATCTTTGCAGTAATACTAAATCTATGCAGCAGTACCATATTTAGCCTTCTAAAGTTATATGTGTATGGCCTTACGTGTTTCACCTGGTTCAGCTTGTCACTGTAGGAACTATAAACTTGGTAAAATTTATAAATAAAAGTTTAGGAAGAAAAATGTTTTATGTTTTCATAAAAAGGGAAATTCTTTATTAGAAAACTTGATTTTTCTAAAAAAAAAAAAAGGCTCCCAGTGTATACTTTTCTTTGAAATGTAAAATACTTCAATGCAACTTTCTCCCAGAGTGATCTGATGTCCTTTTTGTATCTGTCAGACATTTAACTTATAGTTTTCTGTGGCATTTTAAGGATAACTACCAGTAAAATTATTAAGAAAGTTGTACATATTAAAATTTGGTTTTTGAATTCAGAGGGCTTCCGTATCTGTATCTGAATCATTTGTTTATTTCCTTTTAAGAATTTTGAACTTAATGTTTGTTGTAAAATATTAGAATTTTAGTTTGCTTTCAGTTCACATAGGTTGCTATCGCCATGCATATTTGTATATCCCATGATAGATCATTAGATCTGCTTTTAGCTCTTTTTAAATTATAAAAATAATAGGCATTTGTGTTTTCAAACTTCCATATCAAATGTCTGTTTCCCTATAATTTTCCCTTACTTGTAGTTTGTAAACACTAAGGTACATATTTCTCCAATTACTTTTGGCATGATTAGTAAAAAATACTGAGTTACAACCTCATATTGTGTAACTAAATATTCTAGTCTTCATATCAAGGTAAATACGTTGGTACTTACCTGGGCATCCATATTTTTCCACGTCTTCTTTAACCCTTTTGTTAAACCATCAGCAATGTGTGGCTTAAATGTTATTTTCATTTTAGGTAAAATAAAGCATATTGAATCTGGACTGCCTTTAAGTTAGAAGTGGTACAGTGATTTCTCAAGGGCTCTTGGCTGGTGATTGCATGTTGTAGTGAGCCAGCCAGAAGAGCTGGCTCCTGGGCCGGTTGTGACACTATTTTGTCTCAGCTGCTGTGCAGTCCTGATGATTTGTGTACATATGCCCAACATTAGTGAGAAAATATTTGTGGTCACACTGGCTAAATTTTAAATGTTACTTTATATTTTTTTAAAAAGCAATTTTTTTTTTTACTACAAGTTTGTAAATATAACTTGCCTACATATTATGTACTGGAACTGATGATACTGTAATGTATGTAACTTTGAACAAATTTTACTGGAGACAAAAATCACAGGCACAGCTGTATTTCTTTTGATCTTATTATAGTCTGGAAATATGAAAGAATTCATGTTGATTAAAATGTATACTATATGGGGTAAGGAATTTAGCTCAGTGACCTAAGTGCCTGCCTGGCAAGCATGAGGTTGTGAGTTCGATCCCTGGTACCACCAAAAAAAAAAGACTACAAAAATGTTTACTATAAACAGTGAAATAACTTAGCTCATCATAGTTAAACTTTAAAAATTTATTACAGTGAAAGACTTGTTGCTATTAATGCACCTCAAAATACTCCCCCTGCTTTGAACATACTTATTCTATCATCCTTGCTGCTTTGTACTTCCAGTTCTGGAGGTCCTGGCTTGTAAATGGCTTTATGGGGCACGATCAGAAGTAGGGTGAGCGCTGCTGCCAAATGCCATGGAAGGGGAAGGTAGTTTCATAAAAACATTACAGCATGTCTTCATCTACCTTACTTACCGGATCTGGTACCATGCGACTTCTGGCTCTTCCCCAAAGTCAAAATGACCGTGAACAGTAGACATTTTAAAAGGATGTAACACTGGGGCAGCCACAAGAGCAGCTAACAATGTGAAAAAGGAGTTCCAGAACTGCTTCAGAAAGTGTCCAGTAGGGCTGGGGATACAGCCCAGCGGCACAAGCGCCTGCTTGGCAAGCACAAGATCCTGCGTTCAATTCCAGGTACGAAAAAACCAAGAGTATAAATAACTCTGGGATAAGCATGTTCAAAGTGAGAGGGTGAGTGTTGTAAGAAGGATTAATGGTAACGTATCTGTTAGTAGTACAAGTTTTTTAAGTTATATAATCATCATATTTTTCACCTATGTGCATTGTATTTATGTCTTATATTTACTTAGGTTCATATACAAATGCAAACATGTAAGTTTTTTTTACATGGTACTGAGGATTGAACACAGGGCCTCCATACTGAGCTACATCCTCAGCCCTTTTTCTGTGTTTCGTTTTGAGACAGGATCTCATTAAATTGCCCAAGCTAGGCTCAAACTTGTAGTCCACTGCCTCCCAGGTGCTGATTGTTGGAGAGCAGGTTTCAGAGTCCTGCTCACTAACCCTAACCTACTGCGTGGGTGGCCCTGAGGAGTAAAGACATTCTGTTCCATCACCACGGCGCGTGCATCTGCAGTCCGGGTGCCAGTTCTGTCAGCTGTCCCGTAACTCCTTTACATAGCATCTTTCCCTGTAGCGCAAGGTCTAATGTTATTTTTCAGGTATGCAGAACATTATTAACATGCTTCCTAACACTTAAAAATTCAAATGTGCCCTCACAGTCTTACTCCCTTTCCTATCCCTCTCACCCTCCTGCTGTCCTTTCTACACTTCTTTTTGCCAAAGTAAGCACAGATGGGTATATTTTAATTTCTCCTTTCTTATTCAGAAGATTAAGTTTATTGGTACATTTTAGGTTATACATGATGATCGTATTCATCATGGGGAATTTGTGCTTGAACATGATATAACTTGATTTTCTTTTTTTTTTTCTTGTTTGTCTCATTCTTGTCTCATGTCCTAGCGATTACTTCATTAACAGACCTTCCTCACTTCTTTGTAGCTTTGTGATCTCCATCACAGTTTTTCCTGTGAGTCTCATATATTTGTGCAATTCGGTAGTTTCAGGATTTACAATTATAAACAGTTACTGTGGTACTAATTATGTGTTAGCACTTTCGTTTTTTAGGTGTGTCCTCTGAGAACATTTTGAGGTGTGACAATATTGAAGGTCTCAGGCTGCCTATTTTGCCATAGCTTTTCCATCAGAACATGCTGTTGGACTTTAATTCTTTACCACACAAATGCTATCATTTTACTTTGCATTTCTATTAATTTGTAAAAAATAAGTTTAAGGACCTTTTTAAAAAATATCCATTATTGATGAATTGCTTATTCGTGTGTTTTGTCCATTTTTCTATGATTTTTTATCCCTTTTTTCCTTACTATAAAAAACTATTTACATAAGAAATACAATACCTTTGGAACATATTGTGAAACATTTTTCTAGTTTGTTTGTATTTTAATTTTGCTTAATTTTTTTCAGTGAAACAGTTCGTTTTCCATGTAGTCAAAAATTTTTTTTGCATCTGAACTTTATTTTGTTCTATAAATGGTGTCTTATGAACAGAAGTTCTGTTAATGAACAACTTTGTGAATTTTTTATAATTGGACTTCTTAATGTTTCTATGTTCTGGTTGAGAAATCAGTCCCTATTCTAACACGAAGATTCTTCAATGTTACCTTCCAGAGGTTTGCCAGTTGAACTCTACTGTACAACTAGGAATTGGTTTTTGTGGATCTTGGGATTTTTGTGGGTTCACATTTCATTCATTCATTTTATTCCATATAATAATGAACTTGCTCCAACACTTAATAGAAATGACCATGCTTTCACCAGCTCTGTTCCAATCTGCACAATCTGTTTCTGAACATTCTGTTCCAGAATTTGGAATTAATCACTGTGGCTTAATAATACATCTTTATTTATAGAACAGATTATCCTACTTTGTTTTTATTCCTCAATGATATGAAAATTCTTGACTTCTCACATTTTCAAATTTTATAATTTTATGTTACTATAACTAATACAGGATTTTAACAAAAATACCACATTTCGTTTTAGTCTTGCAGTTCATAACTATTGTAGGCTGGAGTTGATTTAATTTAAGCCTTGATCTTATTTCCAAGCTTAACTATACATTTTATTTGATAGAGAAACTGATACTGGTTCCCAGAGCTAATGCTTCTATGTGAATTTAGAAACATACTCTGTTTTTGCTGGACTATTTCCATTTTCTACCTGAAATGTTATCACATTTACTTGACTTAATGGCCCTTTGCCATTTGTGACACAGCTCCATCAGTAGAGTGTAATAATGTTTCTCTTGACTCCAGACACTGCCTTTCCCTTCCTGCAACCTGAGTAAAGCCTGAGCTGTCTTCCCGACTCTCCCTGCTTGTCTGTTTTGCAGTACCCAGGACTGGCCTTTGATCTGCTTAAATTGCCCAGGCTGGGCTTGAACTTGCAATCTGTCTGCCTCAGCCTCCCAGAGTTCTGGGATTATGGATCCCTGACTCTTTCCTTCTTTCCTTAACATTCTGCCTGCATTTACAAAACAATTAACCCAGGCTTGCTTGCAGTTCTGATTCTCATGGTATCTTCACCCGCATTTCCCTCCGTCCACGGAGCCACCAACAAAGAAAGAGGGGCTTTTCTTTTCTTGTTTCCACCTGTCTTTATCACAGTCATCTCACATTTGCACAGGTCCTTTCTTCCTACCAAATGCAGTAGATGCTAAAAAGAAAGGAGAAATTGTTGTGTTGCTGGCCTATGCAAGGCCCAGCTGTGTATATTATTTATTTCTCGTAGCAATTCCTTTTATAGAGAATGATTAAGATTTAATCATGAGATCACACAGCTAGTGAATGTTAAAGTTGAGATTTAAATCTAAGAATTAAACTTTATATAAGTTGTTAAACTATTAAATTAAAAAATTTCATGTAAGTAAATCTGAGATTTAAGTGTAATTCTGTCTGAATTAAAATCCTATGTTTTTCACCCGACCATACTGCCTCCCATCAACTGAGGAATGTCCTTACAGATGAACTCATGAGCCTTAAATCCGGAGCATGCTTGAGCAGAAATGCAAGGCCCAGGACAGGCTATAAGTCAAGTCTAATGCTGATGACTGACCTGGGCAGGGCAAACCTCATGAGGGATTTATTTTTATTTATTTATTTTTTTTGAGAAAGACATTTCATATGGTACCAGGAGTCATATTAGATGCTGAGTGGTAATCACAGGTGACCTTTTGACCATATTCTGGATCATGTTGCAAATGGAAATGGTTTAGGTAAAAATCTATACTAGAACTGGGTGTGGTGGCTGAACACCTGTAATCCCAGCACTTGGAAGGCCAAGACAAGGATTGTGCTGAGTTTGAGGCCAGCCTAGGCTGTATGTGAGTTCAAGACCAACCTGAACTACTTAGCAAGACCCTGTCCTCAAGGAAAAAACAAACAAAACCAATCTATAATAGATGATAGAGTAGGCTTCTGCTGGGACTCTTCTGATTTAGTTTAATGTGGCCATCTGTTAGAAGCCTACTTAATATGAACTACCCATAGGAAGTTTTTCTTCTTTCTACCCAAATCACATGATTTTCCCTCCTAAGTTTCAGAAAATTCAAAAAGTACTAAGCAGCATGAAGAATACATATGTATATTTGTATATAGCTGCTTTGTTCCTTTAGGATGAATTCTTAGATTTCATCTAAGAAATGATCTACTCTATGTAGGGCATGGAATGTGTTCATGTTAAAATTATTTGGCTAAATAACCAAAGACCATGAATTTTAAAGTTATAGACTGGACAAGCAAATAGTTTAAAAGCCTAGGACTTTGTTGTATTGAAATTAAACTTTTGGTGCCATATCACTTTTACAGTCAAGACAGATTTTTTTATTTTTCAATACTGAGTGACAGCTGTGAATCAGGCACGGCACAAATACCAAAAACCACAAATACCAAAAACCACAAATACACGTGACTTCACAGAGCTGTTAGTCTAAAGACATACTCCATTTGTTGAGCCCTTTTTATGGGCCTGGAGTGTGCTAAGCTCTTGAAGCAAACAT